ACAGCTGGCACACTCATAACTGCCTGGGTGGGCACCTCCTCTGTCTGGACATGCACAAATTGAGCTGGCTGCGAAACAGCTGGCACACTCATCTCTGGCACATTCGCGGCTGTATGCGTCAACTTTTGTTTCTTCCGGGCCGGCTGTCCGTCCTCGCTGGACCCAAAGATATCAGCTGTCCGTTTGAGTACTCTTCGTACAGAGAGATAGTCAACCCTCCGATGCACGCGAGGGCGGCCACTCCCGACGAGACGATCCCGTCGTTTGAAGACGCGGAAGCGGTCGCGGACCCTTGGCATACCAGGCTTGAGAGGGATGGCTGCCACGGCCTGCGCGATGACGCGATTAAGTGATCGCGTCAATGGGAGAGACGGGGGAGCGATAGCAGCATGACCACCAGATGACTGGCTCGGAGCCGCCAGGTCATCTTTGTTGTACAGTGTGATCACATGCGTCTGCCCCTTATCCCATTCCATGTGACCGTCAAAGGACTCGTCGTTCAACTTTGCGACTTCGGAATAAAACAGCTCGTCGTCGAGTTCCATCATGTCGTTCGTCTCCACTTGCTGAGGAGCGATAGTCAAGGTGGTAGCTAGTGCTTCTTGCACCACTACCATTTCGTCGCACACCTCGGCCTGCAACGTCCCAGCAAGTTCTTGTACCGTGGTCTCAGTACTGATATCCACGGTCTCCACCTGCTGGGGAGCGATGGTGGCGGTGGTAGCTGATGCTTCTTGCACCACTACCATTTCGTCGCACACCTCGGCCTGCAACGTCCCAGCAAGTTCTTGTACCGTGGTCTCAGTACTGATATCCACGGTCTCCAGCTGCTGGGGAGCGATGGTGGCGGTGGTAGCTGGTGCTTCTTGCACCACTAGATTATAGTCGCCCACCTGCGACTCATCTGCCTGCAACATGCCGGCAAGTTCTTGTCCCGTGGCTGTGTCTATGTGTGACCCAGCCCGTGATGGTTTTTGACTGATCAATGATCTAGTATCGTCCCGGCGCGAGCGGAAGTTAGCGTGTCGCGGTCCCCGGCGAATCGATCGAGGGACGATTCGCGGACGGAGAGAGGGAATACTAGTAGAATCATAGACGTTGGGGCTAAGGTCATCACATTCGCGATCCTCAAGGGGGAGCGATCTCGGGCCACGTTCTTTTCCCTTGTCGAGCTGCTGCGGGTGGGGGTCGAATGCCTGCCCGTGGGAGCCTGGTTCCTGGCTTTCCACGACGTGGCGGCGCGCAATACCCACAGGGCTAGCCGAGGACTCGGCGCTACTTGCCTTCCGAGTCTGGACCTGGCTTACCCTTGTGCTTTGCATACTCGCGGCAAGCATTCTATCCGCATTGTCAAGGAGGCCTTTCAGTCGGTCCTCCGCACCTGCAAGGCGTGCCTGTCGTTGCTGGTTTCGGCCGGCCGCCGCAACCACCTGGCAAAGGTCCCGCAAATCTGCCTGGTCCCTCGCCAGCTTCTCCTTGCAGTCGCGGAGGGCCTTTTTCTTGCCCTCCGCTTGCTCCAGGTCAACAGATACCTGCTCCAGGTCGTCCTCAATAACCTGGAACTGGCATTCTATTTGCGAAGTTCTGTTGGAGTTTGCCTGGTTGATCATGGCCTGCATCTGCTCATGATCGAGAAGCTTGGTGGTATTGCGGTCTTTTGCCATTTGGGATCGCAAAGCCGACGCCTGGGACCTGGCGTCGTTCAGTGCGTTCTCCTGACGAGATATTGTCGCTTCGGCATCAGTCAGTACTTCCAGCGCGCTGGCTTCAGGCTGTTTCTGAGGTGGTCGGATACCGGAGGGGGATTGAAGGGCTGTGTCGGGGCCCACCAGAGGGGAGGTCCTGTGCGGAGGACTCTGGGGAAAGTAGGAGGGGCGGTAGGTGGATGAGGGACGGTAGATTGGTGAAGGTGTGGCCGACGAAGGACCAGGCACCACCTCCGTGCCAATGGGTCCATTGCGGGAAGGACGGTACATGGCTGTCGGGGAAAGCTTGTCAATTGACGAAGGACCAGGCACTACCTCCGCGCCAATGGGTCCACTGCGGGAAGGACGGTACATGGCTGTGGGGGAAAGGGTGGCAATTGACACCGGGCCAGGTACCACCTGCGTGCCAATTGATCCATTGCGGGAGGGGTTGGCTGAGGCGATCAGAGGGATGGCGGGAGTGGGGGCACCCGTCATTTGGAACCCAGTGACGCTGTCACGGCGACGGCAGGTCCGTTTCTGTTGGTTTGCCATTGCGAGCTTTGGAAGATGTTAGAAGAGAAGCTGGAAAAGGTTGCTTGTGAAGGCGACTGTACTCACAGAAAAGGGGATGAAATGGCGCAGGATTTGGATGAGAGTCTCTTCTCAAATACTATGGGATAAAGTGTCAGAAACGGCTGATAGGTCACTTGGAAGAGTGGTTGGGACTAACCAGAAGAAGTACGTGGATTCACAAACTATTTGGTCTTTGCAGATGCAGACGAATATGAAAACCGAGTACGATGTGGAAGAAAGAGAGAGGGGAAGAAAGAAAGAGAAGTTGTGTTAGAAGGGCAGAAGATATAGCCCTCGACAAACGACGTGACTCTTGAGGCCCAGGCTCCTCATTGGTCAATGGCCTGACTCAATGACTAGGTCTTGCCTCCCTGGACCAATCAACAGGCTTCCTCATTGTTTGTCAATGGCAGGGTACTTCCTCAACAATGGCTATGACATGTTCAATAAAGAGAACAATGGGGTGTCTCCTTGGTGCCTTGAATGGTCTTTTTCTAGGAATAGGACGTCTCGTTCAACAATACAACACATTAATCAAACTTCTGAATTTATGTCTATTCAACTGTACATTTTCTAGAATTAGCTCTGCCTAGATATTGATATATGTAGATGCTCCATGTAGTTGCGGCTGAATGTGGTCGACTTGCCGAAGGTCAGTGCACTTGGCTTACTGAATAGATTGATCTTCCTTGGTTTGATGAATGTATTGCCTACTCTGTGCCAGTTGTGGTCTATAATCAAATCATCGTTGGAATTCCTGCCACCATGGCTCTTGGTTGAAAGACCGGTCTTGTCCCTGTTGTTCTATCATCCGGAATGATAACTCGTTATCAAGAGTCGATCTGCATGCCTTGGTGGTTTCCTACTACTCTATGATACGAAAATGTTGAGTTTCAAGCCCTCCTACACCGGAAATCACTGCTGACTGGAAGATCATTTCCCCCAGGGCCGCTCGTGAGGTCGTCACCTCGGTCCCACAAAGACTCCGAATAGGCGCACGGTACGGGTACGGGTACGGGCCGGGCCCGTCACAAGCAAAACCAGGCACATCCAGCAACCAATCAACAAGACGTCCCTAGCATTTTACGTTGCGTCAAAACAGAAAGACAACCACTAGACTCAGTCTACATCTCCAACAATACCCAATGGCCTTGACACTCGAGTTCGGCAGAAACTTGCGACATTAGATCAAGCTAAGGTACGGACACTTTTCAGATGACACTTCCAAGCGAGACCTTAGCCGTGCAGTGGGACTTTGCAATCATATCAAGTGATCTTTCCAAGACAGTCAAACCACCACGATTCAGTGCTTTTACCGTTGTTGTGGTGTATTATAGGGTCAAGGTACGTGTCGTGTCTCTTTCGCTGGGATTACTTGAAATATTTCAAAATATACTAAACTATGTTTACATTAGATTCCCTATCGAAAAACCGAGGATCCTTCAGACCATCGCCAGCTCTTACAGCAAATACGCGTCAAGTTGTCTCACCCGCCACGGAACGAGGTACAACCTGTCGGCGAGCCCGTAGCGGATCATTCAGATGAGGAGAGTCTGGGAGCTTTGGAAGGTTTCTACAAATGACGAATGATCTTTGCTGCGAGAATAAGAAGAGAGCAAAAAACGATTCAAATGGACAAGACTCATTCTCAACACTAAAGATCGATCGCTATCTGCAACTAATGGAGTGATTTGTCTACTCTATGGGTTGGCGCTCATCCAACCAAGGTGACCGGGGCTCATTGATAAAGACACGGACTGCAAAGAAGTCAATGTCGAGTATCATCCGACTCATATATCACGAGCTTTGTCCTGGATTTGGGTCTAGAGCATGTTTCTCCTACAGTGACTGACATATTTTGCTACAGATATTTCTATATTTGCTTCCTTGACAATTTATATATAGAGCCATGATTATATAAACTAAAATAAACAATATATTGAAGAGGAACATGCACGATGGGCAGCCTTGTCATGCAGGCAAGACGAGAACGACACAACAACACCAAGCATCCAGGGCGGTCAGCTAGCAAGCATAGCGACCACATAGATCACACCATAGTATACGATCTCCTAATGCACAAGCATCTCGCAACTTTCTTCTCATTTCCGGGGTGATGAACTGACTAGACTACCTGCTCTCTGAGACTCTACTTAGCAACCGGGCTCTCGCTTTTCTCTGCTTGAAGGATAAGGCCACTAAGTAGGGATTCCGATTCCCCCACTGCAATATATTGTTAGGATTAATGGATCCTCCGGTATGCTCCGGTATACTGATCTGCATACTCCGATAAAATCTACTGGCCTGAGAAATCGGAACATGAAAACAAGTATATATGAACGCGTTTTAAGACTACTGGTCAACCTCCCGGAGGACCACATCATAGTCGGCAAGGATAATACCACCGTGAGCAGCAGCATTCCGCCGAGACCTTCTGGTATTGCTGATAGGCTTCTCAGACCATTTGTCGAGCTAACCATATTTAGATAGGTAAACCTTTGGTTAACCGCGGGCCTCATCGACTTCAACTTGATATCGGGATTTAAGTAAGATACTGTTGGTTAGCATGCGATAATAGTAAATTGCGTTGATTTAGTGAAATTAACAGCATGAAAAATATCATGAATGAACATAATCTCTATCTACCAGATCCAGTGTGGTTATATGTACTAGTAGGTTTTATCCGAAATACAAAGGTCTGAAGAACCCCGGTGCAATCTCATACATTGTTTCATTCGCTCAAAGCTTAGACTTCTTGCCAGTCACGTTGGGTACATCATCCCCGGAGAGCAAGAAGTCCGGATAAGACAAACTCCCACCGGAAGCACCGCCTGCAGACATGCGCCAGTTTGCACCATCGACTGTTTATGTGTCAGTTCGCAACATTCATAATGTCCTTTTGTTATTTGACAACTCACCGACAAGTGTTTGACCAGTGACATAGCTACCAGTGTCTGAAAAGAGATACACGGTGGCATCAGCAATGTCGCGGACATGACCAAAGCGGCCGAGTGGCTGGGCCTTGGTGTAGGCCTCCAGGGCATCTGATGGCAGCAGACGTTCCAAGCCCTAGTGAATGGTAAGTCAATCAATTTTTGACACAGTAATGGCACTGTTGAGACTTATACTAACCTCGGTCTGTGCAATAGGGCCCGGCGCAATGATGTTCGACGTCATTCCCCGAGGACCATATTCGATGGCAACACTGTGCGACAACGCATCGATACCGGCCTTGGCAACGGATACATGCGTCTGGAAAGGCATACCCCGATAGTGAATGGTAGCACTGACGAAGATAATTCTTCCGCCAGTTCCAATCGGTGATGGTTGAACTGGGGGGTTGTCAGTGCCAATGGTTAACATATGGTGGGATTCACTGGACGGTGCCCTCACGAGTCTTTGTATCCATTCTGTGCTTGGTTGCCGACTCCCTTAGATACGGAAGAGTTGCCTTGAGGGTATTGTAAGAGCCCAAGACATCAATATTCATGACTGACTTGAAAGCATTGACCGAGAGTTGCTCGATGGAGGCGAGGAAGTTACCAGCGGCTCCAGCACTGTCAGATACTATCAGTATGAGAATCGAAGACACGGTCAAGTTAATATATCGACGTACATGACAAAATCAATGCCTCCAAGTTCCTTGACACAACGCTCAACTGCTTTCTGCAAATCCTCGAACTTGCGCACGTCCACGGAACCGATCCCAATCACCTTGGCACCGGGTCGGACTGTCGCGATGTCCTTAGCGACGCGCTCGGTCTTCTCTACATTGCGGCCAATGATGCAGGCGTTGGCACCGAGGTGTACTAAGGCCCGGACTTGGGCACTGCAGATAGTGCCGGCGCCACCTGTGCAGAAGACGACTTTGTTTGCTGGGTAAGGGAGTTAGTGTGGGTTGTGCGGTAGCGATGGATTCGGAGAGCCTACCGAAGATCCCATCCTTCCAGGAATCACTCAAATATTCCGTCTTGGGCAGCGGCATTCTTGTTACTATGTATGTCCCTGGATAAATTAGTTTAAAGATTGTGGGGGAGTTGGGGGAATGTTCAGGAGGTGATTTGGTGATACCCGTTTCCCCACAGTTACCTCGGCTTCACAGTTTTATGCATAAAAGATTAGTGATACAAAAATACAAAGCTCTACAAGAATTATTGTTTAAACCGAAGCAGTTGACACCTTGCTTGATGAAATGTATGCTGAGAAGACATATTTAGTTCACATTCCGTGTACATATCTTGTCTGCCTCATCCTCTAGAGATTCAAGGCGCTTCATAGACAGAAATGGCACATTTCCGTGCATTGCATTGTTAGTCAGCAGCCACGTGCCGTGATGATATAAGATTTAAGATTCAGCCTCCATCTTTCAGCATCACACTAGTTATGGTATAGAGATGAAGTTGACGTAGTGGATGAATAATGAACGTGACGATTGATTGCATAGTTAGTGAGTACTCCCCCGTCTTCGATATTCTTCTTATCACCTCATTGATTATATACTTTGTCCTCTACTGTCCGGCTGCATCCGAGATACATGAGCATGGTATACCCTAGCGAACCAATTGTTTCACCGTTGGTTGGCTCACCATTTATGCCTGTACCACAGCAAAATAAACAGTTGTGATAATTAATTGACAGTATCTAGTATATAATTTATTTCCTATACTAGAAGGAGTTCCAAGTGGCAGAGGTTAGCTTATGTAGGAGTAGACGTCGATCTACATCTAATATACGACTGCCTAGATAGCCTAGATAGAATCTTATATAAAAAAAGTAAACGCTAGACAAGACTTATATCTTCACTGCTTTTTACTGTAATAACAACATATAGATTGCCCTCATTGCGATGAAGAACAACCGTTCTCTGATTGGCTGTCACGTAGGCGGACCGCGACGTCACCGAAAAAGAACCACCTCTTATTTGCATTGTTGACGTGAATCATCGACTCGACTCGACTCATTTCAGATTCTATTATATTTGCCAAATACAGCTCTGAGCCAAGCAATTGCCTTTGTTTTCTGCAGTATGGCATGCCCCATCAGCGTTAGCAAGTTTGTTGGCACTGTCTCCCTCGGTCTTCTTACCGTACGTCAATTTCATCTATCGCATCATAAATACGCTCTACAAAGACTAACAACATGTTTCGAATCTACAGGGCCTCTCTTACTCCACATCAGCCATCACAATCCCAGCTCTGCAGCTCCTTCCAACAGCGACAACCGCCGCCCGCTCTCTGAACGAAGTGAAGCGCCTAACCCGCCGATATGCCCTCCGGCTCTCCTTCTTGACCAATACCTGCTTCTGTTTCGCATGGTGCCTCTCATCTCCACGCCGCCGACACCCATATATGATTTGGCTATGTGCATTCTCTACAATCGGGGCCCACGGTGTTGATTTCTGGTTCCACCGTCACCTCGGCTTCAAAAACTGGGTGTCGGCTGTGATCCGCGATGTTTCCCACTTCTCTCTGATCCGGGACTCAAATACAAGCAAGGATGAAGACCTTGTTGTGGTTGAGGCCGAGGACGACGTGAACGGCGAAACCGTTCAGCGCGAGATGGACCGGGAGCGCCGGCTCAACCAAGCGCGCACTTGGTTGTCTGGTATTGCACTTTCGATCGGCATTGTTGGTCTTTGGGGTGACAAGAGGTGATTTTTCTTCTCTTTCTTCTGGCCACGATGGTCTTTCCTCATGATGAACACTAGTTGTGGTTCCATATCTATTTTCTAGGAAACCCCTTTCGTTACTGTTTCTTTGATCACGTCTAATCTGTTTTACGCCTGATACCTTTCGTTCCGCCCCTCTTTTCTCTTGCGTATCTTTTCTGTACATCGATGGGAACCGCTAGGAATGGAGTATCTTCTGAACTTGAATTCGGCGTATCTGAGCCATATCTACAGAATCGCTAATCCGACCACCCAAGCTAAAGCCTATCATCTCTCATATGAGCCTCAACTTGACTAAAATTCGTGGGAAGTTCAAAGGGAGGGAGAGGCTGATATGGAAATTGACATTACAATTTTTTTTATACAACAATATAAAATGCAGATCGGCATAAGTGAATGTCAAGACAATCACTCCATATAGACAAACAAGTATTACGATCTCAAGTAGATGGCGCTAGACTCACATGCAAATCATCCTTATCCACCCTTTCTTAATAGTACCTAAATCCCTAGGTAACTAAATATTTATAGCCATAGTAGGCAAGTCGAAAGTGAACGATAAATAACAGTAATATTTGACTGTGGGGCACGCAGATAACATGTCCAGAAATATAGGAGATAGGAAGAAGAAATAAGCACAGAACATAAAGTGAACAGAGTGAAATCAGAGTGAAACCAGAGTGAGGGCATGATGAGGGTAAAGTGAGAGTCAAAGGAGCCGTTCTCACATTAATATATACGTTGTACTTAGGAGGGGTGTGACGATCTAGGCAGGAGCGACTTCCCTCGTTTCTTCCAAGAAGGGCAAACGAGCTTTTGCACTGGAAGCAAACAAGCAAACAGGAAGGATATAAGAAGGAGGAACGCCCTCGTAGATAGTTTTCCCTTTTCTTCTTCTCTCCTTATGCTTAGAATTTTGACACAAATGCACTCTTTCCTTGAACGACTTGGCATGTAACAAGGGGTATATTAGGGTCATATTGTTATAGGAGCATAATGCAGCGAGATAGATTATAGCTAAAGAGTACTAATATCAACTCTAATTTTTCTAATTACGAACTACGTATAGCTATAAATACCGTCTTCTCCCTTTCTTCTTTCTCTTCTTTTCTCTCTTCCTACAATCCCCTCCGTCTCTGCAACATCTTCGCCAACTGGTGCTATATACTAGTACCGTCTGTGAACTCATATCCTTCTTACTTACCACTCGTACTCTACTAACATACATGGGTATAAATAGTCACTTCTTCCCTTCTACCTTCCACCTTTCTTCTTCCACCCTCCATCTTCCATCTTCCAGTTTTTGCCCTCCAACATGACGACTGAACGTGGCAAACCCCAGTTTGTCAGGTATCTATTAACCTGGATGTGGAGGGTAAGAAAAAGGCCCTCCAAGACTGCAAGGAAAAGCTGGCGAAGGACTCGAAAGCCAGAAACCAGGCTCCCACGGGCAGGCATTCGACCCCCACCCGCAGCAGCTCGACAAGGGAAAAGAACGTGGCCCGAGATCGCTCCCCCTTGAGGATCGCGAATGTGATGACCTTAGCCCCGATGTCTATGATTCTACTGGTATTCCCTCTCTCCGTCCGCGAATCGTCCCTCGATCGATTCGCTGGGGACCGCGACACGCTAACTTCCGCTCGCGCCGGGACGATACTAGATCATTGACGAGTCAAAATCCATCACGGGCTAGGTCACACATGGATACGGCCACGGGACAAGAGCTTGCTGGGACGTTGCAGGCAGAGGTGTGCGACGAAATAGTAGCGGTGCAAGAAGCACCAGCTACTACCCCCACTATCGCTCCCCAGCAAGTGGAGATCAATGACCTTAGCCCCGACGTTGATGATTCCCCCAGCATTCCTTCTATCCCGAATCGTCCCTCGATCGATTCGCCGAGGATGGTCACGATACACTAGCTCCCGTGTGTGCCGTGAGGATGTTATATCATTGGACAGTCACAAATCATCTACAAATATATTTGATCACTAGTTACATACTCCGTAATTATGCCATGTACCCCTATTGTCTGACTAGCTATGATTAATATCGATTAGCAAGAATATCCAGGGACCTAGAACTAAATCAGGGCTTAAGAGTCATAGCCAGACCAATGATCTGAAGAAATAAAATTAATCCCAATACGCTAAGGAGAATGGCGGAGTCGTCGGAAATGAGCCCCTTGGCGCAAAAAGAATAAAAAGGACATGGCAGTGCAGCTTGTGTTGCTGTGAAATAGAAAATAAATTCAGATCAAATCTATAAGCTTGAGAATCATGGGCAAATTCACCATCGTCAATGGCCAAATCTACACGCCAGGCTTGGCAATCGTCGATGCGCCACAACCCAACACGCCCCTCGGAGGAGGCAAGTCAATCCGCCAAAAATCTATCAACTCCTAACTAATTTCTTAGACAACCTGCAAGTCGCAATCGACGTGTCCGGCAATGGCCAATTACCATGGCCGGCATCAACTCAACCCGACTCATCGACCCACTTCCACAACATCACACTCTTTTTAACATCCGAGTCGCACAACTTTACCATCTCTAACGGCACAAAGCCCGCGTCTAACACAAGCTATATCGGTCCCATTTTGGACCTGGAGCCCTCATCCACAGTCAAACATGTGAATTGGATTTGGCCCGAATGCCTCGTGGGAGACGGCTCTGGCTCAAAGGACTCGGCGCGCGGGGCATACAATATCTCTATGCACCAATCTTTCCGCTGGAATGGGACCGATTATTATACTCTCTTTGACCTGCCGATCTCTGTCACCAACAGTATACCCAAGAGTGACGATCGGATCGACTGCGATCTACTGGAAAACAAGCTTCTTAGCGCGACGGAGATCGGCGAGAGCTCGGATTCGCTACCTGGGCAGCCGTGGATTGAGGGCAGAGTTAGCACGACAGTATCGAGCCCCGAGGCGACTCAGACAGGGTCGGGTAATCGGTGTCATTCGGGATTCAGGAGAATAGCTGGCATTGCGATTGCCGCGACGGCTATTTTACATTTCTTGGTTTGAGGTTCCTGGATATCATCGGGTTCATCTCTATTAATTATCAATTTTAGCATTGTTTTTGTCTTTATATCAGTACAGAAACAACCGGCTTACTTCCACGTGCGACCAACTATAGTGTAGATTCAAATATGGCTGTCACAATTCGTCTATTACCGACCACCGAATTCTACTCCTTCTGTTCATGATCGTCGTCGGTATTTCTGCTTTCGGAAGTATACATTCTCATGTTGATTTTGGACCTTGGGGATATCCCTTGATTGCCTAGCTCTCTCTCCCAGCAAAGTTTAATATCTCCGATCAAGGGTTCCTTCCACATCTCTAGTCAAGTATGTCAAGAAGATTAGATCGCGCACACCGGAATTGACACCAACATTGACACCAATCTTCTTTCCATGCCGATTTTGTCCGCCTCCCGACGAGTCCTCCGGTACCGCATCGCCCGAGCCCTGCTCATAATCTTCGCAATATGGAATCTTGCCGAGATACATCTGATTCAACACCGAATTCACGAAGTAGATCACGCTATCCCCCGACACCGGCCGCAAAAGCAAGAACGAATATATATTGCAAGCATCAATTGGAACAATGAGCTCGTATTACGCAGTCACTGGATCAAGGCACTCACACAGCTGGTCATGAGGCTTGGTCCGGAAAATGTATTCATCAGCATCTACGAAAGCGGGAGCTATGATAACACGAAAGGCGCGTTGAGAGAACTAGATTGGGAACTCGAGCGGATGCGGGTACCACGAAATATCACTTTGTCGCCTGTCACACATGAAGATGAACTAGCCGCACCGGCGAGGGGTGAGGGCTGGATTCACACTTCCAATGGGAAGAAACAACTCAGACGAGTGCCGTATCTGGCGCGGACACGGAACTTAAGCTTGCTGCCTCTGCGAGATCTCGCACGACAGGGTATCACATTTGATAAAGTTCTGTTTCTGAATGATGTTGTCTTCACGGTTCGTTTTAATCGTCCTATCTTCTGTGGAATGTTTATTCTAATGAAAGCCCTCTTCTGTGATTAGCCGAACGACGTTCTTGAACTCCTATATACTAATAACGGCGAATACGGCGCTGCTTGCTCGTTGGATTTCTCTAAGCCTCCGAATTATTATGACACATTTGCTCTCCGGGATAGCGAGGGCCATGAACCCATCATGCAGACATGGCCCTATTTCAGCTCTGCGGTATCGCGACACGCCGTGAAAAAATTGTCTCCTGTTCCTGTAACGAGTTGTTGGAATGGCATGGGTGTGTGGACCTCCACTCTAGGAGAGTTGCATGAGCTAACATATATCTAGTGGCAATGCCCGCAAGTCCATTCATCGACAGCCCACCACTTCGTTTCCGAGGCATCCCTGATTCACTGGCGAGCTATCATCTTGAAGGCTCGGAATGCTGTCTCATTCATACAGACAACCCACTATCAGTGGAAATGGGTGTTTATTTGAACCCTTTGGTGAGGGTTGGGTATAGCGGTGCCGCATATACAGCTATGCATCCGGTGATGAACTGGCTCTCTGCGAAAGCGATTCTACAAGGGTTGTGGGTCAATCGACTGCGCCGTTTGGGTGTCACTTCATGGCTGAAAGAAGAAGTAGTTCGAAGGCGGTTGAACGCCTGGAGAGCTTTGAGTACTAGGAATGAAGAACGTGGGGAGATTTGCATCATCAATGAGATGCAAATTCTGCATCGATACGGGTGGGCCCATGTGTGAAGTAGAGCCAGTGGCACATCGCTTGTATATATCATTTAGTCTCATGCTGCCGTCCTAGGACTATAGCCAGGCGCTTATAATATGCTTTATATCTTCACCTCGCGTGAAATATATACTTCGGGAATAAAAAGAAAAAATACACAGTTTTAAGATTAAGTTCTGCAGCAGCTTGATCTACGATGCATATAGATCGGCTACTGATATTCAATCGCACTCCATGAATATATTGTACACCATCAGGAAAATACGAACCTCAGCATCCAATCAATGCATTCGACTTTAGCCTAATCTTCAATTCCCGTCTTTTCCCAATTAATTTTTTACACCCCCGAGGCCGGCGCAAAGCGAGCGATTATGTAACCCCGAGCCGCCTGGGACTGTATCAAAAGCAAAAACCCCCACTTACCCTCCATAAACCACCCAAAGCCCCAATAACACATAATGGCAACAATCCAAATCCTAGACGGAGGCCTTGGGACCTCCCTAGGCGATCTATACAACATCAAATTCGACTCGACAACAACCCCACTCTGGGCCTCACACCTGCTAGTGAGCGACCCAGCAACGCTGCAAGCATGCCAACGCGACTTCGGCGTTGCCGGAGTAGACGTTCTTCTAACAGCCACCTACCAAGTCTCCACTGAAGGATTTGCGCGGACCAAAACCGCCCAATTCCCAGACGGGATTCCGCGCAGCGCAGTAGGGCCCTTCCTACAGAAAGCCGTGGACATCGCCGAGCAAGCGAAGGTGCGCGAGAACGCCAGTGTCGCGCTCAGCCTTGGCCCTTACGGCGCGTGCATGGTCCCCGGCCAGGAGTATAGCGGTGCCTACGACGCCGCGCATGACTCCGAGGAGTCGTTGTATTTGTGGCACTTGGATCGGCTGCGGATGTTTGCTGAGGCAGAGGGGGAGCTTGTGTCGCGCGTGCGGTATGTTGCATTTGAGACATTGCCGCGGCTTGATGAGATTCGTGCTGTGAGAAGGGCGATTCAGGATTCTGCTTTCGATGTGCCGTTTTGGATTTCTTGTGTTTTCCCGCGCGAGGATGATCTCTTGCCGGATGGGAGTTCGGTGGGGCAGGTTGTGCGCGCTGCGATTGCGCCTTTGGAGGGTGGGGCTGTTCCTTGGGGGATTGGGATTAATTGTACTAAGATGCATAAGCTGGCTGGGCTTGTTGATTTGTTTGGGCGCGCTGTTGCGGAGTGTGTTGCGGACGGGCAGGTATCTGATGTGCCGAGTTTGGTTTTGTATCCTGATGGGACGAATGGGGAGGTGTACAATACTACGACGCAGGTTTGGGAGAGACCTGATGGATTGCGTGATAGTGTGAGTGCTGACGTGAGTACTACTCTCGGGAGTCGGGTGGGAAGATTGTGGATTATGCTGACGTGAATTTAGCGATCTTGGGAGGTGCAGTTGGCCCAGGTGGTCAATGAAGCCTACGAAAAGGGCTATTTCAATTCGTTCCTTGTGGGTGGGTGTTGCAAAGCTTCTCACCACGATATCAAGAAACTTGGAGAGCAATTCAAGACTCAATAGGGATTATGATCACGTTACGAATGAAGTTTGGAATGAAAGCTGAATGGAATAAGACATTATAAATCGGTCATGTTGAATTGCCGGCTCTATATGGGGATATTTATACATTATACAAGTCATTTAAAAGAGCCAATCGGTAAACTTCGTCAACGCATTGCGATTGGGGTTTTCAACATGCGTGATCTCCCCATCTACAAGACGGCCCGACCATAGGTCGATACTGGCGGCACGCTCAAACTACATTCGACATGTTAGCAACTCTTCATTAAGAAACAGAAAGAATAAGAGGGCTGAACTAACCTTGGTGCGACGCCAGATCTTCCAGCAAATGATGGGGAAAATGAAGATAGGGATACCGATGTACGACGCAATAAAGTCCGACGTATTCCAGTTGCCCTTCAAGAAGACGGGGAAACCAGCAACCAAAGTGATGATGATGGAACCGATGAAGCCCACCCACGCGGCATAAGGTTGCAAAGGTGCTTGCCATGGGAGTGTGTCTCGGCTCACACCTTGTTTCTTCATCGCAGCAAAGAAACGGATATAGCACAAGCAAAGGGTTGCCCAAGCAATCAAACCGGCAATGGTGCTCAGGTTCAAAAGCCAGGTGAAAGCCTGTGCTGCACCACCGGTGCCGAGACTCAGGTACGCCAGCGGACCAAAGAGCCAGGCGGCAAAAACGGCATAGTATGGCACGCCAGACTTGTTCACGCGCGCGAAGATCTGGGGCAGTTGCTTGTCTGTAGTCATGGCGACAATCATGCGCGATCCGACCCAGCAGTATGAGTTACCGGCGGACCACGCGGCGATGAGAATGCATGCATTTACGATAGAGGGCAGAGCCTTGATGCCGGCGTTAGTGATGGCAATGACGAAGGGCGAGCTGTTCGCGTTTCCGGTGCCAGAGACAAGGCCTTGTGCTCTTGGATCCACGATCATACCGATGAGAAGTGCTCCGAGAATGTAGAAGATGCCAATGCGGTAAGTGACACGGCGGGCGGCCTTGGGGATGGCACGGTGGGGATCAACCGATTCGGATGCGGTAATGACGACAGTCTCGACGCCAATGAAGCTGAACGAGGCGTTGACCAACGAAGACAGGAAGCCCAGGAAGTGACCTGTCGGACCGGTGATACCGTTGTAGTCTGTCCACGGTCCAGGGTGATGCCAGTAGCGGAATCCAATGGCGCCGCCTTTGGGAGCACCACCTGCAGTAATGACAATGGAGACAACAACCAAGCCAAGGAAACAGAGGACCTTGACGGCACCTCCGAAGACTTCGGTTTCACCATAGAATCGCACACTCATCAAATTGATAGCCAAAATGAGTACCAATCCAACTGTGATCACCACGGCAGGCGTGAGATCCGTCCAATATGAGACAATAACCGCGGCCGCGGAGACTTCTGAGGCGATGGCGATCGTGTAACAGTATCCGTATGAAATAGCGAGGGAGAAACCAACAGCCGGGTCGATGAATCGAGTCGCCCAGTGAGGGAAGGATCCAGCAGTCGGGAAAAGCGTTGCGAGTTCGGCTATACTTTGCATCACACACCACAAGACTCCTCCCACAATAATATAGGCGAGCAGCAAACCAGCCGGGCCAGCTTTGGCGTAGGCCGCACCAGTTCCCACGAATAAACCTGTGCCGATACCACCGCAGAAACCAATCATGGTAACCTGGTAATTGCGCAGGCGTCGCTGCAGGGGCGCACGACCACCGACATTGAGCTCAAACTCGGCCTTGGGATTGACATCGTAGTCTTCAAAATCTGCGCCGGGCGCCGACTGGACGTTCTCGTTGTCGTAGCCGGACTTCTCCATGTTGTGTGTAGTGCCGATCATCTAGGCTAGGTCTGCCTTAGTAGATCTTACCCCGGAGACCTGAGGAGTGACCGAAATGCTTAGATGGGAGACAGCTTTTTTTTTTCCGACTTATTATTCAGTCTCGGTCCAAGCACGACATCGGGACTTCTATTGACGCCAAATTGTTCTCCACAGTGGGGAGACTCATTGGACTGCGTCGCTCGGAGTTCGGCCTCTCCCCACTTTTTTAAGCGGTTGACTAACTTTTTCTTCATTTTGCCATAATCGCAATTGAAGGCAAATCATGGCTTTGATTTGTTAGTCTGATACCGCAAAGCTTGGTGGCATAGGCCGGCATCGTGGGAGCATTGTGGCGAGTGAATCAGGTATTTTTGCCCCCAAGGTCCCGTGAAAAATGGATGCATCTGGAAACCACGTGCTCTGCCGGATAGATCCCCGAGAATGTAAGCTTTGCGCCTGAGATATGAGGCAACCTTGTTATTCAGCCTTAGTCATCAACATCTTCAACCTTCCAGGAACCTTCCAAGGTTGGAATTGGTCCCTTTTCGTGGGACAAACAATACTACGGATCTCGGTGTTAGGCCTGAATTACGGAGTAACTGATTCCGATTTCCGAGGCCACGTAGCCGTTCTTCTCCTCGACGCCCTGCCTTTTTCTGATCATCCGATTTGCGTTTACCGGTATAAGTGCTATTGGCTCATTGAGAATCGATCGCCGGTTTTTGGGGGCATTTGTATGAGACTTCTTTGAAGATACCTTATAAATTTCGATCCGCCGGACTAGAAGTGAGCTTGCATCTGTACTTTGACGAATATGCCTTTGTACGCGTATAGATAAAGTATCTAGCTCAGCCAGATCATTAAGAAGCTTATCATTAAGCTTCTTCTTAACCCGTATGTATGTAGTATCCGGTAGCAAATTTTGATTGGTGCATAAAGAACGAGCTAGCTATATTGGAACTAGTGCATTACCTGGTCACATGACACATATCTAAGACCTTAGGATTTAATATTGCTTCGTTTCGCTCCATAATGCAAGCAAATGCAAATAATGAAATTACTTTCAAAGTCTAAAAGATTTTATTTAGTTATGTCAGTTCGACAGGAACATGTACAATTATTTATGCATCAAATATTTATGCACACCAGGGTTCCCCGGATATTTTACCCTAAAACAATATCACATGACCCTGAAAAGGTCGATACCACACAAGATCTCAACTTGTTGGATGAGATTCGAGATCAGTTTTGGCGTTTGAGTTAAAGTGTTACATATGTAAATATCGAAGGCTAGATCCATTATCAAACCACCAGGTTTCTGTCAGGTTACAATAATATCTCGAGAAATCTTCGTGCAACATATGGTGCAATGAATGGGTCGGTACGGAGTAGGGGGCAATTAAATAGCGGATCCTCTACGGAGTACTCCGTACTACATTTTGGGTTTTTTGGCCTCGCCTCTATTCACCCTATTTTGTACTCCGTACGGAGGATCCGCTTAGGTTCGTTCGGCATAGTGATGTCGTATGTTCGAGAATATATGGTATGGTTTGAGATGCGAGGGGAAAACCAGCAATGACACTTCCACTCGTCACTGTGTCGTATGGTCAACTTTTTCAGGGCCCATTGCCGGATCAACCGTGCGATAGGAGTCTTAAGAAATTATCGTATGGTCCACTGACAGCAGCGATATGCAAAGGCGAAGCGACTCCGCCGAGGGGTATCCTTAGACTAGCACCGACCGTTAACCACTATATCTTACAGCTGCATCCTCACAAATCAGACATTGCAACTTCTCATCCGCAATTGAGAACCAAATCTTCGCTAAGCCCGACCGAATCCCCGTCCTGGTCTATGGCATCTGACCCGACCAGGTTAAAGCCTACCTCACAAACTCTCACTTTCAGTCTCTACCCGTGGCGGAAAGACTAGCCATCGCCGAGGCCGTCTCTCTCTGGAAGGGACTAGAGTCCGGCGATTCATACATCCCCCCGCCCCCAAGCGTATCTCGAGTCCGATCCCTGGAATTCCCAAGCACCGCGATAGCCTCCTCTGTACCGTCGCGTCTACCGATGGTGTCGCCCGAAGCGGCCAGAAAGTTGCCGGTCTAACTAGCCACGGGATACGTACTAACATCGTCCGCGCGCAGCAAGACCGACTCCCGAATAAAATTCTCCAGGCATATATAGACGAGGGCATCCAGCGCTAGACAAGGAGACTGGCTTGAAGTGGCTGTATGACGGGCTAACTCAAAAGTCGAGTTTGTACAAGCCATTTCTACGAGACATTTCGATAATTAATGATTGACCAGTATGCTGTCCATGGACTGAGCGACCACCGCGAAAATTCATGGACCGCAGCTAATGGGATAAAATAGCTGCATGATATATGCCCCACACTAGAATCATTTCCTGGGGTTGTAGTTTACCCACGGCGAGAAACTCCCATGAGCCATCATCCCAGCAGAAACTATCTGAGCAACTAGTCTATAACTTATAGGAAATGAGATCGTCAACGTAACTCAACTGACCTAACAAGAAAACAAGAATTAGCACCAGCAAAGCAAAGACAACAAGCAAAGTGTAAGCAGATAGTTCACGGCTGGGTAAGGATAATTCTCTTACCTGGTCCAATTACGATTTGTTGACAAAGTCTAGTCTTCCATGAACATGTAAAGTCCAATCTGTTGGTTGATTGATGGGTAGCGCTATAATATAATTACCAACGACTGTGCTTCCTTATAAGTATGGCTGGACTCTTACTCAATCCTTTGGCATTATCTAAGTAGCTTTGCAGTTCAATGAGCCGTGAATCTAGCTCTGGTGTCCCTATGAAGATCGCTCCGCAACTTGGAAGTATGATGCTGCGAAGGTCCGTAGTAGGGGTTTCTTGTGCTGAGTCGGCATAAAGCAGGACCTAATTATGGTGAATGATAACTCTCTTATGTAGAATGGTGAAACTTACGCTGCTAACTATAGTTCCCCCGAGACTATGTGCAATAAATATAATCGGACAATTGGCTGTCCGCGTTGAACAAGACTTCATCGTCCTCACAGGAGAAGTCGTCACATATTTCGATCCAAGCGGAGCATAGTGATGATCAAGGCTGATATCATTGGTGCAACCTGGGTACTCTTATTAGTCTCCCACTCAATAATAGGGCTGCATGTCCGACCTCCTTTCCTCTCCTGCATTACGCATGCCTAATTCGGCAGAGGCGTTCGATAGCGCCAGACGAACCTAATATTAAACACTCCATAGTCACACTCTTAATGTTAATCGGCCTATGGACTGAAACAAGCTGCCTATGCCAAGACTTCCATTTCGTCCGGATCGCGGACGTCCGCGCCCACACACTGCCAAGCGCCAAGTTTCCATCATAATTCCCAGCATAAGAGCTAATGCAGGATTCAATGCCGATCCACGTCGGCCATCACATGGGAGAATCTCAATGTTAAGCTTGGAAACAGTTTATTATTAAACATTCCGATCAATAACGCCGATCATTCGTTGTCTTCCGTCTTGGGACGGGGTAAAATTCTATTCAGCTGTCCCCTCATTCTCTCCCCTTTCATTGCAAGGAATGCCCAATTACTATATCTATCCCTTGACAATTTTACCTTCATTCTCCCAATAATCTTATCTGCTTGCATGTTCATGGAATGACTGATATCGAACTCTCCCAGCGAGATGCCCTGGAGGACGAGTCCCCGCTCACCTCCAACGGTGAGGGGTCTTCTGCGCCCGTGAAGCCAGCGCAGGCTCCAAAGGCCGGCAGGAAGCTGCCAGGATGGCTGGATCACTTCAATGCCCGCGATATGAAGGTGCTGTTCCGTTGCACGTTGGCTGCATGGGTCGCGTCGCTTTTGATCGTGATCACTCCGTCCTTAAGCGTCATTGGTACTGCGACTTTCTTTGCAACGTGAGCGCATCTATATTTTACTCTCGGTATCAATTGCTAATCCTATCGCGATCAGTCTAGTACTCTTTATGGTGCCTCCGACCGGCATTGTTTTCATTTTCCTTTTAGGAACTCTGACCGTTATCATTGGTATGGCTTTGGGCTGGGCCTGGGGTGTCATCACTATGAAGGCTGCGATGGCAGCGAGACCAGCAGCCGAGACCCAGGCCAACCTTCAATCCCTAGGACAGGCCGCATACAGCCAGGCCAATTCCACCGGACAGGCCGTGGCAGAAGTCCAGAAGGAGCTTATCTATAACGGCTGGATGCTTGACGCTCGTGTAACAGTTGTCTACTATTGCCTAATCTGTCTGTTCATCTATTTAATCGTGAGAGACTTCTTGACCCGTGCATAATGATCGCGACACTGACCCTTTCGCGCAGTCCCGTCTTCGGGCTAAGAACCCCAAACTCATTCTGTTACAGATTCTCGGAATCATCATCATCGATGTTACTCTGACTATTGGCCCGATGCTTCCATATTTCAGCGGTACTGTCCCTAAGGTCTTGATCGAGCCTGCCGCTATTGGAATTGGGTTGGGCCTGGTCTCCCATTTTATCTTCTTCCCTCGATCTACCTCCCACGTCGTGCTTGATGGCATGGAGGGGCTGGTGCGGTTACTCAAAGGGCCTGTGGACGTCACGGAGAACACTCTTCTGAAAGGCCAAGTCTTGGATATGGCAGATCTTCAAAGAATCAAAGGGCAAACCATTGCTGCTTACAGGAATCTCAAGCCGGCCATGGCCTTTCTGCCGTTGGACTTCTCTGTCGGTTGGTGGGGTGCTGACGACATCAAAAGCATGAAGAAACCAATTCGCCAGGCTTTGGTGAGTAGTCTGTCTCTTCTTGAAGTTCACATCGCCCGCATCGGCGGAGAAGCCAAGTTCAAAAAGCTGCACCAGCTCACCGTGGATCGAGACTCCGACTCTGATTCCCAAGCGAATGGAAATGAGAAAAAACGCCCACGCGAGGTTGGCATGCGCCAAATGATGGAGGGTGTTAATTTGGTACAAGCAATGCGAAGCCCGGAACATGAATCTATGCTATCGGAAACTGTCGAGGTATTGCGCAAGTCCAGCAAGGATATCCTCCCGGCGTGTCAGGAAGCTGTTGAGATCATTGCAGAATCCATTAACACGGCCAACAAGCGTTGGTTCGGTCGCCCTTCCAAAGAACGTCTCAATCAGTTGCACGAGCGCAGTCAGACTGTACTTCAGAATCTTCAGGCCCTGCGCACATCGTTCGCGTCGGAAACCACCGACCGTCTGATTCAAACACATGCGGAGATTTTCGATGAAAAAGGCATGCTCAAGGCCCTTGACAAAACTTCAATGCCCAGAGTTAGGGGTATCATGATGGGGATGGTCTTCGAAGAGCAGGTGCTCGGCGTCGCTGACGGGTGGGAGCGGGTCCTGCGACAACTTGTCGTCCTCCTAAAGGAACGTCAGAAGATCCGTCTGTGGCTACCCAAGGGCTTGCGATACGCACTCAACTGGGTATGTCGTAAAAATGCCGTGGCGCCTATACCCGCGGCTGATGACCCAATCGTCGACCCCGATGTCGCAGAGACGCAGTCCAAAGCGGCACAGCTTCATCTTCGCATGAGCAGAGGGTATCGTGTCCACCGAGGTAGCAGCTTTGGGCGCGCTATCATCGGCACATATCATTGGTTTATCAACCCTGAAGGTCTTTATGCAATGCGCATGGTGGCTGTCACCATCGCGCTCGCTATCCCTGCTGCGATTCCCCACACTGCGGGTTTCTATTACCGTGAAAAAGGTATCTGGGCTCTCATCATGGGGCAGACCACACTGGTTATATACATGGCCGACTTCACCTTCTCCCTTATTTGTCGAGCCATTGGTACTGTTGTTGGTGGTGTCCTTGGCTTAGTTGTGTGGTACATCGGCTCAGGTCACGGCAAAGGTAACCCGTACGGTCTTGCTGCCATCATGGCTGTTGCGCTCACCATTCTCATGTGGGCACGTATATTCACGTCCCCTGCTTTCCTTCAAGCTACAATCATGGCTGGTGCGACCTACATTCTGGTTGTCGGTTACAGTTTCGAGGATACGTAAGTATATGGTACCACATTGGGGAAGCAACATGGCTGACAACTTCACAGGCACATCCCAACTTACGGCAATCCCGGATGGGGATATAGTGTTTTCTGGCGACGACTTGTGCTTGTTCTTATTGGCTCCGCAGCGGCACTAATCGTGCAGCTCTTCCCTCGTCCGCCATCTGCGTCGAGACACATCTGCAAGTCTCTTTCAAATGTCATCCGCTCACTGTCGGACCACTACGCGCTTCTCTTATCCTGCTGGGGACAAGGGCGCGAAGAGGGCCTGGCCGCAGAGAAGCTAGCTCTAAATCTTGCAGAGACTATCACCGCACTGGACGGTCCCATCGCCTTGCTGCGCTTTGAATTTTCGAGCTCGCCATTTGACAGCGATCGTCTCGGTCAGGTCAAAGCACTTTGTCAAGAACTCAACCAGAACATTGCTCGCCTACTTTACCTATCTGCTTCGCTGCCGGAGCACCTACAGACTCGCCTCGCTCGGCAAGTCGGTCTCCTTGATCATCACAATATCGGCGACATCATGGCTGTTCTCGGTGTGGTTGAACAATCACTCAAGACGGGTGACCCCCTACCCGAGATGCTGCCAACGCCACTGCTCAACCGTTGCCACGATTACTGGAAGTCGCACCAGACAGATATTATCCTGAGCAAGGAGTTGATCCGCGACGAGAACTACCGCCGATTCTGCGTTGCCATCAGCGCATACCTCAAGTTCCTGGCTGCCGTGGATGACCTAGTGCTCGTGATGAAGGGCACATTGGGTGAGTCGCACATCGTCAGCCGCGACCTGCTCCACGAACCGAATGTATAAGAGAGCAAATTTATATTGTAATTAGAGTGTTCTATCAGGATCGTTGACATATATAATTGTGCATATAGCGATGTGTCATAAAAATTGGATCCCCTCACGTTCCTCCGCACGGCCGGTTTTCTCCAATTTTTTCTTCTTCCCCTAATTCCCAACCCATTCTAGGGCCTTTGCTTTGGATGAACGTCATTCAATATTTTGTTTTTTTCCCTTTTGATCTCCTGTATGGACGATTACCAATAATTATAATATTCAATTCCATCTGCGGGTCTCGTCCATGGCCCCTCCACGTCTTGCCCGTCTTCCCCGGTGGATCAGCCACTGGCTTGGCTATCGCCCAGAGCCCGTGAAGCCACTCTCTAAATACGAAGTCGCTCTATGGTCGTTCATAATCTCATTCTGCGGTCTATCGGTCTTACAAGCAATTTTCAACTACTCCGACTACTTCAAAGAGCGCAATGTACCGGGTATAGTCGCATCCTATGTACGTGTCAATAGCCAAATCGCATTCCCAAATATCGACATTGACTCACATAAAACCAGGGTGCATCCGCCGTCCTCGTCTTCGGCGCAATTGAAAGCCCCCTAGCGCAACCGCGCGCTCTAGTCTTCGGCCACTTCTTCAGCGCCCTGACCGGCCTCTGCGTTACCAAGTTGTTTAGCCTCATGCCGGACAAAGCGCGGTTCGAGTCCCTGCGCTGGCTAGCCGCTTCGCTTTCAACGGCTATTGCTATTGTCGTCATGCAGTTGACGGGTACTACCCACCCGCCTGCTGGCGCGACTGCTCTGCTCCCAGCTACCAATGCGGAGATTTGGCGGCTTTCTTGGTACTACTTGCCTGTAGTCCTGTTGTCCTCGACTATGCTCTTGGTGTGCGCGTTGCTGTTGAATAATTTGCATCGCCGGTATCCGGCTTTCTGGATCGCGCCTACGCCGCCGAAGCCGGCTGCGCCTGTTGCTCCAGTGGCGCCGGCGCTGGCGCCTGTTGACGTTTCGTCGGAAGAGGAGAAGTCGGTGAAGAGTCCTGTATGATGCTTTAAAGAGCTTCTAATACACTCTGGTAATGGTTGCACGGCATATGCCGCTATCTGTTTCAAGGATGCGAGATATATATGATGTATATAAAAACTCGGTTGCACTACTAATATATCCGAGACTACGTAAGGAAAAGAAATTCAACATGACTCTTTCAGGGTCTAACATACCTATTAACTGTATTCACAATCTCCCAAGAGCTACTACGTAGCAAGCCCCTACCTAGGGCTCTTCAATGTTCACTCGGTTTACGACTCTCGTTAGGTCTGATTGCATTAGGGGAAGCAGCTTCGTCTCTCTGTCTTCTATGTTTGGGTGCATTTATCCAATTACTTGCGTATTGATTTAGGAAAAATTTTGAGAGGCTACTGTGTGGGACCAAGGGGGAGTTGACAAGGCTGTGCCAAGGGTTTAGCTCTTGAGGTCTCTTCCTTACTCTTTTCGTCTTACTTGATTAACACTACGTTTCTACAATTTGGACATAATCAAGGAACAGCTCATGGTTTTATTTGACTCAACTAGAAATTTAGGCACCGCAGAAAACAGAGAAACAAAGTTGCTACGAAGCAGAGAAGCAGGCAGGTATGGACACTGTCAAAACAAAACAGAAATCCCGCAGAAATAAGCTCCCAGGCTTAATCCTCCTCGCTGCTGGACGAAGTCGTGGACGAATAGTATTCCTCCTCAGGCAAATCTGGAAGGGGAGGAGAAGGGGTAGGTTCCTCGGTAGGCAGGTAGAAATCGCAGCACTGTCGGCATGGGCAGTCATGCACCTTGTAGTACAATCGGGCCCAAATCATTCGAAGATAGTTGCGTCTTTCGTCATCTTCTTCGAAAAGCTTGAGCTCCCATCGACGCTGCTCACGCTCAACCATCTTGGCACTCTCCACTGCTTCGGTGTCCTCATCGCTCAATCCATGCAGAGTGAGACTTCCAACTTGCATAGACAGCATGCCGAACAGCTTCATGAGCACCGGATCCTCGATGGTGGTCATTAGATCGGCGTTAGTAGAAAGAATAACCCGTACGCTGTCAGATATCTCTTCAATCAAGACCATGAGGTTATTGCACCTCTCTTCGAAGCAATTGCCCTCCTTCTCGGAGCCTTCCCGAATCAATGTCCACATAGACAATGTGTAGAAGATTTTGCGGAGGTAGGTTTGGATTTGAGGGACCCATCTGCCTCCTGTCTGTCCCTCGGAAAGTTTGTTGAGCTCCACGACGAAGCCATCGCGGTTTTCCTGGAAGTTCTCAATGGCGGCAGCTTTGACGTCGGCCTGCATCATGATGATAACAGTTAGAGATGAGGATGATGTAAGCTGGAGATGATAGTTATTGAAGATGATGGTAGTGAAGATGCATACCTCGAGTCGTGGGGGAATTCCTTTTATACTCGAGCAATAGATCTTGTCTGGCATAGCAGATTTATCGGAGTACAAAGAGACAATGGGCCAAGACATGACAATAGATCTATAGAGACCCTCAGCCAAAGGAATAAAGCCTTTGGCTTCGAGATATGAGTCTCATTCAAAGCAGGATGTGTCATTCTTTTCCTTTATAAGCGCGAAGAATAGACTTGAATATATGAGCCCTATACAAACCAGAAGGGGAACTCAATCATGACAGAATTGCGGTCGACGAATCTATCAAATAGAAAAAGGGGGAACTTATATTAGAGACCGCTGACTGTGCATGATACTCTTAGCTTTAGAGATATATAGCTGAAGATAGGAAAGGTCTTAGGCAATCAATGAATGTAAAAGTTGTGCTATATTCAAGGTATTTATAGGGTTGTAAGGTTGTATGTGATCAAAGGAGTTTGTGTGCGCCCGTACTCTTTCTCCCCCTTCTTTGTGCACCACTCAAAATAGCAATCAAAGTTGTTTTGCAGACAAACTAATATCAAACTCTCAAAGGTCCAGATATCCTGACAAAGGGCAGTCAAGTCGGGTCTTTGGGGACGTTTCAACAAGAACGTGATTGTTCGGCGCATAACAAGTTCAGATTTCTATGCAAAAGAAGGCTGGAGTTTTCCACAAGCTCGGTCGGCTAATCTCTCTTTCATGAGCACTTCATAGACATGCGATGCCCACGCACAGCAAACCTTGCGCGTATCCTTCGGGTCGATGATTTCCTCTATTCCAAATGCGTTCGCTGTTCGCACCGGGTTCATCAGCCGCAAATACTCTTCTTCCAACTCTTGATACCGTTCTTCCTTCTTTCCAACCTTCTCGGCTTCACGCAGCTCATGCCGATGGCCAACTTCAATTCCGCCGTCCAGGGGCAGCGAGCCCCACTGTCCAGACGGCCAAGCAACCTGCATAACCGGATCACGACAACCCAACATAATACCGCCCGCTACGCCAAACACACGCCGCGTTACCACGTTGAATACCGGCACGGTGGTACTAAAGTAAGCCTTGGCGAGCTCGACGCCCCAACGCATCGTGGCTGTGCGCTCGGCAACCGTTCCAATAGCATAGCCCGCTTCAAGAAAACGCGTCAGCTTGTTTCAAAGGATGTAGGATGGAACAAATCACTTACGGATGTCCAAAAACTGCAGAATAGGCAGATTCATCACATCACACAACTTCAGCAGCCGCGTTAACTTCTGGCTACCAGCGGCATCCAGTGCGCCTCCGTTCACTTCACAGTTGACGGAGATAACCCCAATAGGACGACCACCTAGGCGCGCAAGTCCACCAATTGCAGTACGCCCCCATAATGCGCCAATCTCAAACCAGGAGTCTTTATCAACTACAGAGGTGATGATCGAACGAGCATTATACATGCGTGCTTGTCTTCGAGGGATGATACTCCGCAGTGCAACATCTTCGCGCTCCTCCAAGTCAGTGCAGGGAATAGTTGGTGGTGCATCGCTCCCACTGTTGGGGAGATAGCTCAGAACGACCCGCAGCTGCTCATAGCACTCTGCCTCATTGGCGGCAAGGTTATCGATCGTGCCGTTCGTACAATGAACCATAGGCCCGCCCAGGTCTTGGAACTCGAGACCTTCTTCGAATGTGGCACCTTCAACAACCTTCGGGCCTGCATTGAACAATGCTCCGATGTCGGCTGCCATCACTGAAAAGTGGCAGGATACCACTCTTGCAGCGCCAAGCCCAATCTACAATAAAAGTTAGTTCAGCTCATATCAACAAATGTCAAATGGTATGTCAGATAAAGCAAAAGAGAATATCACGAAACTCACCGCAGGTCCAACAACAGCCCCCAAATTCGGAATCCCCATATTCAACTGCTTAATAACATACGGAAAAGACGCAACATGAGGGAGATAACTCCACCCTTCCTTCTGAATAATCGTCACGCTCCCACCGCCAGAACTCCCATCAACAAGCTTAACAACCGGCATACGCAGCGCAATAGCAAGCTTCTCTACATAAACCGTCTTTCCGGTACTCGCGCCGTCCGCATGTCCAGACCGGATACTGAAATCATCAGCCGTGAGGAGGACCTTCCTGCCGCGAAGCAGTCCAGCCCCTTGGATGTTATTACTAGGCACGAAGGAGACAGGCTTCTCGCGCATCGGCGCGGTCTTTTGCCACGTCACCGTGCCGGAAACGGACCCGATTTCTTGGAAGGTGTTTGGGTCAAGGAGTTGCTCGATGCGCTCGCGCACCCATAGCTTGCCTGCTTGCTTTTGGCGCACGTAGCCTCGGTTGGTGGGGTCTGGCTTTGCGGCTATTGCGCGGAGGGCTGCGAGTTGACCTAGGACATCTGAGTGGTCTGCTGGGAGGTGGGTTTCTGTGGACTTTGGTTTTGGCTTGGACTTTCTTGGTTGTTCTGGTGGGGATATATGGGATGAGACCTGTTGTAGGCGGTCCGTGGCTTGGTCTTTGCCAGTTCTCGTTGATGGGCTGTCGTTGTCTTTTGTCATAGTGTGTCGATTGATACAGGATGTTGTTTTTATTATTATTTTTGTGTAGAATCGGATACATCTCTTGTTTAAGGATTTGGTCTACTGAGGGGCTAGGCAGACCTTCCGAGGGCCGAGGTCACCCACGAGAGCTATAATATCTTCTCGAAGGAAGTACCTGGTAATGAGATATTTTAAGATACTTCGATTGATCTATTTGACCTATTTGAAACATATTATAACTGATTTCGTTATTTGATTTACTTGGGAGGGACTTTTGCATACAATTACCCCGGATTTCCCCTTCCACCCCGATGTCATCCCCGCACTCACGGCCCATCAAGAGATTGTTGGTCGCCAACAGGTATGAACTTCTAAAAAAAGTTAATGTTATATTATACTCATGTAATATATAATAGAGGAGAGATCGCCGTTCGTATTCTCCATGCAGCACGAGAGTTACCCTCGTCAGTCGAGACATTCGCTCTCTACACATCAGACGACCGACCGCATTGCGATCTAGGACGACCACAGCATGCAATTGAAATCCCATCAGCATCATCATATCTCGACATTTCATTATTGGTCGACCTGGTCCAAAAAAACTCTATTGATGCCGTGCATCCCGGGTATGGATTCCTCAGCGAGAGCGCCGAATTCGCGCATCGCATGTGGCACGAAGCCGGGGCTCTCGTCATAGGACCTGGATGGGAAAACCTCGCCCGGACGGGTGATAAGCTGCAGGCAAAACAGCTAGCACAGCAATGCGGTGTCCCTGTATTAGAAGCCATGAGTCAACCTACCACCAACGTGGACGAAGCACGTGCGTTTGCTACGCAGGTTGGTTTCCCGGTTATGATCAAGGCTGTTGATGGAGGAGGCGGCCGCGGGATTCGGCTCGTTCGCGAGGAGCATGAGCTGGATAATAGTATTCAGAGAGCGATTGGCGAGTCGCCGTCTCGGACTGTCTTTGTTGAGAAAGCTGCTGTGGACGGGTTTCATCATATTGAAATTCAGATTATTGGTGATGGGACAGGCCAGGTGCGACATTTGTGGGAAAGAGATTGCAGTGCTCAGCGGCGGTTTCAGAAGGTGGTTGAATGCGCCCCGGCTTTGATGCGGGATAGAGCTTTGGTCGGTCGAGTGATCGAGTCTGCGCTCAGGATGGCAAGTGAAATCCGCTATCAATCATTAGGAACCTTTGAGTTCCTGGTCAGTGAACAACGCGGGGAATTCTACTTTTTGGAGGTGAACCCGCGTCTGCAAGTCGAGCACACCATTACGGAATCTATCAGTGGGATAGACCTGGTGCAGACGCAGCTTCTTCTCGCCCAGGGATACACTTTACGTGATCTGGGCCTCGGCGCTGAAATTGACCCAAGTCATCTTCCGCCAAATGCCTTTTCAATCCAACTTAGACTGTGTGCTGAAGACCCGAGCAACGGGTTTTCTCTGAGCATTGGCAAAGTGACTAGGTTTACCGTGCCTAGTGGCAATGGAATCCGGGTAGATACACATGTCAATGTCTCTGGGCCCGCACTAGTTGTGGGATCCAACTTCGACAATCTGTTAGCCAAGATAATCGTGACTGCGCCCACCTGGGAAGCGTCCGTTAGAAAAGCCCAGCGAGTCTTGGCTGATTCAAGGGTTGACGGTCTGAAGACTAATATCAGCCTTCTACGAGGGATCGTGGCCCATTCCGATTTCATGGCCGGCAAAGTCGACACGCAATGGCTTGGACTCAACATCGACGCAGTACTCCAGCAAGGGGAGATGATATCGAAGACTATTCAGGGACTAGATGGTTCAGCCGGCCCTTCACAGCAAGTCAGCCAGAATGGACTACCAGTATCTAATCTTTTGTTCCGAAAAGGAGATGCATGGTCAATCACGTTGGAACCTCTGTCGAAGGATTCCCAATCAGACAAAGTTTCCCACCATCTGCGCCTGTCCCGGGTACTACGCAATGAGTTCCCGACTGCATTGGCTGCCGAAATTGAATATACGACTCCAACTTCGGAGGGCGCAATCCCCTATCGGATGCAGCTCGAAACAACCACGACTGCTGCGTCAGCATTGGTGTCCTCGTCTCATCGGCGAGGTGATCCAAAGAATCCCCATCATATTATACTTCCTCTGTCAGGCAAATTGATTGAGATCCTGGTGTCGGATGGACAGGATGTGGTTGAAAACCAGGTCCTAGCTTTCGTCAAGCAGATGAAGATGGAGCTCGAAGTACGAAGCCCTCGAAGTGGTCGGGTCAAATGGGTTCATGAGATGGAAGACGAAGAGGAGGATGTTGCCGAGGGCATGCTTTTGGTCGAGTTGGAGCCGAACAATGGCAAAGTGGAAGTCCGGGGCAAGTTGTGATTGTAGGATATAGGATAGCATCTACTGAGTCCCTATACAGATCAAATTCGCGAGTCCTGGATATAACCAACGAATCAGCTTGCAGATCCACTTGGTTCCTCAGCATCATTGGTCTAGTGGTAGAATTCGTCGTTGCCATCGACGAGGCCCGTGTTCGATTCACGGATGATGCACAAGAATTTCTTTTTGCTTTTTGGCTCTGGAATCGGTTACTGAACTCAATAAAGTATGATCGCTTTTTGGACGATGATAAGATGAGTTTGGTATTTACTTTTTGCAAATCAAGGCAGGCGGTCAATATGAGCGGTCACTTCCCCAGGTGACGTCACCGCCTCGGTCTTCCCATCCTCTTCCTCTTCCTCTTGTCTCTGGCTTGACCCAGGGTGTTTTTCAGTATGGATGATCTTAATCTCTATGTGCTGACATTTAACTGTGCAAGAAACATTGTCGATGTCGACGTGTTCGCGGACCACTTTTTCGACGCACTCCCCGCGTCTGGTGCGGGGAGCTCCGCACCCGACCTGATTTTCCTCTCGCTACAAGAGATCGCACCCATTGCCTACTCGTTTCTCGGAGGATCCTACCTTTCACCCTACTTCGATGGATTCCGCCGTGCCGTCCAGAAAGCCTCGGCACAAAAATGGAGCCACCACTATGTGAACTTCCTTACGGAAAATACGGGAATGACAGGCCTGATGCTTTTCGCGCGCGAGGACACCCTGGCCAAGATCGCCTGGAGTGACACCGCCCACGTCGGCTTCGGGGTTCAGGAAATGGGAAACAAGGGTGCTGTTGGGGCACGCCTGGGATATGTTGTCGAAGGACTCCCATCCAAGACCGTGGACCTCACTTTCGTGGCAGCCCATCTCGCCCCCATGGAGGACTTATATGAGCAAAGGAACATGGATTGGAAAAGCATAGTTGAGCGCCTTGTGTTCACGCACGACACCAAGAGACCGGCAGAGGGTTCAACTGCGAATGAAAATACCGGCCTTCTCGACGACGCTGCAACGGCCCACGCGGAGGGCAGTCGCAGGGATCTCTTCGCGCCCAACGCCTACCTATTCCTTGCCGGAGATCTCAACTACCGCACGTCGAATGTCGGACCCTCAATTCGAGAGATCGAACATTTCCCTCGGCGCAATGTCGACATTGATAACCCGTCGCACTATTCGCACCTTCTGAAGAACGACCAGCTCGTGCGCGAGATGAGCTACGGCAGGACCTTCCACAGCCTGTCCGAAGCGCCTATCCACTTCCCTCCCACGTACAAATACTCGGACGCCGCGCGCGAAGCTGTCCGCCGGGGCTTGGACACCGACGAGCTTGAATGGAACTGGTCGACTCACCGCTGGCCTAGCTGGTGCGATCGAGTCCTTTACCTTGATAAGCCCTCGTGGGTTGGTGAGGCCGGAAAGGTCAAACCGCTCGCTTACAACGCACTGCCTCTCTTCGCACAGTCGGATCATCGTCCCGTGGCGCTCGTTGTATCGGTGCCGCTACTGCCCTCTAACGAATCCTCGGACACCGAGAACATCCGAGCTGTGGCTCCATTCTCTATTGATCCGAGTTGGAAATCCAAGCGAGACGCGGCGCGACGAAAGGAGATTGCGGTGGGTGCAGTTGCGTATCTGGGACTAACCAGGGAAGGAAATGGGCTGCTGCTCGCGTCGTTGCTCGGTGTCATCGGAGCGTGGTTCATCCTTCGATCTATGCTGGAGGTTTGAGTGACGGTATGGTGAACGGCGCTTTCTCGGGACTCTATTTTTCCTTTCTTTTTTTCCCCTCTCTTAGGTATTTTCATACGAATATCATGCAATGCTGCCCATCGCCCGAACCGGCGCTGGATGAAAAGCCATGTCCCTTTCGCTCCGCATAGTCTCCATAGTTCCAAGGTTTGTAATCCGGGTGTATTCCGAGGTCGTCAGCAGCCTCAATTGGATGTCTCGTGACGGGAAAAACACCCCGCATTCCTCGAATCGATCCCATCAAGTCCGTCAGATAAACTCAAGGGCCCAGCTCACCGGCCGCAGTCCCAATTATGTACCATCAGACAAGGCGGCCCGTCGGTGATTTCTTAGCAACAACCTAAACTAGGAAATTACTCTTTTGGGCCCAAGTCACATGAACCGAGCCGACCCGAAACGGTCGGGATGCGTTCTGCAAGTGTGAAAGATGGCGCTAAGGACTGAGGGGCACCGTGGCTTGGATTCTAGACAAGCGGATGAGGTCATGTTGGGGTTGGTATACTCCGATTATCGCTCGTCCATTTCTTGCTTATGCGCGAGGTTCCCATGATTTGGATGGGCTGGGATTGTACCCTGCAGGTACTGCATAGCCTCTCTCTTCGATGTCTCTGGGGTCTTTGTCTCCCTCTCTCGGATACTGCCGTGGCTGTCATTAGTAAGGTTTCCACTCTTGACCTAACTCTGTAGGCACTTGGGCACCTCCGTCTTCCACATTGTCACACCGGGGACTTCTTTTTTCTTTTCTTTGGGCTGTGTGGTCTAGATGCGGAGGGAGTCGTCTACTGCTTTTACTCCAAATGTTGCCATGTATGTTCCTCAATTGCGGACCATTATTCTTTGACGGTCCGCGACATCCGGGCTGCAGTTGTCCTGAAAATACTACTGGCTGTTATGTACCGGGCTCTTCTATACATCCCACGTCGTAAACCGGTAGTAGTAACCCCGACCATTAAGAAACGTGCGATAACGCATGGAACAGGCCACATGATCGGGTCAAGTGACCCAGTGAGCTTAATTTCCTGCTTCTCCAACCCCAAGGCTTTCACCGCGTGTACAACTTACGAAAGCCCTTCAGGCATGAGAGGCGGTGTGTCCACAACGTGTATAGAGATCAAGACCCCCGGACTTCTGGAATGCACCGCACTGGATGTGATAGCAAGCCCTGCATTTGGGGCGGAAATCATCTCATTTTCTTACATTGGAGTGTGTCTCTGGGCACAAAAAAAAAAAAAAGAAAAGAAAAGAAAAAGATGGGAAGAAAAAGACGGAAAGAAAATCCCCGCCCGGACTCCACAGCCTCCACAGGGATGAAAGGGAGAAACCATACAAATATACTCCGTCCGACCCAAGTCAAAGGGCTATTGAATTGGATTGTTATAGTGAGATTCAAAGACTGGAATGTCGGCCGGTCATTGGCGTGTACTGAAATATGAGATAACGATCATCCTTAGAGTACCTCCCGTACTCCGTAGTTGAATAGGGGTTGGATATACTCCAGTGCCAATAAACGCAAACAGAAATTGGGCAGCAAAAAAAAAAAAAAAAACATGTCATTGACAGGGCAGATCAGGAGAAAGTGGACAGCACAGAAGGATCGGAATGTTCCATGCAAACTTACAAACAGGCCTGAAGGGGATAACCGACCAAATCCCCTGAGTTCGGTGGAGATTTTCTTTTCCAGAACAAAACCAGAACGACGGCGGAGTCCATAGGGAGAGGGCCCAAGAGCCTAAGACCCAGCATTGGGAATCGGAGGGGGCATCAATTTGAAACGGCGTCTATACTGAAGACACAACTAGAAGCAATCAAAAGAAAGTCAAAACGTAATCTCCCAGTACAACATACAACATATATACCTCGACGGAGTACGTACGTCGATACATATTAAGTTCCTTCATCTGTTCTGAAGCTTAAAGGTTTGTTTGCATTAGGCTGTTGTTTCAAAAATCTGCCCTGTCAGGTGCTCCACCTGTCCCTGCAATATACATATGAGACTGCGAGTCATCCCGCGATTTTCTGATGCATCGTATCGTCATTTTGTTTTTCGATGTATGGTGGATCCTTCATTGGCCCCCTTCATGCACCGAAGACCAGCATTGAGCCGATCAACCCGCATGCTCAGATCAAGGGATCAGGATCGACCGATCTCTGCATTTTAGAATCTATTAAATATGTAGCAGGTGGGATAGGCCTCTCACACGCCGGCCCTGCGGAATGGCAGGGGATCGAATGCCACCTAGGGCTTGGTAATCAAAGACGGAGATGGGTTAGAGAGAGATTAACGGAATAATATAAAAGGGAATAATATAAAACAGTCAATACACGACGTACAAATAATAAAAGACAATATTTAGAAAGAAATAATAAAATAAAAACATAAAAAATAAAAAACCCAACCCCAGTAAACGAAAATGGGAACCCTAAAAATTCTAATCCTTCCTTATTTAACTGCCTGGAACTTGGATTTGTTGCATTGTTTTACTTCTAAGCCATCTTTTTGAGCCTCTAATATAAAGTCATCTTCTCGATCCTCTCTGTCTTCAAATCTGGTCTTCTCCTCTGATTGTGGCTGAATCTCTATCCAACGCAACCTTGAACCGCCGACGTCATCGTGTTGTACTACACATTCTAGGCCTTGGTCCTTATTCTCCGTTACATTTAATCAGTGACCAAGACACTTTTTCTCTTCTGCCCAAACTCTCGAAGCATCCAACTCAACGTCCTTGGTCGATCCCACATTCGATCCCAACAACCCCGGTCCAATATCATCAACCATGTACTCTTGCGCAAACTATCCCCGCGGGTGCCGAGGCCGTGTCAACCGACAAGGAGCAAAGTGCTCTGACTGCGTGGTATGTGCCAAATGATATCTGTGTCTGGTCTATGCAAAGATCAACGAAAGACAAAGGAAAACAATCCAAACTAACCCTATACCAGTCTCTAAACTTGCGCCGTCCAGCTTCGCCGTTCGCCCAACCACGCGAGTACAAGCGCGCACTTCCCTCGGAACTCTTTGGCGAGCTCTCTAAACTCTCCGAGCCCAAGCTGCAATGAATGCGAAGCTCATACATCCGGGACGGTCCGAAGAACGCCTCAGCTTCTAGCTAGGTTGCATATCCTGCCGGCTGGGATGCACCGCGCATGTTCGACGGCCGCTTCCTTTGTTCTTTCTTATTTGCTCTCCACGTCTCTCATCTGCATCGCCGGGAGTTTCTTTGTTATATTCGGCCGTCTGCCTCTACTTTGATGCCTAATTGCCCGGTTTTCTCTTTGATCTCGTCTGGACTCTCCCCACATTGGCTGGGCTAATGAGTGAGCTCTCACGAATATCTCCTGGAAACTGGAGAACCGGGCGTGGACTTCGCGAAGATTTCCACTTTCACTCGCTTGGGTTTGTTTCGAGGACAAAGAACGGCCCACTTTTCTTTTTTTTTTTTTTTTGCATGGAGGATAGATCGCTTCATTTTGTTTTTGCATGGATACCTACGGATATGGATCTGCCACTGGAGGGCAGTGGCGCTGATGGATTGGGTTCTTTCAACTCTCCGGTTGATCGTTGATCGCTCCCTTCTTTTCCTTGCGCATACGTGTGCTTTCTGCTTTTTATGCCCGATTTTTTATGTTCTTTTAACTGATGTTGACTCTTTTCTTTGTAAACGGTGATGCCATACCCCTCTGTTTTACTGCTTTCATATGACCATTCCCCTAGTGCTATATACCTATTTACAGCATTCATACTATTATGTCTTGACATCTATCTCTTCTCGAATATCTCTCTAAACAAATGTACATTGTAGACTCGGGCCTGACCGCAAGATTACTAGTCTGTCAACCCAACACTTGACACCCAATCCTGACAACGTATCAGGTCTACATGTACATTACCCTGAGCCGCAGTTCCGGGGCTATCAAGTTCTGGGCCCAAACCCAAGCCTCTCTCTCTAACCTGTCGCGGGGACCCGACATCCGGATGATCCTCTTCCCTGACATTTCTCAGCCGCAACGAATCCTCCGTCTCACATAGAAAACCAACATAGCCCAAAAGAAAATCCATCCAAGTCTAGAATCTCGCTCCTGCACTCATCCCGTCCAACTCTCGGCTCACCAACTCACACGGGAAGCGTCCTTCATCAGCCCATCCATTCCCCTCGTGTCCCATCACATCATCCCCCCGAATCCGCTGCGCAATCCCGAGTCCAACCCTTGTAGCAGTTACAAGATCCCCGTCACGATCTAGACCTCGCTGGCCCGAATCTACAGATCTGCGCAAAGAGATGCGCGGGTGGCATGTTTTGTTCCCCTCGCCCGGCCAGTGGCCAGGGGCTATGTTGCACGCGAGATTGCGGGATACGGGATACGGGATACGGGTTACGGGTTGCGGTTACGGGGTTAGGCAATAATGGCATTTGTGCGAGGCTCCGTACGACCTGCGCCGTCGATCGTTCGGGTTGCTGTCGATGGCTCATGTCATGCAGGGGCTAGCTATCCCTGTCCCTGTCTGTCTATGGTGGGCGCACACATACCTCTAACGCACCAGCTCTTGCGGGTGGTATGTATCTGACTGACGCCGTTGCGGCCCGCGGCTTTGGTGATATGACTAAGTTCTACACTCGGCCGTAACTATTGGTCTGGTTTTTGGCTTTTTGGCTTTTTTTTACCGGCGCAGGTTGTGAAGGTCATGTGGTGTCCCACGGGGTGCATCTAGACTTAGCTGGGCCCTGGCTGGCCTTTTTCTCGGAAAATCCGTGGTCCCGAGGGGATCGTTGGCTATGATATGTGATATCCTATGCTTTTTTTTGCGGGAAACGTGTCATACCTTGCAGAATCCGCTCGAGGACGGGGGAAAAGGGGGCCGCCTACTCCGTACCGCAGAACACAGTACGGAGTACAATAGGAGAATGCAGAAAAAGAGAACCATGTCGATCGCTTGTCTCAGAGATGGATAGTTTCCCGCTCTATGTGTTTTGTCCACAAATGAAACTATTGTCTGTACGTGAGATTATTGTGAGCTAGACAATCCCCCCTCGGGCCAACCACATATCCAAATGGGCAGGAGATCAGGGGTGGCCAAGAAAAAGAACAACTCAAAAAGAAGAACGGGAAAAAAAAGAGAAACACCAAATATCCACTTTGGTCGGATTATCTGGGCTCCATCTGAATGTAAAACAAAGCCCAGTGGGATACACTAGCTACCCAGCCTAGTGTTAGATGTGCTTCTAGCCCCTTCTACTGGCCTTCTACGCCGTTTCTCTTTTTGGGCTCTAGCGTCGAAATTTCAAGCCCCCTTTTTCTCTCGCGGTTTTGGCTTGGTATTGGCCGTAATTTTCCTGCGCTCAGCCACATTCCACAGTCCACAGTAGCGGATCGATCGCTGTTTCAGGAACTGTGGGGAATTTGGCACGTTCCAATTCCGCGGGATGCGTTGCTCTTGAGAACGATGCCCTAGCTCGTTTGGAATTTCCTAAGATCTGTTGATCGCTGGGGGGGAAGGATAATCGGTGTGGCGTTGCGTTTCCCGTTGACACTTGGGTAAATTCTGCATTGGCATTCATTGATATCGTCCCTGAGACAAGGGTCTCGTCGCTGGGCACTATATTTACAGATCTGGCATATTATGTCTCATTCCTCAAACTTACTAGAAGTAAGCACCTACCTAGAAGAGAAGAAAATCCTAAAATATTTACTTCTGCGAATTGCCTAGATTAACACTATATTAACTCTCGTCTCCCTAATATCCCGACACAATGACAACATGTTGGGCAGCTGCCATGTAGCCAATCCGTGTCAAGCTCAGAAAATAGATTGCCTCTCGAAAAGTCTAGAAAAACAGGATTCCCGTGGAAAGCAAATCAATGACTCGCGAGCTTGTCTATATCCAACAATCAAGCCACTGTGGATATCGTCCATGTTGCATGTGGCAATATCCACTGTGCCCTAAGCGTTTTCGAAGACCCTCTTATTCGACACAGATTCCAGAAGTGTCAAACCGTCAAAACAGGCCGTCGTGGAGTGCCCGATCGGATCTACAAATGTATATTGCCTCTCGGCATCTGGCTGCCAATTGGTTATTAGTTCCGGTCTGGAATTCCCCTTCGGGATTGGAGTGATAAGCACGGAACGGCTGGGACGGCAAGTTACGGCTGTCTTTACCGTAGTGAACATGACCGCCTAGCTCACCGCCGGGTTTTCATCGGCCGTTATGAATTTCTGAAATGAGATCTAGTTTTGACGCCACTTTTATATGAACTAGATCGGAAGCAGACAAGTCGTCGTATAGCTTGAATAAAGAGGCAAAGGGGCAAAGGGCAAAGGGGCAAAGTATAGAAAATCAAGTATAAGCAAATTCAAGCTAAGAATTCGATTATCGGGAATTAACTACTCCGTACGGAGTACATATTCCGTATAGTTATACATATGAAGTGCATGTGTATAACTCGGATTTGTATAAGTGTATATAAATACTGCGGGCAAAATGGTTACCGGCGGTAAAATCTGCCGTACGGCAAGTGTTTGGCCCTTAAGAGCCGCTTTGGGGCGTAAATCCCTTAATTTCCGTTCTAAGGTCTGGCGCTTTACGCGGATACCGGCACCTTGCGGAAGAATTTGCGATGAATATATTAATTTTGCCGACAGAGACAATCAATATATTGGTTCTTACGGAGTAGTTATGTTGTGCTTGACATTTTATATCTTAGGCTTTCTTAGTGGATCATTGTTCGGGGCTCTCGGGGGGTGGAGGTTAAGGTCTAAGAGGGCCTCGATTCAATTCATGCTCCAATAGTCCGTACGGCATTTTATATGTTTCCAAGTGTAATCTTCTACACGTTCAAAATCTGCCCGCACACCCACTGTGCGGTCTTCGTGTGGAGTGTCCAATCTCGTTCGTCCTCCAGAGTTTCGGTATCGCTTGCTTTGTTGCCATGCCCTGCGTGACAGGCCTTTCCAAGTGCTTCGAAAACAACAACTTGGTCTCTCATATGTTTATCTAAAGAGGCTCTTCTGACGATGGAATCGGGTTTCTTGTCTGCATTGGCATTTGGACTCTCGTTTGAGATTTCCTCAATGAATCCTTCCACACATCGGCGGACTAAATCTGCAGCCCCAGAAAATGCAGCCTCGGTTTGAGATTCGTGCCTATGATCATGAGCTGGCTGTTGCTTTTGTCTCCCCTTGTTCTTTGGCTTGTGCAGGCGATCGCCTCCTATATTGCCAAGAATATCGTGGCCTATTCTGAAACCTGAAGAGGTATGGGCCACAAGAAGGATGTATACGTGGCTGCGGTGATTTGTGGCTTCCGATGTGTGTATTTTGATAGGAACTGGTGTATCTTTGGATGATATTTTGCTGAGAGTATCTTCACGTGGAGGAGTAGAGCTCTTAGCAAATATAGATGGATCCAGCTTTCTCGTTTCACGGCGAAGCAGGCGTCGAGTGCCTTGTTCGATAAATTGGCGAAGAGTGCTCCCCGTGCCTTCTGTGTTGTTGTTCAAAGTGGGTTGGTCAGGTGCTAGCACTGTGATATCAATTTGCGTGACTTTCCCGCGTTCGTGATCCATCAAGTTGATTTGTGGGAAGCTGGATAGAGGCTCAGGTGCCCGGTCTTTTTCTGATGACTGCTTGTGTTGATTTTCGTCATTTGAATTAGACCCGAGTGGATTTATGAGAAAAGTCACTTCTCCCAGGTCAACCGGCCCCGTTGTCCAGCCGCGCTTATGAAGAATAACGGACAGGGGAGGAAGTCCGAGTTTGGCGAAATTGGGCACAATAACTTGCGCTGCATAGTCATATGATGGAGAGAAGGTAGCGTTGGTTCCACCAGTTATGTTCACTTTCACAAAGGGTGTCGCCGCCTGCGATCCAACATGAAGCAGATACGGGTAGAGTGCCTGGAAGACGAGAAAGATGGCACCGGCAGTTGAGAGCTTGATGTCGTATTCAGACTTCACACTGACTTGCGACAAGTCCAGGAGCGGACCACTTTTCGATCTGGTTGACTGTGGGCAGAAGCTCAAGGACTGGGAGCCAACCTCGCCTCCCGAGACTTCGCTGCCGCTAATCTCGGCCAACAGCTTCACTGCTGCGGCATGAGATCTCTTGAGCCCCTTCTTTCCATCTCTGTTTCCGCGAACATGATCAATGCTAACTGGACGACCAGTCAATGCAGACAGCCCGATGGCGATTCGAACCAGCTGCCCGCCCCCTTCCAGGGTTTGGCCGTTCAAATGAACGTGGCTTAATTTGGACGAAATAGATCGCGAGGCCGCCATTTCAGGGGATTTTATTTATCTTTGACAGAGAAACTTGAAATCCTTGAAATCCCTCGAAAGTCCGGGCGAAACCCAATTATTATATTAATTTTGACCAGAGTCAGGTCGTGAGGCTGCGTCTTGGCGTGAGTCACTTTGGGGCTGGGTAATATTTATTGGCGCCACAGGCGTTTTTAGCGCTTAGCGAAGGCTTAGCTCTAGATAGAATATTGGAAGGGAAATCGAGACTCACCTGGGGAAGAGGTTGTTGGTTTGTTGTAAAATGGAGGAAGCGAATAGACTGAAAATGGAAGTCGCCATGGAGTTCGCACCTTCCCTACTGTGATGTGATGCAGTACTTTCCTCTCATGACTTCGCATCCCTTCAATCTTCCCTCTTCAAATCTCTTCTTCTCTGAATACCTTTTTCTCTCAATACTGGCTGTAGCTATATACTCTGCAGACATTTTGTAACATGTTTTCTTCTACATCCAATACACGCAACCTAAGAAGGTCCATGTCCACCCGCTCAATACGAAAACCGCGACGACTAGCCCCAGAAATCCCTGATGCGGCTGTGCAGCATGCAGCCGCTGCAGCTGCAGCTTCGCGTGCAATGCGCTCTAGTCAAGGCTCGTCTCAGGACTCGAAAAGCTCATACGAACGACTAGGTGGTCCAGGAAATTTTGCCATCCCTCGAAGGCGTCACGGATCAAGCCTTCGGAGCACTGATGATGGCTCGTCCGTCGGCCAGGGCGACTTGCCTAAAGCTCCAAATCCCCGTCATTCCAAAGAACTGACCGGCGTATCTGCTCGAGCGCATTGCTTCGATGACCCTGCGGCCCTTCCCCCAATCACAGAACTCGACGGACTTGATGGACGAGACAGCTCAGTCCCCTCTTCATATCGCCGATTGCGCAAGGCCAAGTCGATGTTCTCGACCAGCCAGCGAACTTCACAGACCCCATATGGAGTGCCTACCCTTCCTTGCAGTGATCCCCTTGATCCCGAGCGCAGTCCTGGATTCCAGCTGCCACGAACAATGAGACGATCCATGTCTTTTCTTCGGGGAAGTTATCAATCCAATCAAGTCGCTCCAACTTCTAAGGGTCATGATGCAGCTATTCAGCTTGCTCGTAGCCAATTTGCCCAGGATCCCGACGCTGGAGGTGTTCAGACTCGCCGGCCATCTTTCTTGCTAAGACGCAAGAAAGAGCATAGGCCATTTCGAAAGTCGTTCCGGGCCACAAGTGAAAGTGGTGTCGATACCGGGCGTTCTCTTAAATCTCGGTCTTTTTCCAATTCCATCAAAAACAAATTCAAACGTGTGTTTGGGTTTTCCAGGCTCGATCAACAACCTGGTAGCCCAGATGCGTCCATGGTAACCCCGGTTAGAAAAAGCATTGAAAGATTCTCCCCAAACAAGGTTACAGCCATTGGGGATGGCACTGATTCCAACTATTTCCGGCCAATGCCCCAGTCTCCCAGCCAAGAGAGTCTCTGCACTTCCAAGTCGCGCGTCACCAGTTGGGCTGATTCAACCACGCCGAACACAGTTACAACTCGGAAGCTAGGACATCGCCAATCTCTCTCTTTGATTAGAGAGGACGGAGTGAATCAGCAAATACCACGGACGCCTACAATGGATGATACGGAAAATCAATCTCCTCTAGCCGTGAGAGCAAACCCTCATCGAATTAGCATTGTTGACAGTCAAGATTTGTACACTGCGTTGATGAAACAAATGGGCCAAAATTCCCTGCCTAATCCCAACGAGGATATGGTCTTCGGCAATGTGTCGCAGCATCGTGTGATCCCAGAGCGGGCGAATTCGGTCTACTCCCAACATGGCCGACGCAGTATCCGTCATGTCCCAAGCCAAGAATCCTCGACCTCACCCGGTTCATTCGCAACCGCGCGTGGTGGTGATCAATCCAGTCCACGAAAGTATCCTCGCTCAGTTAGGTCGATGCAAGTTTCTCGGGGCATGCCGTCTCAGGTGAAAGATCAACATATGACTGCTGTTTCGGACGCAAAGTCGCCGCAATCAGCGTACGCTTTTTGCGAGGAATCGGATGATGATAATTGTAGCGTTATTGTTTCTCGGCTTCGGGCCTCGACAAGGGATATTGTTTCCCCAAGTGTCTATTCCCGGACCACCAGTGGTAATACCCCAACAAGAACTGACAATACCGACATCGGCGTCCATGATGAACCAGGAACAGCGACCATCTTTACTTCACAGCGGACAACATACAGCTCACCCAAGCGTACCAATCGGGCTTCATCTTCCACACCTAATGTAAAGTCTAGTGCCGACTGGCAGCAATGGATGAGCTCGCAGATTGAAAGAATTGAGCAGGCAAGCCCCACAAGGGAGCACATCAGAGAATGTGCACAATACCAGGATGACGATGAGTACTTTATCAGCATAGCTCGACGAGCTCCAGTCGCTGTCTCCGCTCCAGGTTCAGCAACTGTAATCAGGGTTCCAGACAGCCAAAGTATCACCGAGCGTAAAGCTTCCGCTGAGAACAGAATCCCGTCACAAAGCAATTTCTCCCGTCCATTAACCCAGGCTTCCGGCATGCGAACCATCATGCCATTGCAGACAACCAAGTCAGAGAATATGGTGCAGTCTTACGCTAACTCACTGTCCTTGGATACCGCTGCTAAGTCCGGTGAAAATGATTCACCCAAGTCAATTCCCGTTGCCTGCAATCAACAACCGTCGCCAATTCGACTAAGATCTGGAAACATGCAGCCACCAGAGTCCCCAACTCCCAAAGGAGTGGGAGCAAAACGATCCTTGACCAAGGAGCAACAGCGACGCTATTCATCCAGGCGTGCTCCGATCTCCCAAGATAACAGGATCAATCACTTCCGGTCCATGCGCACTCAACGAGACAACCGTGCAAACAATGAAAACGTGAGGCAGCAGTATGAGTACAACGACATGATGGAGAACTACCATCAACTTCAAGACATTCATTCCACAGTCTCTAGCAAGCGCATGGTGGATATGTTCTTGGACAGTCGCCGTCGACAAATGGGTGAAGTCACTGACAACGATACAACCACAGAGGCTTTTCTTTGAACGTGGGGGACTGGCTCTTCTTGCTATTGGAATACCTCGGGCGTTGTTCAATTTTTGATCTGTCATATTCTTTCGAGGACTCTACAACATAATCATTCATTCCCTCATTCATTCAACCATCACTTTGGGACAGGTATACTAAAGCTCCGCGGGTCGGAGTTATGGAAGCGTGGAAGCAGCCATTGTTATCTTTCATTATTTCCTTGAATAAAAAAATATCCTACCCAATTCATTCGATATTCACCTGGTTTAAATGAGAAACAGAGTGGTTTTTCCAAAAGAAACAAAAAAAAAGAAATCTCTCCCTCGGGGAATCGAACCCCGGTCTCCCGCGCTTATCGGTTTTAATGACAAGCGGAAATCATCACCACTAGACCAAGGAAGAATGCGATGACCGAGTTACTGCTCGGCCACTTGGCTGGTTGATGTGAGGACATGACCATCTTGCCATTATAAGCGAATACCGCGAATAATTCATATTGGAGTCAAAACAAAATAATCATGGAAGCTTCACAATATTTTATTCAGGTAATTTCGAGAAAACATATTTTCCAGTCTAAGGCACCATAGCCGAAATTTTAATGTATTCATGAGTGGGCAAAAATTGACAACCACACGCAGGTCATATATATATCCCTTAACTGTAACGGCAATAGCCAGTTAGCCGTGAATATTTTTGAACAACAGAGGAAGTTATTACATACAAGTATAAAATTCATCGCCTACTATATCTTGAGAGCAATGAATTCGCACAGATTTCCCTCGGAGGCAAATAAACTGCAATGTATTCCCTTTGTCTGGAATAGTTTGTTCAGCCACTGATATCCCCGCGTGGTAATAAATGGATCGCGGCGTGTAACTAAGAGTTCAATGTAGGGATTTCCCGTGTAGGTATTAACCGTGTGGGTATTCGCCGGATGGGCTGATGTTAACCATGTAGGTATTCTCCAAGTAAGTGATCGCCATGTAGGTATTGCCCACATATAAGAGAAGAGGATGGCCTTGTTTCTGCGTAGGTTGAGGGAGTTGTACAAGGTACATAATTATCACTTTACCAACAATGGATATTTTCCTGGACGTTCTGGATACCTTGGTCCTCGACCGGTGCTACGCATTACTCTCGCCAGACCCAACAGCCATCTTCAACAATGATACTCAAGCCACTGCCCATTTGAACCAACATGTCGGTGTCTATTACCCCATGCAGCCCTCAAAATGGGCGGAGGCAAGCCTTTGGAAGAGAGACGACATTGCCAGACAAGCATTGTCACTGTACGTGATTATATGGTAAGTCCCTTCCCTCGAAGTAACTACAATATCCCAGAAACTGAGACCTCGCTACTTAACAGGCTTTTCGCAATGATAATGTACCTCCTCGGTAGCCTGCTACTATACCACACCCTCTTCGACAAAAGACTACTCCAACACCCGCGCTTCCTCGCACACCAAGTCAAACTCGAGATCAACCAAGGCGTATCCGCAATCCCTGTCATGGCCCTCCTCACCGTCCCATTCTTCCTAGCAGAGATCAGGGGCTGGTCGAAACTATATGATCTCACCAGCGACTCCCCGTTCTTCGGATACACCTTGCTCCAGTATCCATTGTTCATCTGCTTCACAGACAGTGGCATTTACTGGATACACCGTGGTCTGCATCACCCTAGCGTCTACCGCTGGCTTCACAAGCCACACCATAAGTGGGCGGTGCCGACACCGTTCGCTAGTTATGCGTTTCACCCCCTCGATGGATGGGCGCAGAGTCTCCCCTACCATGTTTACCCGCTGCTCTTTCCGTTGCAGAAAGGGGCATATTTGGGGTTGTTTATGTTTGTTACTGTGTGGACGGTGCTGATCCGTGAGTTTTTATGATCCACATGCAACGATGGTATGATGGCTGACATTGATTCTACAGACGACGCCGAGTACTTGCCAACATCGGTGGTAATCAACGGTGCTTCTTGTCACACGATGCATCACTTGTACTTCAACTACAACTATGGGCAGTTTACGACGGCGTGGGATCGCCTCGCGGGAACATACCGAAAGCCCAAGGGGGATAGTTTCATGGAAGGCCAGCAAATGGGTGGGAAAGGGAAACTCGGAGATAAGTGTGAATGAGAGTCCCAAGGAGGTTCTATCTTGTATTTAAATGTAACATAATAGGCGGTCTCTCTTGACGAGGTTGTCATTTGGCTCGAGATGATATTAATATCTAATAATATAAATACTATGTAATTTTGGATGTCTCTTTCCTTTCGAGTGTTGTAGCCGAAGGAAGAAAATAATAAGCATAAATTCGGCGGAAAAGCGAATTCATCATGTACAACATTTGTATTTATACTCGAAACTATGGCGGACTTTGATGACACCATTGAATGAATTCATTCAAATTCCCCAAGTCATCGGTAGCGGTGTTATCCATATACCGAAGGCTGACATCAGATCTGCCAGTAGCATCCAGAGTAGCGTTCAACAACCACCAAAGCTCCTGAGCGTGTTTCGGATACCCAAGATGAAGGAATTGATCCTTATCTAGGAGACCAATGACAGAATCCCAGATGCGCCTCCAATTGCTAGACGCACACCGTATTCTATCGAGCGATAGGTATCTTAATAAGCCAGCTCTCGCTTGGAAGGCGAGGGAATTAATGGCTGTATGATATTGTTAGGAATTAATCACTTGGCTGATTTCAGTTATCAACATACCGTAAATCAGAATCAGAAGATGCTCTACTGAGACCGAAAGACCCCATGGTATTGGGTCATTACCTAAAGGAGTTTCAAGCAACTGCGTGATCACATCTTTTAGAGGTGGAAGTGGGAGCTCCGTCGAGTGCGACATGGCAATTCTGCTGAAAGAAGATGCGCTTTCGGCTTCCCATAGCCCAGCACTCCAGGGAAAATGACAGTCCATTTCAAAGACCGATATTGACGGGTGGTTTTTGAAGCAAACGGTGAGAAATCCGTCTGCTAAAAAGACCCAACAAGCGATTCTTGGAACTGGTTAGCGATACATCTCGAAAGAGAAGACAAGACAAGGAGAGAGTGGGATATGGGATATAAGGTACCTTATACACACTTCCTCTGCCACCAAATTTCTCCAAGTCATCTCATCACAAACGGTGGGAGCGGCTCCTCGCTTGAGCTGGAAAATTCCTAGGGATCGGATGGTGGATACTAAACATGGATGCCGGACGATGCGAATGCGACGTCTTGTTTGCATACTGTCTTGTCCAAATTGAAGCATCTCAATAATAAGAGCACTCTGCATTAGCTGTACATTTGATAAAAGATGCGACTGGTCTTTCGGTGAAGTGAGTGTTGATAGATCCGCAATTTTGCGAAATATATACTCTTCTGCGACGTCGAACAGCCCGGATGGTAGGGCTCCTCCATCTAGTGGAATAGTATATGTGGCACCGGATAGAAATATTGCGAGTAACAGAGCATTGGAGATGTTTCCTGGGTCGAAGGTTGGAAAATGCACCACGGGCAAATGCCAGTGCAGTGAGTGAAAGAATGCAGAGATAGAAGCAGAGATATTGGAAACCCCCAAGAGAGTAGAAAGTTCCATAAAATCAAGCGGGTTTAGCGTTCCTGTGCTTCCGAGACCCATTGACTTCGAAGTATCGACCAACTCCGTCATAATCTCGGATAATTGGTTGGAAAGCTTCGAAGGGAAGAGAGTATCAGGATTGAACTGGAGTAGGTAATCATCCGTGAAAGAGGGCAGAGTCGATGGTACTTGGAAAGAGAAATTTGTAAGTTGGAAATCGCTATCAAAAGCTGACATAGGATCAGTAGGAACGAGGGCATCTTCGATATGGGAATTGAGTGTTTCGAGGTTCCGGCGAACAGAACACTTTGCAGTCTCCCCAATCGCCAGTCTATCTCTTTGGAAAGAAGGATTGGCAAAGTGTTGGAGAAAAGAAAATGACCCACTGTCTCTCGAGTTCGCTCGCGATGTAGTTATCGAAGGCGAGAGCGAGGTTACTGCGGAGCAACTGGGATCCCCGGAAGGTATCTCTCGGGTTACGAAAGTACATTCTCGCCCAAAGGAGCGACAGCGAGAGCAAGGTAAATTTCGGTCGCAAGATGCTTTGGCAAAGTAGCATAGATCACATGAATGCCTTTTCCTACCTGGCTTGGCTGCAGGAGGCGCAGGTTGATTGGATTTTTTCGCACAGTTTTTGATATGTCTTCGTGTGACCTCACTTTCGAGCATTAGACGTTATCATTATTTATAGTAATGATACTTTACATACGGCTTTAGAAATGATTTGCTGCACAGAGGACAGCTAGAAGAGAGCTGCTGTGTATCTGGGAGATGATCAGCCTATTCATAATTTGTAGGGGCGTTCATTGGACCTTACGGGTCACTTCATGGCGAATTAAATGAGTCTTCCTCTGATAGGCTTTTTCGCATTGTGTACATTGAAACATGACGTCGACAGCAGTGTTGTTACAATATCAGAATGAGAAAGGAAGGGGAGAGGGGCAGTGGGCGGTTACGAGTCAGCGCGTGGACGAATTCCATCCGTGCGTGGCCGTATTCCCGACAAATTGGATTTATTCTAACGTCGCAAAAAGTGAAGAAATTTAATCTCAACATGCTATTCTATTATTGTCTTGAAGGAGGATGAGATGAGAACTGAAAGGAACAACCTCGGAATGACTATACCAGAATTTGTCATTTATTCAGGCAATGCCCAGCCCTAAGGCTTCAATAAACCACTAAACACGAATGGGACTGGGCTTGGATCATGCCATGCTATGTAGAGTCTGCAAGGGTACGGAGTAATAGCGCTGCATACTATGATTTGCTAATGAAAAGCTTCCTCCTGGCGGTCTGGACCAACGGGAAAAAGATTTCTAGTCCTATTTGTGATATATATAGCATACACAATGATATTTGGGAAAGTCACCAACATCCATGCGCCAGGATAAGGTTTTCTCAACTACTAGTTTCCTAGTTATTTTGCCAACGCCATTGAAAGTAAGCTGATTCATTGGGGCAAACCAACGGAACTTTCCGAACCCCTGGGGTGCACGGAACCTGGCGTACGTCAAATTCGATGATTAGTGGATCAATAGAAAATCTTTTCAAAATCAAGATGTAGTATCACATCAACTAGTCGAGAAAGCCTCCTTCGCTCAAGCACACAGTGTTGCGTAAATTATCAATCCGTAGATATACCCACGATTTTTGTATACAAGAAGGGGTGGAGTTATTAAGACGGGACAAAGCTCAGGATCAAAGATGAACACTCGCGTGTACGCCAGGCTGCAGATCACCCTGCACATGCGGAAACAGACGTTGTGGATCATAACAAGATCGTAAGCCTGGTGGGGCGCACATCTCTAGCGCAGCCAAGGAGGTCAAGGCACCCAAGGGTTAAAAGACCATATGGGGTAATGTGGAATTTATACCCTAAATTTCGACACTTGCGCAATACTTCGATGTCCGAGTATGCCATGTTTTGTTTAACTTGTAGGGAGTAGGGAGGGAGTATAGAATATTTTTTCCGTGGAAAAAAGCGACCCAGATTAATCGACTTTGAATTAGTTTCCAAATGCACCGTTCCTGACTACAGACCCTTGCACGCAGGTAGCCGGGGTTCTAGATCAGGTAGGAGGCACATGATGACTAGTCTTGGGCTACGAGGACTCGAATTTGGTCGTACAGACATTTTCCTGGTCCAATTTAGGATTTTTCGGCTTATTACCCCGAATAGCCCTATATTGAAACTGATGCCTTGCTTGGAGTGCCCCTGAGATGAGATATCACGAGCACAAAGAAGTGCCTGAGATACGTGCATATGGGGGCTGGACTAGCTCGGACTAGACCCCGAGCGCATCAACTAAGGCGCTAACTGCATTAGCGGCCCGGGAGTGAAGTGATAGGTCTAGCATAAGGTTTGGATATCAGGTTTGGTTCGTTGACCAACTTGTCAACCAAAAACGAGGGAAATTAGGAGCAGGGGACCAATAAGAAAGTGATTGACCAGCAGAATGGGCTGGTCTAGTCTTTCTTGTTTGGGCTAGGCAGTACGTTGTGATGTAGATCGACGTTTCCTCCCCTATTTTTGAGATTGCTATAACGACCGACTAATGGATTGGCACATATAAGGCTGTCTGCCTCTTTCATTTATTCCTGTTCTTCATCTCTTCGTTGTTAGTTCTTTTCCACCCGACACTCCCTTTTGCTGGTATCATTCAGCGTCCATTCTTTCTTTCACTCTAAATATACTTCCAACTCGCAAATATGAAGCAATCCATGATCACTTCGCTTGTGGCTCTCGCAGCTTCATGCTCCGTAAGGAAGCCCGTGCCATTGGTTGCTGTTGCAAATTGACATACAGCTAACAGATTGTGTCACTGTAGGGAGCCCAAGCCACTGAGAGCTTGATCAGCGTGCCCGTTAATCTCTGTGCCGCCATCCTCGGAGAGGCTGCATGCAAGCAGCAGACCGTCACCAAGGGACTGATCAGCGTGCCTGTCAATGCGTGTGTTGCAGTCCTTGGAAAAGCCAAGTGTGACCAGGTCTCTTCCTCTCTCATCGGCAACCACGGTCTCCACACCCGTGACAGCTTGATTAGCGTGCCCGTTAATCTCTGCACCGCCATCCTCGGAGAGGCCGAATGCAAGCAGAAGACCACCAGCAATGGTCTGATCAGTGTGCCTGTCAACACCTGCGTGGCTGTCCTTGGAGAGGCCAAGTGTGACCAGGCCTCTTCCTCCTCCGGTAGCGACGACGGTGCCCTGATCAGTGTTCCCATCAACATTTGTCTGGCTGTCCTCGGCGAGGCTAAATGCCAGCAGAAATCTACCTCTACTGGTGGTCTGATCGATATCCCCATCAACCTGTGTCTGGCCGTCTTGGGTGAGGTTGATTGCCGTGATGGATCATCTACCCCGCCTCCGGCCACTGCCACCCCATCTTCCCCCGCGGAGACCACTATCCCGGTCGTGATTCCAGGAAAGACTACCACCCCAGCTATTGTGCCGGGTGAGACTACAGTTCCCACTGTCCCTGTTGTTGTTCCTGGCGAGTCTACCACTCCCGTCGTTGTGCCAGGCACCACAATCCCCGTCATTGTGCCGGGTGAGACTACCGTTCCCACTGTTCCCGTTATTGTTCCGGGCGAGTCCACTACCCCCGTCGCCGTGCCATGTGAAACCACCAGCACTGTCGCCGTTCCGGGCGAGCCTACAGTTCCCACTGTCCCTGTTCTCGTTCCTGCCGAGTCTACCACCCCCGTCGCTGTTCCGGTTGAGACTTCCATCCCCGCTGTTGTGCCAGGCGAGTCTTCCATCCCTACTGCTGAGGCTTCTACCACCACAGTCTGGACTGGCCCTAAGGGACCTGGCTCTCCTCACTCTTCCGGTGATGCCTCAGCCTGGGTTCCTACATACACCCGTGTTCCTTCCGTCACCGTGGGACGTCCATCCCACACCGGCAGCTTCACCCGTGTTACTGCTACCTCTACCAAGGTCATCACTGGATCCAAGACCTATACCGGCATTGTGGCTCACACTTCTCCCGCCTCCGGTGGTAACGGTGGCAGCGGGACCAAGCCCAGCCCTAGCACCATTCCGTTCAACGCGGCTGGTCGTGCTACTTTGTCCGGTGTTGCCGTGGTGTTCGGTGCTCTCTGCGCTCTTGCTATGCAGATTTGAGTGGTGGATAATCCTGACAAAGGTGGTGGCTGGTGGCTGGTGGGGATAGTTGGGATTGCTCATTGTTGAGATTTATGTTCCTGTTGCGTTGGACATATCAGTCCGTTTTACTCATTCTCTTTCTATATTCGTTAAATCAACATGAGGTAATATAATTACACGATATACGTCTCTCAATTTGGCTTTTGTTCTCGCAGTTTTAGGCTGTCTATATATATGACGACTTTATTGATTATCAGGATGTTTCTTGATTCTCTTACGACTTGCAGTAGTTTAATACTCATTCTGGATTGTAAAAAAAAAAATAATATCTATTACTTGCTCGCACATCCCGCCTGAACTTTCAGTACCACTCAGAATTCTGCCATATATTCTGGTTTACATAGTAAAAAGACATGCACTTTGATTGGAAAAAATGGTATATATTCTACCTGATTCCTATTCTCAAATAAAAAGAAGATGACGGTACTATGCTTCTTCGTTGTCACTCCTTGGGCGTTTTAGTAGAATCACAGTGGCCTACCGCCTCGAATATAGGAAATAACGTCATTCGAAAGTTTGTTGTCACAACTCCAACACTGCCAATATGACATTCAAGGCAACTACAGCGTAAATGTGGGGCATCTTTAATACAATATAGACATCCCTGGAGGCTGAGGGGATGACCAATCCGCGAGAGGCTGTTGCGAAGACTGCAGAGATCCATATCGAGAATTCGCAATGATTTGCCTATATAATCCGAGAGTCCACTCAAAAGCCTCTATGTTAACGCCATATCTGGACGATTTTTAGACTGAGCATGCTGGGTAATTTTTGTGAGGGATTTAAATACCGCAAGGACCTCAATATACATTATGACGTTTCGCATACTGGCAGATGACAATGTATCTTTGAATGTAGCGAAAAAGACCAGTGTAAGAGCAGCGGTCCGAGGCTAGCCCCACGATTTGATCCCATTCTAGGCTCTTATTGCTTTAGAACCAGCAGGGGGTATTCAGGTAAAAGGTGCGTGGAGACTTTCTTTTGATTTCTGACAACTCCATCACCTTGAAGTCCGCAATCTTCCACGAGGTACTAGATCAGAAAAACACAAGTGGTGTAGTGACCAGTGACCATGGGCTAATTAATGGCATAGAAATAGCATTTCGCTTAGCAACATGTCGGAAAATCCTGGACATGAAAAGAGAGAACAGTCAACCGCTGACTCCAAGTCAAGCGTGGAGGAGATACTACGACAGCTCACTTCTTCGGCAGAAGCCGTCAAAAAACATCGCGACGACTCCAAGCTTGATAGAGCTAGACGAAACCTAGATGAGGCCATTGAGGATATATTCAAACGTCCAGACGAACCAAAGGATGAGAAAGGGAAATAGATTGAATTCTAGAGGCCGGAAATATGCTATTATTTCGAGCGAATTCTGTACATACTTTCAATCTGCCTCGTCTGAAACTCCAAATGCTGCCCTCAAGCGAGTATCGTACTCAATTCTATCTTGCCGCTTTTTGGCCCCAACCCTCACAAAATCCTGGGCCCAGTACCATGACATTGTCTCTTGGAAGGCCTCAGCCGGATTTTTACAATATTGACTAAAGCGGGGCTGGATTTGCTTGTAAAAAACCGAAAAGAGACCAGTTGGGCTTGCAAGTGCAAGGGAGAACCAGAAAGTTCCAGATCGCCAGCTCCGGTCCATTATCCCAGAGAGGTTTGCCTTTCCAGAAGCCTCCCCTAACAACCCTTCTTCATTTTCCATAATTTCCATAAATTCGGACCTGACTGCTTCATACTCGACTGCATCTTCGGAAATCTCGTCGACAGCTTTGTTTGTAAGCCACGTAGGTGTACGGATCATTTCGGTTGGACGAGAGCAAGCCCACTCAAGGTCGATTAGGGAAGTGATATGCCAATCGTCGTCAACAAAAATATTGCTTTGGTGGAGATCGGTGAGAATGAAAGTGAAAGGGCCACGGCAGAGTTCTTTCGTGAAGAATGATGGAAAAGTTGCTTGCATCCCAGTCAAAGCCGATGCTTGGTATATGTAATCACTCAAGTTGTTTATCGCATTGGCTTGGTTTCTGAGCCGGCTATTATGAAGTCCAAGAAGATCCATGATATATGAGTCAGCGGCCGAGTACGTCTGGGACCGTGGCATATTCGTAGGGATGTGATCATTTTCTAGGTCTTGAATTTCGAGTGACAAAGGACGGTTTGCCAACTGAAGGTAGCCGTCTTTGTCGATAACAAATGAGCCAATTGATGGAAGAGGAATACGCGCTAGACTTAGCAATATTCGAGAGAAATCGCGAAAAAGCATGCGCCGGTAGCGAGGATCTTGATTTCTTTTCAGCCAGGTTGACGAAAGCATTTGCCCCCTATTACTCTCAATGTACTCGATAACCATGTAACCCGGAGGCAAGGCGTCGCCTTCATATCTCGAGATTCGTGATGGGTGGGAAACGTATGAGGAAGGAAGCGAATGGCCAAAAAACGACAGAAGCAAGCGGCGGAAGTGTTGGAAACAGCGGCTTAGCAAAGGAAGACTCTCGATATGCGAGAGCTGGTCAACATCAGTATGGCCTCGGTTGATGAGGGGGAACAGAAAAACCGCACAGTTTGTCCATCGGAAGTGGCAAAGCCATAAAGACGAGGAATGGGGATATCAGGGCAATTCTCTTGCAGCCAAGCATACGTTCCAGCTTCGCATCGAATTTTCTCATCGCAATTTCCCGGACAAAAGTCCTCGCCCAGGCGGTATGGAAGAGGCAATCGAAGGAGAACTCGAGTTCCCGACTGTTTTCTGGCTTGCCAATCGTTGATAGAGACTGGAATACAGACGTTGAAACTTCCATGCAACCAATATTGAACATCAGCCACTTCACACAAATCATTCGATCGAAGGCCCAAATGGTGGGTTATAACATCCTTGATCCAATCCTGATTATTGTTAGAGAGGTTGGCAAAGAACTTCTTTTGTCGGTTGGGATATTCGAGTCGACGTAATATGTTGATCTCTTCTTTTTGAGCCTTGGAGTAGGTAATTTGACCTCTCAGAAGAGGCAGAGTGTTCGGCATTGTTCAGGTGGTTGCGTCCTCAAAGCTCAAAGTGTACGAGCCGTCAAGCCCTGATAAAAATCGCAGGACATACCGCCCAGCTCACCGCCTGAAAGTCGCACATACCTACTCCGTATCTAGATACCTGTATGCTAAGCGTAAGGTAGATAACGAGACAATTTGGAGATTGTTATTTTGAGGACAACTACGGAAATCCAAATTAGCCGGTATATTCAAGGTTGGACACCAAACCCCGTAAATGGGTCGACCCGCAACCCACAAACCAACGGGTCGACCCCCACAACTTGACCCCACGGCGATTAGTAAGACACATAAGATTCCAACCTTGATCTTGATGTTAAAAGAAGTACGGAGTAGCTTCAGCATCATCTTCGAAGATAGATCGAAATGGTCAGCATACTAAGGAGTATACTAATTATTCAAATGCAAGGAAGGGAAGAGAGCGAAGAAATCAAAATGTCTAAGGCAAAAAATACCAAAAAATCCTCTGACCCGGGATCGAACCAGGGACCTCAAGATGACAAGTTCTTTGCAGAACAGGACAATTACAGTCTTGCGCTCTTCCAGCTGAGCTATCAGAGGAGTGATTGAAGGATGGGCGGAATTTGGATATTATAATCTAGTTACTATCATACCTAACTGCATGTGAAGTATAAGATCCATCAGCTCTCTCGGAATATGATTATTACAATACCACCCAATTATTATCCTGAAATCGGTTCCTGAAATTTGTCTATAGATTTGGATTACTTAGAAGGAAACAATCGTTGTCTTCGGATTCTGCGTAGGAAAATTGGTTGCTAAGCGGCTCTAATCTCTGTATGGAGGCTCATCCCCTCTAACAAAAGGAATTCGGTATGTAAGGAGCTTGGGGATAGCCTTTTTAGAAACAGCGCCAACAATAACTTCCCCGTCCTCAAAACAAAAGCAATCCAAAAATGTCCCAAGAATGACAGCATCCTGGATAAGAGCAAAATCTTGCTCCAACTTGTCGCGAGTATCTGCTGGCATTCCATCAAACAATTCGTGCCAAAACCCCCGTTTGGCATCCTCAAACTCATCAGGTACCCAAAACTCCCCGCCCGTGTATTCACCAGCGTAGGTGTGAATGCGACCGAAGCCAACTCCAAATGGAAGTGGGGTGGACAGCTCCCAGTCAATCAAGCCGGTGACGTTGCAATCCTCATCAATCAGGACGTTCACTTCATTCAGGTCATAGTGAGCGACCCACAGTGGGAGCCTTTTCAACTGTTCTAAATTATCAAGATGCCCTTAAAGCTGAGGCCGGTATGGCGCGATTTCTTCTAGCGGTGAAGCCAAGATGGCCTCGAGATGGGACCGAACACGGCCGTCAACGGCCTCGTCGCTGGTGTTAGCGAGACGGCCTTTGGCAGAACGCGACCAAGGGATCTGTTGATAGCAACTCGGCCCTTCACGTTACAACGTCTACCGAGTCTATTTCAGCCAACGCAACAAGGCTGATCATCAAGCTATCGCTCTTGTCCCCACACAGATGGACGACCAAGGACGTGGAAGATTCTACCACGTCATCGGTGATCTGGGCATGGGCATGCGATACGATCCACGTCCCGGGTATAATTTTCAGGCAATCAAAAGCTACAAAAGGAGAGAATTCCAATTTCAGTTCCCGAGATCGAAACTCTCGGAATTCGAACGAGTTGCTGCGGAACAGAAGGTTCCTCACGATCCACGTGCACTCATGGAGAGTGACCTTTACCCACCACCCCGGGATTGTTCTGATTAGGTTGACGATGTGTTGAATGAGGTGAAGAAGCTATGTGTGTGATGGGTTGGTTGTATCGAAGAAGTAGATACGTGGATGATGTGTCGGTTATATCGCGATATAGTGGAATCAAGGGGATGGTACCGCGAGTTATTCAGAATGGATTTGCTGTCCGAGTATTCAACGGGTTATTTGTATTGCGTAATCCTGCAAAATCCTAACTACAACAACAGCTTTTCCATCAGGAAAGAGTGCATGAGAAATTCCGCGTGATATGGTTGGAGAATTTGAACCACGTAGTCTGTCCAATCATTCTGATAGAACCATATAAGTAGAGCTTTCGCGAAGTCCCAGTACTCGGGATACCAACCACTCAGCTCCCAGTCGATAATAGCGGTCACATTTCCATCTTTCACCATGATATTCTGAGGCCTGAAGTCACCATGTGCAAACAAAATGCGGTGGGATTCAGGAAGCATTCCATTAAAAAAAGCTTTGATATGGCGTTTCGGGGCATTCTTTTGGTAGACTTCAACAAGAGCCGTGTTGAAATCCCGCTCGGAATTAAATGGGCCTTCCAAAAAAAAACGTGTTAGTTCAGAGTAAATAATGCCTATATGCTTTATTCTTAGTATCTGGGTATTATACCTTTGTCATCAGAGGTCGATAGACTATGGTCAGTAACATGACCATGCTCCAAAGAACCGATATAACCAGCACTCTCCAAATTGCGGATTTCTTGGATGTATGTCGTAAGTTGTCTCGTAATCTGACATTTGGCGGAGACGTCGAGACCATCCCAAGCTACCTGGAGTGTTTCACCGGTAATATAAGTCATAAAGATGTAGGTATCGTAAACGCCCCTGTAGTCATCAGGGTCGCGATCAATAGGACCGTACGTATAACATGCGAAAACCTTAGGTACGGGAACCCCTGTATTTTCCGCAACATACGTCATGTTTTTAGCCTCGATAAAATTGATATGAGGACCAATCTTGACGACGACTTCGGGTGAGATCTTCACAATGGCGACACCATGGCAGAATACCAGGTTACTTTTGTCCCGGCGAAATTCACTGACAGTATCGGGATGCGGCAAGCAAAACCCAGGTGCAGAGTAATGTACATTCAACTGAGGCTCAGGAATCGAAGAGGGAGGACTGCTCAACGCTGTAGCTGAATCCATACCGTTGAGCTGTGAATGTCATTTCTGGTGCGAATGGTAGGTGCGGGATGACAAGGAGGGGAAAATATGACAAAGGGGAAGAAACACACTGTATATAAGGCCCGGCTCGTTATCTAACCTTTACGCCATTTTCCCAATCGCCGAAATCATGAGTTTCTGTTAGAGAGCCTTGAAGAAGATGCCGAAGATCGCCATGGTTTCACACATCAATGTCTACCATGGTAGACATCTATCTACCATTCCTAAAACTTAGCTTCTCGAACCATAGTTTGACTGAATAATGAGGCTTGGATTTTCTATGTAATGAGTTTTGTTATTTATAGCTCCGAGGAATCACAGTACAACATACAATATTGTACATGATTTACATGACTTCGCTTCTTGATGCGGGGGCGGTGGTTGGTGTTGGGCACCAACGTGACTTCGTGTCCTATGACTGTGCCCGATACAATTTCCGCATTAAGCGGGAAAAGTAGCCACCATCAGGGAATCCCAACTCAAAAATATGTGATATCGCTCTACTATTCCTCGGGCAATTGTGACGACCAGCAGCCAATGTCTCCCGCCGGTCATTTTTTTCTCTTCCGAAAATGTGGAACAACTTGCAAAACAGGCTTGGGAGCAAGTTAGGGCGGATATACATTACCATATCCTACAAGTTATTAATCGTGCATTTAATACCTATCCCAAATCATAGCAAATTTGTAGTATTGATAACAGACAATATTGTGATTTGAAATTGAGCATGATAGGTCAGAAGGATTGGCTTTACCATAGAACCCAACTCCACATACAATATGGGTACTTGTTGTAGGTACGTTCGATGGAGGACCTGCAATCAGATCGCGGACTGTTGCCCGAAGGTGGTTTGCCTCCAAGATGGGATCTAGTTGTACTAGCTAGGTTTCTTTGTCTGCTATAGATGGTTCTCTATCTAGTATCACATTTAGCTGCTTAAGGCTAGCCCCTTGAGCGGGGATTGGAAGTCTTGAGCTGCAGCCGATAATTAATCGGAGAACGAGGGGGATTGCGCTTTGCGAACCTTAGCATTAATACCTTACGAGGGTCAGCTTCGCCCTCCACGAGGCCGTTCCGTTGTTTGCCTTCCCCGATAGTCCAGCATATCCAAATATAAATTGATCGGGGACTCGTTTAAGTTGCTCTCCACTGGAAGGAATCCATGGATGTACTTATCAAATCTTAAGTGCGCACGAGCCACCTGTGCAGATAACAGAGAGTAAGAATATACGGGGATATGATGAATTTACAACCTGCGGAGCTGCTGAAGTTCCTGCCGACTCTATTATTATTGCGATGCATCTTCATGGTGTCACGATACTCACCTCGGTATCAATGCTTTCCGTGTACCAACACAACTTTCTCGAATCATAGTAATCCGATCAAATATGGAAAGAATAGCGGGAAAACTTTTCAACGGAACACTTCTCCTGATCTATTACCATGGTTTCTGATATCAACCACTTGCCGCACCCTGGAATCATGAGTCAGGGCATGTCTCCGGATGACCGAACGAACATAATAATCTGAATTGCGTTATGAAAGCTCGGTATTGGATAATGGACTCCTGCACGAAATGGAGACTGGCCAAGACATAAGTCTGGAAGGTCATGAGAGAATCACCTTTTCTGGTAAAACATGATATTAAGGATGTGATGTGACGGTCCAACAGTATAAAATTAGGTATATACAGGTAGAAATCATGGAAACAAACTGCATACTGTACACATCGAATGTTATATAATCCAAAAAATGGAACTATAACAATGCAGAACTCTTGAATATACAGGTTTCTCCATGCGCGGATATTAAGAAATGGAAATGGCAACTACAATACAGCAATAGCCCCAGGAGGCGAGCCCACTCCACCCTTAAGATGCAACGGCGCACTAGTCAGGAAGAAAGACCACTTGTTCAACCCCGCGCATTGTGTGCTCAGCTTTTCCAGGTCCCATAATTCCCCGATCGGAGTACCCCACTGACACAGTAGCCACTCATGCAAGCAACAGTCCTGAGCATAAGGCCAAGCTTCGAATCCCATGGTATCGCAGGCCACAGCAGAAAATTGTTTATCGTATAGCCACCTGACGGTTTCCATGTTGCCTTCGACTCCAATATATTGGCAAGATCTGACGCCTTTGGCCCTTGCCTCGGGATCTGCCGTCCTGTACTGAAGTCAGCTGGAAACTCATGATACGCTGGGAATAGGTGCTTTCATACTCGTGCCATTTGACGAATCCTGTCCGAAGGATGAATATATCACCCGGTTTACATTGCGTGCCTTGCCATTTTAAGGTTTCTTCGATTTCTGACAGCGGAATGGCCCAATTGGTGTCAGGGCTAGGAGGAGTGCTTGTTGGATTGTGGTGCTGCCACCATCTCAGCTGGGCGTTTGAGTCAGTTGACTGAAATTCAAAAAGTAGATCTCGTGCCAAAATACCCAATCAACTAAGATGCCTCGTCCAACAATGCCCCCGCGCTCGCAAATGTCTGCTAGCCATCAGTCATTGGCCCGTCACGACAATTCATTTCACTTACTATGGATTCCGTTCTCGGGCCCCTTAATAGCATCCTTTAATGTGAGCCCGTTATAGAAAACCGCTTGGTCCTGAATCGCCCACTATGTATAGAATGACTGTAAACACCAAAACTTGGAGGTGAGGAAAGGAAAACTAACGTGTTTGAGACTATCCCACTGTGAACTAGTCTGGGTATTGATATAAATTTCGTCGTCAAGACCAACAAAGCCCTCAGCCTCCATCTCTTTGACATGATGACACAATGTAGCCCGTCCAGATCCCGGGAATTGTAGATTATTCATGGACCAGTCAAGCTGGACATGATTCCCGAATTGGATCTCTTTTGCTGCCTCCCGCACCACCGACGGGCTGAGGAAGTTGAGAGCTGATAACGTCAAAATCCTGGAATATGCGGGCTATTCAACAGGGACAGAGGCCGAACTTACTTCCTAACTCGTCTTTCTTGCCAGGCTTGTCAAAGAACCCCCAGAGGCATCCTTGCGGCTGGCCAGCTACAGGCGGGAGATCTTCGAATTTTGGGAGGATATACCGTGGCTCCCGGTGATCGGCATTTTCATACGATGCCATCTTATATGCTCCTATCCAGTGTTGGAATTTTGGGGCGGCCAGGGAGACCTCTTTAAGCGCGGGGAGGACACCCTTACCGAGATTTGGGGTCAAATGCCGAGTAATCTCGCTTAGCCCCGGATGCTCACTTCCATGATGGCTTCCCGTGCCGGTGGGGACGAATAGCCAGTCCCACCTCGTGCTTGAAGAAAAGGCCGAAGAAAGATGGGCCAATCACTCCTTACGGAGTACCGATATCCAGCTATAGGGGCTTCAAAGCCCCAAGCAAGAGAGATGGCTACGCACGTTACTTGAAAAAGGATTGTTCCTGATCTAGAAAGTTGTGAAACCATTTGTCCCGTCGGCATCTTAGGAGGGTCGGAGAAAAGCTATCCCGAGAAGCCGAAATAGTTGGCACCATGTGGGAACAAATACAAATGACTTCAAAATGGTATGGGCCTTTCCTCTGAGTGGACTGTACAGATAAATAATTGGGGATTTGAACGGAATGTATTGGAAACCGTCGGTCGGTAAACAATTCCGCTTACAGGAAATGGTCCTTAAAAAAAATCAGCCGTGCAAGTACAAATCAAGTGCCCCTTGGGCGGTAGAAATCTCCCCTCGCCAACAACCTAATATGATTTTTCCTCCAAATACATCAGAGACATCCGGGAAAATGCCGTTTTTGTAGCGTGATTCAATATCATAGTCTATCACGTCTTGTCGTCGGAGTCGAGCTTTGATGATATCCGGATCGTCGGTTTTCGGCCCATAAAGTTCGCTATATGGCGCTTTGCCAGTAACTAGCTCATAGAGCGTAGATCCTAGGGCGAAGATGTCGGAAGCTTCCGTGTTGGGAAGTTCATAATTTCTTGGTAAGCAGTGTGATGCTTTCTCATAGCCAAGCGCTGCATGGCCAGGACACTGCGAAGAATTGAAATCGCCAAGTCGTAGATCAAAGTTCTCATCAATGAAGAACTGACGTAGAGCAAGGTCGGAATGGATAACACCACGGCTATGGATGAAAACAATAGCTTCTAAGATCTGCTGATACCATTTGGATCGAAGCTCGGGAGTGATTGGATTCCTGTCCAAGTATTCCACAAGGTCACCATGAGAATAGTATGTGATCTCGATATAGTCGGATATGCCCCTTGATAGCCATTCGGCAATTCGTGGATGTGCTCCGAGAATATTGTAAATCAGAGCCTCGCGTAGTATAGGTTGTAGATCTTCTTCACTCTGACTGCGGGGAATTTTCCTTATGATATGATCGTCCAAAAGGTATACTTCGGCGAAAATTCCAATTGTCAAGAGCTTGTGATTATCCCGGCGTTCGGAGGCTGGTCGAATAGTGACGGTAGGGGGTGGTCGAATAGTGAAGGTAGGTAGCGTATTTTCGGAGGACTGGATATCGGCCTAAAGGATAATATTAGGCAGAGTCAATAAGAAGCATGTTTTCCACCCACAGATTGCAGGCGCTCTTCATCATCTGGCTCCCGATATTCTCCATTCGGTGCCGTCGAAGAAAACGTAATAAATAGGCGTCTAAGCGGCCAAAGGAATAGACCGGGAATATTCGAGGTAAAAACATTCCAAATCGAGAACAATATTGATCGTGGGAACCAATGTTGTGTGCTTGTCATTGTTAGAAAAAGACGGTGAAACAGAGAGAATGATGAATACATGTATGTACTCCTTACGGAGTATGTTGTACGCAGATGCGGGCAAAGGAGAATGGACCGGGGTTATCTACTCTAGCTACGTCCGGGTGCCTATCTTATCGCGCACCCAACACTTTTTCTCGCTCTGACATGCCCAGGACCAATATATATAGTAGCGCACAAAGTTAACCGTGATAACTATCTCCCCCTTTTTTGCTTGCTCATGAAGTTGAACCCCCAAGTCTTTCTTCAATCTGGTGTAAAGAATTCACCAAAAGGTTCTAATGTATCTTGCTGGGGCGAGATAGAGGTAACAAGTTCAACTCAATTTGCTAGGGTTTGATAACAAAGAATCAAAGATGGCTTGGTATTTTATATGACTGATATTGGCAAAGCAGTCAGTCCTCAAGAGTGAGCTCTCAAGTAAACAGTCTGTGCGAATAGTTTTGGTGAATGAATTTAAACCTTTTCACCCCCCTGACCAGCGAAATCTTCAACCTCATCCACATAGTGCTTATCGCCAATCTTCCTGTCCTTGTCACCTTCCAGAGCTTTCTCATCGAAGGGCGAGTTGAAAAGGTCAGAAATCTCTTCCAACGACTTTCGCCCAGTCTTCTCGGAGTCAGCAGAGTACCTGGAGGTTGACAGTTTCATTTGATAAAGACTTACCTCGGGACAGTAGAGCAGCACAAATGCAAGCGTGGCTGAGGTACAGGCAATGAAAACAATATAATACCTCCATCCAATGGTAGCAAAGGCCGTGGGTGCACATTGCAAGAATATAATTGTGGCAAGAAACAAACCAGAGATTGAAACTGCCAGACCCCGAGCACGCACAGGAGTAGGGAAGATCTCGGAGGCGTAAATGTATGACGTTGCATCACATGTAGTTGAAAAGCATGCCATGTGGAAGAAAAGGAAAAAGATTGCTGCGTTGACGGCGGCTTTGGATCCATTATGTTGGAAAATACTAACCGAGATGCATTCACCAATCAATGCCACTATCACGCCGGTATAACCGGCCATGAGGAGCCGAGTTCGTCCTACTCGATCAGCTAGGAGAGAGTTGATCAAGTTCCCGAAGGGGGAAATTGTAATCCAGCCAGCCTGAATGAGCAGCTGGGAGTTTGTTTTGAAGCCAAGAGATTTGTAAAGCGATGGACCGTAGTCTAATTACCGTTAGTAAAGCCTGGTAGGGTTTGGACGGATAAAGTACTGTTAATAACCAAGGTGGCCGTTCCCTGGCATCCGAAGAGAACCACGAAGCCTATGATACATCTTTTCCGAAGGGCAGGTGTGGTCACAAGAGCCTTGAAGCTATGATCCTCCGTATTTTCCATACGGATCATACTGCATAGATTGGCAAAGTTTGCCGCCAATTCCTCATCGTCTTCAGGGGTCGGTGTGTCTGACGAAGCAGACACTGCTTTGTACGCTGCCCATGCCTGATCAATGCGGTCATTGTATATTAACCAGCGAGGGGACTCTGGCAGAAACATGACACCAATTGTCAGGAAAATAGGGGGCACGCATTGGATAGCCAATGGGATCCTCCACTGGACCGCGGAAGCCTGAACGAAGGAGAACCCAAACCCGATCCAACTAGACAAGGCATATCCCACGCAGATCATCACACCGTGAGATCCCACAAGCAGGCCTCTAATACGAGGTGGAGCAATTTCCGACTGATAGAGAGGAATCAAAGCAACCAGGGCACCTTGAAGTATCATATATTTAGCGAGATCGCAGTGAGCGAGGAAAGACCATACCAACACCAAGCCCGGTCACAAAGCGGAAGACAAGGTACGCGCCAATGTGAATACCTGCAACTTGCAATGCTCCTCCGATGACACTGGTCACAGAGGCCAGCATAATCGACTTTCGTCTTCCGAGGATGTCTGCAAATGCGATACATGACAAGCAGCCGAAAAGCCCTCCCGCCTGGAAGAGAGCATTGATAGCACCTTCCAAGCTACTGGCATTTTTGCGCGTATCCAAATCAAAGTACGAGAGAAATGAGGGCTGGGCGAGAGTGCTCGAGATGATACTGGAGCAATATCCGTAGGTCACACTGCCCAGTGCAACATACACAGAGATCTAGGTAGGACATGAGCCGTCTGATGAACAATGAACGTGAATCAAAAGACTGACCAAAATGCGAAACATAGAATTTGAGAGATGCATCCTGTATATGGAGCTCTGGTCGTACGGTGTCATGAACCAGCGAAGCAATCCCTGAAGAGTAGGAAAGCAAATTTCCCCGGTGTCTGAATCTGGGGCCCCGGGGCCCAGCTCCGGGGTCACCCCACACCCAAGATACCGAGGAGAAAGAAGTTTATCTTGATCAGCTCAAGTGGAAATTGGCTCCGCTAGTCACAGTCGAAATTGCGTAGAATATCGAAAGTGGGACACATACATCCGACTTCGAAAGAAACAACGTATTTTTGACATATATCGAGAGAATCCTCGTGAACGTGGTTTAACATCGATCCCATCAAACATCAAATCGCACTAGACTTCCTCCTTTTTTTCCCCTCCGCGGTCTTGTTTTTTTGTTTTTCCTTTTTTTTTTTTTGCTTTTCGGCGACTCCAAAAAGTGGAGCACTGGTGGTTTATGTCCACAATCGAAACGACGTTCAGAGTAAAGTTCCCGAAAACGATGGAAGACCTTCGCCTCCTACTTGAATGTGCGTTGATGTTAGGAGAAAGCCTTCCTGCCGACCTACCTAGCTCTGTAGAGAGCAAAATTGGAAATATGCAGAGCTCGGTATCTCTCATGGGAAGCTCAAAATTATCCGCCCAGTCACGTGGAAACTTCATTGGTGTTGGCAGCCCCACTTGGCCCGTCCGTGGGAGCCCCACAAATCACATGGCCATCCACTTTCGCTAAACATTAACTAACTCGTGAAGAGGGGACCCAGGGGCACCGACAGCCCTGCGTGCGAAACAGAATGAGAGCAAAATTGTCAATGGGAGTAGTAGGTTGCTAAAAAGGAGAACATCATGGGGTGACTACTAGAAGAAGGGAAGAAGGTGGAAAGTGTCGGCGTTCCAGTCTCCGCCTCAGGGTACTCCGTACTTTTATATCAATCATATCAATCACATGGCCGCTTAGTCATCCTACACTGAACCTTGGAATAAACATAAGTCAAGCTTTCCCTATCTAGATTATACAGTTTCAAAAGAGAGATCTGACAGTGAAAGGTCTGAAATAGGGCAAGAATCTTTGAATACCTGACAATTTCACAGTACACGGTAGCCATGTCATGTACTAGGCAGTAGATATGAGCAATACAAATCCCTTTCCTTTCGCCGCAATTCGACAGCAAGGCTAACAATGTGATACCCCATAACGTGGTGGAGGCACTATGAATTCATACTAGAAAATGTTAGAGTATTTTCATAGCCGGGTTTCAAAGAGTCTTACTTGATCAAAATAGTCTTTGGTTCGGTAAATGCTCGTAAAGCCTGGGAAAGTCAGTAAATAGCAAACTCTCAAAGTTCGATGATCGAATGCTCACATATTCGCCAAATTCTCTTCCAATTCCAGAGGCTTTCTTACCACCGAAAGGTACTTGGATGTTCATCTGTCCTGTTTTAGCCAACGACAACACATGTCCACCATGGAAATGACATACCACACTGACGCAATTAACACCTACTACACCAGATTCTATCTTTGAAGAAACCCTCATGGCACGATTGATGTCTCGCGTGAACACTCCTGCCATCAGTCCATATTCGGTATCATTGGCCAATTCAATGACTTCAGCTTCTGTATCAAAGGTCTTGATAACCGAGACCGGTCCAAAGACTTCATTTTTGTAAATTTCAGCGTCTGGCTTCGGGTTCAGGAAGACAGTTGGTTCGAGGAAACACCCCTGATCGCCAATGCGGTTTCCGCCCACGGCCAGCTCGCATTCATTCTTAGCCCGTGCAATCATCGCCTGGACTTTTTTAAAGGCCGCGGCATCTGCTAGTGGTCCAAACTTGGTCTCGACTTCCTGGGGGTCACCGATATCTTTTACTGCATCCTTCATCCGCGCACAATATAGGTCGATGAATTTGGAAGCGATTGAACGCTGGACGTAGACACGAGATGCCGCGACACAAACTTGTCCTGTTCGCGCTAAGATTCCGTTGATTGTCCTGCATATCGTCATTATACTGCTCTCAACCTTAAAGGCTTTGAACTCATACCATGTAACTGCATTTTCCAGGTTGGCATCCTCGAATATCACTGCCGGGCTTTTGCCACCTAAATTTTCAGTCAGTAGGCTTACTTCCTCGAGATTGCATCATCTCGACCTACCAAGCTCTAATGTGACCCGCTTTAAATTGCTTTGAGCTGCAGCAACTTGGATTTTCTTTCCGGTCGCAACGCTTCCAGTGAAGCTGATCTATGCGTGGTTTAGCAAAGATTTTTGAATGGAGTTTCGCGGATATTAAATATTTGTTCTTACCTTTCTTACTCTCATATGGCTGGCAAGCCGCGCCCCTGTACTGCCATCGCCTGTCAAGACCTGAACGACACCAGGTGGAAATCCCGCTTGCTCAAAAAGTGCTGCAACTGCCAAGGAACCTAACGGGCTCTTTTCCGATGGCTTCACAATGAGTACATTTCCGGTTGCCAGACATGGTGCAGCTTTGATGAAAAGGGATGCCACTGGTGAATTGTAAGGATTGATGGCAACACATACACTGTTAGATTTGTCAGTATTAATTTTGTCCAGAAATTAAAATACGTTATGCGGAGCGGCGTACCCAATAGGCTCATGCCTGACAAGCTTTACGAACCCGTCGTCGTCAGGGAAGTAATCCCCGCGTTGCTTGTCTGTCCAACCCGCTACAAACCAATATTAGCGTTTAGTGCCTTTAAACATTTCAATCAACTCCCGCGGTCACCCTACCATAGTATAAAAGACAGTTCCGAATGTAGTTGCTCTCTCGGGTCGGAATGAGTGAGACCGGGTTCCCCGTCGTCAAAGAGTCAAGACGCAGAATTCCAGGCAACTTCTCTTCGAGCAGATTGATCAATCGATGAAAACAGGCCGAGCGCTCAGTAGCACTAAACTTCGACCAAGGACCATTGAATGCTGCTTCAGCGAACCTTACGGCGTTGTCGACATCGACATCGTCCGCAATGGGAATTCCATCTGCGACAAGTGTGTTGTCCTTCGGGTTTAGGATGGAAATGGACTCGGATGAATGAGAGGCGCTATACGCTCCATTCAGATACAACTGATTGAATATAATTGGAATTGAAGAATTGAGGAGAGACATTTTGTCGTGAGGTTGATGGGAGGCTTCAATTTTAACTTTACTAGATAATCTCTGTAGGCTTCTTCTTATATGACGGAAGAATATGAGATGACGAAACGCCGGGTGGATTATATTCGGCTTCTCCAGAATCTTTATCCGAGAATGAAAAAAAAGATGATATTCGGTGAAGAGTCGAGCCATGGTCCCTACGATAGTCCGGGGTCCGGGGAAGGTTTGGCCCTTTTCCTCTCGGCTTCTCGGCGCGGCACTTTCGCTCCGAGTAAAGAGACCGAACGCCACCGATGAACTAATAAATTGGGATAGAAATCTATGAAATGAAGTCCTACAAAAAAAAAGGAAAGGATCATCTAGTTCACATTCCCAATCATGTCCATGAAAGCTGTTGTTTTCCGAGGCCCCTTCGACATCCGTGTCGAGCAGAAGCCAAGACCGCAGATTCAAGATGATACGGATGCCATTATTCGAGTCACATTGGCAGGAATATGCGGAAGGTATGGAGTGTACCATGTTTGAAGATTTGCAATTGGCTAATTAGCATAGTGAACTTCACATGTATCGCGGCCATCAGCAAACGGCCACCGGGCACATCATGGTAGGTCGTATCGCAACTTGCATAATTAAGTACTATGACAAAGGCTAATATGCAATGTCAATGAAGGGTCATGAGTTCGTCGGAATCGTTGAGGAAACAGGAAAGGCCGTCGCCCTGTTTCACCCCGGTGATGAGATTGTATCTATCTTTTCTCCAGTCTGGTAAGTTTAAAGGCTTAGGTATCGTTTACTTCCAGCTGCTGATGATCAAAAGTTTGAAATGCTGGTTCTGTCTTCAGGGTTTAACAAATCGTTGCGTCAATGGCGTGGCGTTTGGCACCAACTTGCTCAACGGCGGTCAAGCCGAATACGCCCGCGTCCCTTTCGCTGATGGCACCCTTCAGCATGTTCCAGCAAAACTAGATCGCCGACTGCTTATCATGATGTCCGACATCTTTCCAACAGGATACTACGGCGCGCAGCGAGCTATCGAGGGTCTTCGCACACAGTATAATTCCAGACTCACGTCTTTCAATTTGAAAACAGCAAGTGAAAAGCTCCATGAGTCGACCATTGTTATTCTTGGTTGTGGGCCGGTAGGAATCTGTGCCATTGCTGCAGCTCGCTCAGAAGGAATCAAGACCGTGTTTGCGATTGATAGCGTTAAAGACCGCTTGGATGAGGCTGAGCAGTTCGGCGCGATCCCGCTCATGCTCGGAGAGGACGATATTAATGCTCGAGTGCTGGAGGCAACTGACAATAGAGGAGCAGATGCCGTTGTTGAGGTTGTCGGAAATAAACCCGCACTTCGCTCTGCATTTGATCTACTACGCCCATGTGGTGTTTTGTCATCAGTGGGCTTCCATCAAGGCGAGCTACCCTTCACAGGCCTTGAATGCTATCAGAAAAACATCACGTTAGTTTCTTCCCACCCTCGATTAGGTTACCTGGTCTAACTTCATGCCCTAGTGTTAACTTTGGACGCGTACCTGTCCGTACCGTGTTCGAGGATGCGTTGCAGTGCTTGACGGAAAACCAGGAGAAAATGCAAAGCTACATTACGCATGAGTTACCTCTTGATGATGCTGCCAAGGGTTATGAGATCTTTGAGCAAAGAAAAGCGAGAAAGGTCATCCTCAACATTTCGAAATAGCTGAATTGAATTGAACATAATCAAGTACCTACCTACACGTCAAGTTCAACCCATCTGTAAATCGCGATCACTAGCATGGGCGATTAGGCATAATGACAAGGTAGCGCTTTCTTTTTTTTTGGACCTGGGGGCCTCTCTTATACCACAGATGATAGCCCATGATGAGCTTGAAAAGCCTGAAAGGGGCTGTCTGCCGCGGTGAGAGACTACCTAGATATCTATTCCAATAGCATGAATTCCCGAGAAATAAAGGTAAGTGGAAGCTTTGAGACGACTGGGACATATGCAATATACTCAAAGGTAATCACCAGTGAGCTGAGAATGAGGTATTGAACGGAGGCCTCCGCCTCAGCGGGTTGGGCCGATCAGTCCCGGAGAAAGTTCCATGGCCTCATTTCCGACGCTTAATTTGACCAATCACTTGAGGTCCAAATAAATCAATAACCGTTTAGGTCAAGTGGGATGTGGGGATGTACTCCGTACCGTAGGACGTGAATGTGTTGCCGTCGGCTTCTTCCAATCATCGCCGCGTGATTAGTCATCAACTCTTCGGCTTCATCTTCCCCGCATGCACCCCAGATTTTGACTGACCTGTAAGTGATCCCGGGGTCCGCTGCTCGGGGACTTCTCTTCCAACAACGGTAATGGATATCGCAAACAGGGAAGCCGAGGGCCTGAAGCAGAGACGCACACGCGTGGCGTGTCGCCGATGTAATTCAAAAAAGATCAAGTGCAACTCACAAGAGGAAGTTCCCTGTAAAGGATGCGTGTCAACCAATACAGACTGCGTGCCCATAGAGTCACAGCGAGGGCGGTATGTGCCAGTGTCAAGAGGCATCTTTACCAAAACATAACCGGGCAATTTTACTAATATTCGGCGTCTAGGTACATTCGCAAAGGTCCCAGGGCAAGAAATGCCAGAAAATCGCACGTCTCTCAGAACGATAAAGAGATACCACCAATAGCCCGCTCGTCAACTTCCCCTACTAGTGGTGTTGACAATCTTGCCGAGTCGGAAATACCCTTGCCTCCCGAGGATCGGACAACTAGCTCCTTCCAAAGAACACTCGATGCATCTGATCAAGACAGTGATTGCAGGTTCTACTTGCATATCGCGGACCAGGGTGTCAGCTCAACACCCCAGCCTATCTCAAGTCAAAAAGGCACTCTCTTTCTTGGCGAATCCTTTAGCCTGACATACGTCGTTCACGACGTTCTAGCTCCCCTTCTCAGCACAGAGTGTGCGCCCAACTACCGCAGACGCCTCCATTTCCCTGTCGATGAAGGATTCGATCCATCTATGAGAGGTCAGCAAAATATGGTTGAAGCGCAGACAAAGCTGCTCCATAGCAGAGATCTATGGTTCCATCCAGACCAACGAGCCTTAGAACAGCTTCTTGCCATATACTTCAAGTGGTTTCATCCAGCGTTCCCCATTCTCGAAAAATCCACTTTTCTACAAAAATATAATGGAAACCAGTTATCGTTACTTCTACTCAATGGTGTGCTCATGATTGCCGTTACGGTCTGTGATGAGGCAGACTTGGCACTTCTTGGGCTTCAAGATCGCTATAAGGCACGCCAGCTTTTTTACAAACAAGCCCGCGCATTATATGAGACTGACTCCGACCCTGATAAAATTAACAACGTGGTGGCTTCCTTCTTGATTAGTTTCTGGTGGGGCGGCCCCAATGATCAAAAAGACTCGTGGCACTGGCTGGGGATTGCAATAAGCTCAGCCCAGAACCTTGGCATGCATCGTTCGTATGTATATTTTGCTTGGCTCATTGTGTTTGTATACTGACAATTTATTTTTTTGCTCAGGACAGCGAAGTCTCATATGTCTAGCCACCGAGTACGAATATGGAGGCGAATATGGTGGTGTTTACGAGTAAGTATCCCCTTGATCTTGTCGTGCTCTCTTGCTGACCTAGTAAAACTCAGATAAGAGATGTCTTGGTCAGTAGCTCGATTGGCCGCCCACAGCACTTTTCAGTATATGATTGCGATGTGGAAATGCTCTCGTCGCATGACCTGGAGGGCGAGTTTCAAAATGAGACAGAAATTCACTACGTTTGTCAGATGGCCCGTCTTTCCACGATATGTGAGTATTCCGATCTTGGGTTCATGTCGGTTAGGCTAATTGACAAATGGACAGTCGGGAACATCATTTCTTCACGGTATGCGGCGGTGAAACCCGATCATCCTTCACAGATGAAGATTCAGCTCGAGAAAGAACTGGATGAATTTCGCTCGCAAATGCCAACAATTTTGAGATATACTGGAATTGACGCGGAAGGCAAGATATGTCTATGGTCAGCAATGCTACTAATGGCGTACAAGTTAGTTCTTCCCTCTTCGTGATTTCATGCACATCATACTGAGACTTGGACAGCTTTGGAGTCATTCTCCTTTGTCGGCCTCCCCATAGCAATGGCCTGGACATGTCTCAATCGTGGGGCAACCCTTTCAAAGCCTCATCGGCCGCAAATGAAGTCACCCGAGTGATAGAAGATATACTCTCACTCTCAATGGGAAGGGTCTGTCAAATTCACACGTATGATCGTCTATCCAATTGCAGCATGAGACTCGACTGACCCTCGGAAACAGAATCCCGGCACTCTTCAACTCCCTTGCTATACATGTTTTCACGATATGTACCTCGCGCGCTATTGGAAGAGAACTCGCCGAAAACCGAGCACGTACCTGTATGCTGGGCCTAACGTCTCTACAAGAATCTTGGCCCGTTAGTGGGTGGATTTTACGTCTTTTCGTTTATATCATGGAGCGATTGAAGTCCACGTCAAAATCACCTACTATCCCTGGATCCAGGCCGGGTCTCTTGGACACAGGTCCTAATTTAGGGCCGGGCTCGCACGGAACTGATACACCAGCCGCAAACACTCCGCGACAGGTACGTGATGGTATAAACACCCCAAACCAGCAAGCACAGGCCACTTCGCAGGCAACTGGAAACATATTCGAGGACTTGGATACATTTCCTGAGATGTTTGTTCCTAATATGTTTCTTCCGGACGCGTATTACGAGGGCCATGGAGTGGGCCAAGCGGACTTTTTTGATCTGCTACGGGTTCCTGACTGGGATAACATGGCCATATCATATAGTTCCTGAGAACTGCAAGTATCAAAATATAAATCTGACTTCTATACTCCATACACATTTTCCCACTTACTATTTCCTCTTTAGAATCAGAGGCGCTAACAGCCCTAGGGCTTGAAGAGTTACCCCCACGCATCGCTTGACAACCAAATCGGCGCACGCGGATCTCTAGTCTATCTTACAATAAACACGCAATCGCAGCTGAATATTCGCCAGTGATTGTGGGAATCAATTGTGTTTGGTTATGACCAATTACTTTAGCGCGTGATAGGCGCACCCAGAAAAATTCATTTGTGTCCTCGCCTTAAAGCAATTTAAGCCGGAGAAGAAAGAACGGATAAAAGTTCCCTAGCTTAAGTTTTCCTCTGCTGTGTTGATTGAGCGTCCGATGGTATCATTTTAGTCTAAAAAGACTACGATGGTGTTAGCGACCCCCCAAATTGCAACATTCTTCACACCGCGCCCTATCAACAAGCTAATTAGATAAATCGTTCTTATAGAGAGGCTTATCTCTAGTAGGAAAAGAAGTATTTTTACGACGATTTAACGAAAATTTCATACTTCTGTTATTAGACGGCTGCACTTGAGATCTCACATTCCCATGACCGCAATGAGTCCGGCCACTGCGCCCACGCGAAGATGGTACCATTGGTATTCTCCGGATGATACGCCAGAAGAGAGAAATTTAGTGCTAAAGCTAGATCTGCTGATCGTCCCATATGCATTCATTGTCTATTGGCTCAAGTACATTGACCAGGGAAATATCAGTAAGTCAATCAGGAAAAGCCATCAGAACTAGTACTAATTGCACCATTCAGACAATGCATATCTATCAGGGATGGCTGAAGAGCTCAACTTCACTGGTAACGAATTAGTCCATTTCCAGACTATTTTCACAGTTGGCAATGTCGTTGCGCTTCTGCCTTTCATGTACCTCTTTCCGCGGGTGCCGATGCACTGGCTCGTCCCAACTCTCGATCTCATGTGGGGAATCTTTACTCTGCTGCAGTATAGAGCCACAAGCTATGCAGAAATCATGGCTTACAGGTTTTTAGTCTCAGTCTTCGAGGTATGACTTCCCAACTGACCGAATGGAATCCATTTATCCCACTCACACTGATAGGCATCCTACTTCCCCGGTGTGCACTTCGTTCTCGGATCCTGGTATAAAAGCAACGAGATAGGAAGACGAGGAGGAGCTTTCTACGTCGGCCTCACCCTAGGCTACCTGACCGCTAGTCTTCTGCAGGGTGCCACACTCGAGTACCTAGATGGGGTTAACGGACTACCAGGGTGGCGGTGGCTTTTCATCATCAATGCTATCATGACCCTACCAATGGCGCTTGTTGGCTACTTCATCTATCCTGGGACAGTCGATAAGCCCAACCGCCTTGTTATTTCAGAACACGATCTAGAGATAGCTCGCAGGCGACTACAAAGACAGGGAACCCAAGTCAAAAGCGCCTCTTTCTCATGGGCACTCGGCAAAAAGCTCTTTTTGTCGAAGCGGTTCTGGCTGGTTCTCATGTGGGATGGATTCTTTTTCAACTCTAGCGCCAACACGGCGTCCTTTCTCTTGTGGTTGAAGAGCCTCCACCGCTACAGCTCTGAGGAAATGAACCAACTCAACTCAATCAGCCCGGCACTTGGAATATTTTTCATTCTCTTCGTCAATATCAGCACGGACTTGTGGCTTGATCGCACCTGGGCTATTACCCTGGCTTCAAGCTTCAATTTTACGGGACTGGTCATTCTGGCTATCTGGAATGTGCCCGAAGGAGCCAAATGGTTTGCTTACAGTGTGCAATACTCGTCCGTCGCGGTATCGTCTGTACTATATGGGTGGATGAATGTCCTTTACCGTGACAACCTCGAGGAGCGCGCAATCGTGCTAGTTCTGGCCACTGCAATTTCCACAATGTGGACATGTTGGATCCCACTCTTCACGTACCCGACTGTGGAAGGACCTCGTTTTAGCAAAGGATACCCTTTTTCTGCAGTCATGGCTGCTTGCTTGGTCGCTATGACGTTCGTTATGCGTTATACTTACGGCCCGAACGGGTAAGATCTCTTACCTCTTTTTCACATGGGTGACTGGTTGCTAATGGAATGCAGTGAGAAGAATATACCATATGCGAACGATGAAAATGTGTCCGAGGACGGGTCGACAGGCACAATTGCGATTTCTGCAACCGAGGGAGCAAAAAAGGGCCAGGTTTCTGTTGTGGGGACCAGTTTGTGATTTGATTAAGGTATCTTCATACATAGGGGTTTCATCGTTTAGAGCGTTGGGAGACTCGCTATCGGAAAATTGTTGGCGACCTGAGGCTCTACATATTTGCAGGACCTTTCTTTGTAAATAATTCTTTCTGAATGACACCATCCAAGTAGTATTAATTAAACGTTAAGATATATTGAGTAGAGATCAATTACTTCCGATTTAACTCGTTTTTTGGTGAAAATAGGAAGTCAAAACTATAGGGTTTGGGATGAAACAGGGGCAGGGGGTAATTTTATACAGAGTTTTCATTCTAATAATCTACTCTTTAGTTACCCATTACAGGTTATTTAAGAAACCGTAAAATTCAATTGCATTTTACCATACGATCAACTACACAGCCTCTGTTCATAGAGATGCTTCGTGCTACACTGATAGGAGGGAAGGAATGATGATGTAATCGGTACTGCCAGGATCACGTGGGCGGTCACTTGTAACACCTCGGAGGGCTGTGAGCTCAACAGTGAACTAGAAGTTACCTAGTAATATCTCAAAGATCTTGCATTTAGAAAAGAATGTTATGTTTATGTAGGGGTCGGTCATAAATCTAGGAAATAGAATGCTTAGAAGGCCCGAGTTGTACACAGAAAAGTCCTCCTTACAGTTGGTTCACATATCTTAAAGGGGAAATATCAGTAAAAGAGACATAACAAAACCGCATAAGCGGCGGATTATTCTTATCAACTATAACTAGATGTAGTACAAATTCTGCTGTACCCGATAGTCCATGCACGTATATACCAAAAGACTAAAGAGTGCCTTATTACCCAAACAAAAAACCAATTGACTCCTTCCCATATATACAAAATTCACAGCATTATTGCCAAAACACGAATGGTGCTTGACCTATGGCCGATTGAGCTGTTCACGGCGGTAAAAGAGAAGGAAACCAAAGCTAAAATCACAGTCAGTACAACGCCATAATATAAGTAAGGGAAAAGGGGGGGATCACTAACCTAGCAAGAAGCTGGAAGAAAAGGGCAATCCAGAACCACGCATTGGCAACTGTGTCCAGCGACGATCCAACAGCGGGGGAGATGCTTGCTGGGCCGACCTTGTTTGGCGCGAATCCACGAGCACAAATTGTGGCGATGGATCCAAGAGATTGCGCGGCCAATAGGACGAAAACGACGTGTACTCGTGTCAGAGTCTGCAGGAGAATCATTCCCAATCCGACTTGTTGGATCTCGTCGAGAACGCCGAGCCAGAGCCAAACACACCGGGATGCGATGGCGCCGGAAGTTAAACCTCCAGCCCATGGAAGGTAGTGGCCGATGTTGGATGTTCCCCACCATGTTTGCGCCCATCGTGGTGCACCGATACTCAGGCCGAAGACGGGTAAGATCCAACTGTGCTCCTTGGATAAGAAGCGGAAGAGGAGCATCACAGCGATCCAGAGGATGATAAAGAAAAACAGGACCAGGAGGACAATGTACCATGGTTTGGTGTGCTGAGAGGACCAGAGGAATGACCAGTTTCGACCGAACGCGGCGGAAAGGAACCAGTTCTGGACGATGACCATGAAGAAGAACCAGAGGACGATTCGGCGGCGGAAGAGGGAGGTGTAGAAGAAGAGGATCTTTCCGGGTGCTTGGCGATAGTACTTGGGCAAGCCAAGGGCAAGGAGCATACCGATGATGAAACAAACCGCGGCAATGGGCATCACCACAGCCGAGAGTCTCCAGGAATTCAAGGCAACCGTGGAAACACCTCCAACTTCCGCTGAAGTGACTCTGGAACTCCAGTACCACAGGGCAACAGTGTAGAGCTGTGAGATTCCTTGGATCATACTGGCGCGGAACATCCAATCCTTCACAGGGACGGCACCTTGGTCACCAAAGTTGAGAGCAAAGAACAAGGAACCACTGGAAGATGCTGCGGCATAAGTACCTGCGGCGACATTCTGAGCCCACGCTTGACCGAGGTCCGAGAGAGCGAACGGAGAAACGCCAATGGTGATGAATGCCATGCAGTAGATGAACCAGGGGAGAGAGAGGACTATCACAGACGGGAAGCGGTAGAAGAGGAACCACCAGGCAATGGAAGAGACACAGTAGATTGCCGCGATCACGTAGAGCTTGACTGCCGTCTCACCAATCTGGCCAGCCAACAGGGTGATCTGCGCAGAGTTCGTGGCGATAATCTGTCCGAGACCCAAGAATAGAGCATAGACAGGCCAGTTTCCGACACGCCATCTCATGAAGCGCTGGATGGCAATGGGTCTCTTGTATCCCAGACGAGAGAGCCACAGATCAATTTCATCTGTATTGTTCTCATTCGACTCTTCGTGACCCTCTGTGACGAGGCTGTACGGCGGGGCAGGCTCGTCAGTCTTGTCCGAGCCACTTCCAGTCACGGGTCGCTCTTTGGGCTGCTTCTTCAACTGCGCATCGCTGTACATGTAGAAGAACTTCCGCTCACTCTTCATGAGATAAAGCTCAATACAATAATCTGAAATTGAGTTTTTCTTGTTGAGGTTGGTGAGCTGCTGTTCAAAGTGCCGCGTGAAGTAGCCCATGCTGTCCGTAAAGGTCGGGTCGACCTTTTGCAGATGGAAATTGGGTTGATCATGGTCATTAACAACAGAAGGCAAGGAGAGGACAGACATATTCGGAGCGTGAGCGAAGGGTACAGCCGAATCAGAAAGATCCCTAGTCAGTCTCACTGGAGAGGGGTCCCTCGACATGAAACGCATTGACTCTGAGGTCGACGAGATTGACTCGCCAGACTGATTGCTGTGTCTGGGGTGCGCGCCGAACTCCATAGGTGAATTAACTGCTGCCATGGCCTCTTCTTGAGAAATGAGTTTCTCCTGTGGTGTGGCAGTACCATCATCGTCGGCGTCCGTGGTATCACCGTCGGCGGGCTCGGTGAACTGACTCCCACGCTGCGACTTCCTGAAGAGACGCTTTCTGCCATGTCCTGGTCCAGATCGTCGACCAAGGGACAGGTTTCGACCCAGCATGCTACCTCTGTTGCTTTCAGCCACTTGCATTTCTTGAGCTTCAACAGCCTGGAGCTGCAGAAGGGAAGGCTGGAAAGGCTGTGGTGCTCTGCCAAGTGGTGGCGTATCCAAAGCCGTCGCTGACTGGAATGATGAAGGGCGGGTGACCAGTGCAGAGTCTCGCAACGCTGGCGTCTCCCAGAAGATCTGAGTGTCTCGTGCCGTGCCTGCAACAGTGAGTTGATTCTTTTGGTGATGGATCTGAATAGATGTCCGCTGTAAGACCTCGAGCTTCTGAACCCACTCGAGAACGGGGAATCGCTGCTTGGCAGAGTTTTCGCGCATCTCTTTTCGGGTCTCCGGTGTTGAGTCCAAAGCGGACTTGATGGCGGTCCTCAACTGGTGCAAGAGATGGCGGGCTGAGTCGGATTCCACAGTGTACCACCAACCAGGCATCTGGCCTAAACCACCAATGCGAGAACCAATTCCAAGTGCACCCTTACGACCAAACTCAACGGCAATCAATCCGAAGGGCTCGTCGCGAGACGGGATCAGGGCGAAGTCGGCACCAGAGAACACGAAGGGGGGGAGGACTGTGAACTGTGGCTTCGAGCAGACACGGCCTGGGAACATTTCCACGATGCGCTCGAGCTTGATAGCGGCCAGCTTACCATAAAGATCAATAATAGGACCAATGCAGATCAGCTGGACATTAGGTCTAGCAGACAGGACAGCTGGCATAACATCCGCAATCAAGTCGACTCCCTTCTGCTTAGACCATCTTCCGACAAATACTAGCAAGTCAGCGCTGGGATCCTCGTCCAGACCAGCCCACTTCTGTGCCTGGGTTTTGTCATTGGCGTGCTCGTCAGCAGACTGAACCGTAACTTGCACATCGGGGTCTTTCTTCAGGGCGGCTGTGTCGGAGGGATCTGGATTGGGAAGACTGCCAATCTTGCCGAGACTCCAGAAGATTGGGTAACGGGCCAATGAGCGCTTTCCGTATTTCTCGGACACACCGACTGCGCCAAAGCCGCGTTGATGGAATCGCAAATAGCTAGCACCGGTGTGAAGCAGGTTGAAAACGCTGCCAAACTGACAGTATTTTGTGGCCACTTCTACTGGGAGATTGAACACAGCACAGACTTCTTTCTTCTCTTGTGCGGTCCTCAGAGCCCAAAGACCTTGGAACTCGGCATTGTGCAGAGACAAACAGACTGGAATAGTTCGCGACGGGAGCAGGTAAAGCGGTGCCACGCAGCCGTGGAAGTCGTTGATGTGATAGAGATCAATCGAGGGTGTTCGCCGCATTACCTCTGCAATACATTGATTCCAGGCCGAATAGTAAATTGCACTGTCAAGGTCATCCATACGTGGAGGGTATGGCTCGGCCTTGGTCTGCTGGCGGAAAACCGGAGCATCGAGTAGAACATAGGTGATGTTATCGACAACGTGATACTGGACCTTGACTGAGTAGGGATGATCTAGGATCGTCACCACGAAAGGTTCAACAGGCGTATCCTCAGGGTAGTCAATATCGCCGACACACGGGACCACCCAGATGAGATTCTGGTGCTTCAGATTTTGGGACATGAGCTGCGCCATCACTCCCAGGCCACCAATCTTGACTTTGATCTTCCAGTCTTGAATGTCATACTCCATAGTGGCAATCAATACAGTGCGTCGTTGATCGCTCGCGCCTGCCATTCCCATGATTGTTGGCGGGGCCTTTTCTGCCATATTGATCTCCTCGACATTATCTTTGGAAAACGTTCCCTTCATTCTGCGCCAAAGCACCACCGGGAACTTCTCGGTCTTGATGGCATTGCCATTCAGGTTGAGTTTGACCCGGTAGAAGTTTCCGATGAAGATGAAAACACCGGCGCAGCCCATAACAAGCGGAATAACCCAGAAAAGAATAAAGAGGACCAACTGGGCCCATCCAGATCCAACGGGAATCAGTTCGTACCTTAGGTTGCCATCGTTGAGGGAGATGGTCCAGCCAAGATGCGGGAACGGTGGCAGAATGGTGATGTTGATGACGTTGGATGCGAGGTAGGACGGTGGAAGCTTTTGAACTGAAGACGAGTTGCCGACGTCACCGTAGACCTCGGTATTATCAGGAGTGCCCTCCTTGTCCTGGCCCCAAACGTTCAGCTGACCCACAGCTGGCCATTCGTAGACGAAGTCGTAGATCCAACGAGACGTTTTGGAATCGAACTTCATCTTGCTGTCCATTCCTGCATCATAGCCATATTGGTTATATGGGCCGTTGAACCAAATGTGCGGGAATCTTCGGACTGTGGTGCTCGCATAATCACCTTCCTGGAGGTAATCGCTGCTTCCAGTGAGCCTCGAAAAGTACTGCACCCGGATATGAGTTCCCTCCCACTTCTGGGCGTCCGTACCTGTGAAGGCTGGGATGGTAATAGTCGTGTTGCCACCTGAATAAGTCGTCCAATCGGTCCAGCTCAGGCCGAAATCAGCCGTATATCGGAACATGTCCGCACCGGCAGCTCTGTGCTGGATGTAAAGGTCATCGTTGGACTTTTGCACTAGGCTGGTAGAGTAATTGGCAAGCGGAGAAATCAGGGGATTGTCAGAAGCGCCTAGGCGGATCAAGAATTTGTCGGTCGCATTGGTGTAAACTCCGGAAGTGGAAACATTTTGGACAGTTAGTTGGTGGATTCCGTGGTGGACGTTCTTCAGGTTTGCAGACCATGTCCAAACAGTCGGGATTTCGCCGGTGAAGTTATGGCTGGTGGTCCTGGCAGAGATATTGGCGCACTTGACACTATCCGTATCAAGCACGGCGGTGATGTTTTTCTCTGTTGTAGAATTTAGGTAAATGGCTTCTGTGATGCTGCTACAGTCCATTGCCTTGGAATATCCAAGCTGAATGGGCAGGGTTTCGCCCGTGTCTTCTGAAGATAGCAACCGAGTATCATGTCCGGGATAGAAATCGGTGACGGTAGGGCCGGGTTCGACGAAGTTGGAGCTCTTGACATAGGCCCGGTATTCCCATGGAAGCAGCTCCATTTTCCTGACGCATCCATAGAGGTTGACGTTGTCTGCCTTGGCGGGGCCATCCTGCAAGGTGAGCTCATCGTAAGGATAAAAGAGGTTCTTCAATTTTGTCCCTGAGTCGAATGGAGCCAATAAGGACGTATTCTTATCGCTGCAGTTGCCCCCGTATGTGACGGTTGAGTTTCCATTCTGATACACAAGCCATAGAGTTTCGTTGGCCAGGATCGCGTCTGTTTGTACCGCAGGGAAATAGCTTCGCAGGACAGACCAAAGGCCAGTGACCGTGGGGGTGGTAGAAGAACCAGGGAGGTAGATGTCTTGTGTCAGTTCGGAGAGTGTTTCGAGGTACAAGCCATCCATGGCGACCGGGTAATGCGCACGGATCTCGAACATGCGCTTCATGATGTTACGCAGTGGATGGGCGGGATTCCGCTGGTCGTACGTGACAGTGATATCATTGCAGCCATCGCGACCCTTTTCGATGGGGAAATCGTAGAACTTTGAGGTGTTCAAGTTGAAGCAGCCTTGTGTCCACCACGCGGTTTGGTACGTCATGGGTTGCCGACCGAACATATAGTTCGCTGCGGTAGCGTCAAACACGTACATCTCCTGCTCTTCTCCCCACAAGATGAGAGGGATTCCAGGCAGCTCCAATGTGATGATGTACAAACCCAGGAGGTATTTATCTGTGCCATTTTGGAGAGCTGGCCAGCGGAAATTATCCTGGTTCGAGACACCATACATATGTCTCGGATCAACTTCTCCTGTGAATGCATTGAGGAAATCGTTAGTGATGAGCATCTCATTCCAGGCTTCGATGAAATCGGTAGGCAAATCAAAGCCAGCAACCAGGTTACCGTCCATGCCTAGGAAACGGGTCATCGAACGGTAAATGGTATAGTGAAATGCGGAGGCATCCAAAGCTTGCAGCCCATCGTCTCTCAGGAACGCCCCATCCGAGCTGTTCGTGATCTTGATACCCGCGCCTGCGTTGGCTGTACGCTGGTTTGGTTGGCGGCCGCGGCCGAGGTAGAGACTGCCAAAGCTGTCTCCAGATGTGATCTCGCCGGGGAGGAAGAAATTTTTCTTGCCGAGTGCCTGCGCGCATTCACGGTAGACGGCCATCATCTCACTCAGGGGCTCGAGGGTCGATTGCACAGACTTATCGAAGCGGAAACCGTCGATGTCTAGACTCGCGATTTGGAGGCAGGAATGTTGAGTGATCACATCGCGGACCGGCTTGTGCCATTCACGTAGACGATCCTGCACGGAGGCGAACTTGGTAAGTTGACGCTGCCAGTCGGGGAAATTACCGAATGCCTCAAGCTCTCCGTATTGATCGAAATCGCTGTTATAGCAACCCTTCAAATTTTGGACGCCCGAGGTGGTTAATGGATATCCAGTCTCATCCCAGAACTTGGGATAGCTGCAAGATTCGTTATAGTCGTTACCGAAGTTGAAATCGGCATATTCTCGGTCGGTGACCCATTGGACTTCATATTCAGATGCTTTGAAATCGGCGGAATCGTTCAGATGGCCTTTGAATCCGATGAGGTTGCTCATTCTGTGTTTTGATCAGCTCATGAACATCCCAAGATGCGCGAAGATCAGAGCATGACTTACGTTGCCAGTGTGTTATCCACCAACACATACATCTCCCGTTTGTGAATCTCCTCCACGGTCCGCCTCCAGTCATCCAGTGTTCCATAATGCATGTCAAGGAGGGTGGTATCGACCGGCGAGTACCCATCGTAGGCCCAGGGCAAGTTCATCAAGTACGTTCCGGCGAAGTAGATGACCTTGTCGGTGTTAGAGATGGAAGCATTAGGAGGCCGGGTCCACTAACCTTGAATCCCATTCCCTGGATGTAGTCCAACGTATCTATCAACCCCTCCAAATCACCTCCATGGCGCATCTGATTGGAGTTGACCACATGCTCAAAGGCGGTCCCGTTGATATCGTCATTGGTCGGGTCGCCGTTGGCTATACGGTCCAAAAAGATTGTATATGTAGGCATGCGCCAGTTATCTGGCGACGGGTGATAATCATGGTCCGGCCATGCTCCCCAATAATCGATGGGGCTTTCGGCGGATTTGTTTTCGTTGAGATTGTATTTAGCGAGTGGTTTATCGTAGGGCCAGGCAAAGGCAAAGACGCTCAAAAACGACAGTATGAGGAAAGCTGAGCGCTGCATTTCCGTATATTACTGTTATCAGCAGGAACCTGCTGCCGGAAAGATGCGCGACTCAAAAAACGAATGGATGAATTTTTGACAAATAGCGAGAGTAAGATGAGTGAAAGAACGAGGAATCAACTGAAACAAGCTTCCAGCATAGTGATTTGAAAGGTTTTACAGAATACAATTTTTACTAATGTTGTATGGCGAATACATATTTTTACTATGGAGAACACATCCTTATCGGGCCGAACGGATGGGTGGCTTGGACTATACATAGTCCCGTCCACTACGACCCACCAGGTGAGATTTTATCTATCCACTGGCTTTTCGCCGCTGCTTGGCTGCTTTTCGGGTCCATGTCTCAGATAGATCCAGGATTTGAGTCATTATGAGCAGGCGACCTTGGGTTGTTGTGGTCTAAGTGCGCCCAACCAAGGACTTTAACTTGACTATGTCTGTAGTATGTGTATATTATGTCTATATCGATGTCTTGTACACCTCAGCAGGAGATTCATGACCCGAAGATGGGCTTATGCAAAGTGCAATTCTTAGCCATACAGCTGCATCAGCACACCGCATCATCGCATCACTGTATGGCAAAAGGCTTTTGATGTACCTAGGTCCAAGCACAGTACTTCGTATTCTTTTGTTCTTTTCATATTGAAGTGTATCTATCATGCAAGCAACTGGTAATCATCGAAGCTTATCTTTGTAATTAATTAAAAGGGTTTAATCCAAGCTATTCGATTCTACTCCCTATAGTACTCCATAGACACGGGACGATTAGATATTGTCAAACGAGGCTATCACTTGATCAACCTGGCTCTAACAACCCCCCCAAAAATTAATGAAAAATACACCACAATCCAAATGTCTGAGAGACATCCTGTTTAACCCAGGCATTCGGTTACAGGGTGGTATATTGGTGGGTTTGTTTCCATTCGGATCCGCCCGCCTTCGACGTCACATCTTGGCTGACCGGCCTTTTCGACCACTATCGCCAGAACGTCGCCAGTGTGAATCAGGAAATAACCCACTGTAAGAACTTGGAATTCCTGCCCGTTTAATATATGTCTTCCTGCTCTTGGTCCTCCCAGCCTGCTTCAGATGTCTTCCCATGCTCCGATTAATAATCTCGTATCCCGTGTCTTAGATAGAACCGAGCAAACCCACCCTCCCATATGTACCTAACAATTCGTCACCCCCTCTTGTTAAGACCCCGGAGAAAAGTCTTATCCCGGGGACTCTATGCCACTAATGCAGTGACGGGGCGTGGGCATCGTATAGAATCATGATATTTGCTTTTGCCGCCCTCAGGTACGTAAATATACGTAAGCAGCGTTATCATCCGTGGATGACTTGCGCGGCCCAGACGTGGTTCTGGATGCATGGCTTCGACGCTTTCTTGGTCGTATTGACAATAGGGGTTTGAAGCTTATTTTATCTACTTGGTAATACCAAGCGAACGCAACGTTCTAACCTCTACTGTATATACACCCGGCGATACTTGATGACCCGATACGAACGTACCGATAAGAGTAGCTTAAATATATCGAGTCTTGCTATATATAGCCGAAGGCGATAAAGCATTGATTGGACCATGCGACCCATATGATAGCTGTCTTTGAACGCCTCCATTCAGAGTGGAGCACGGTTCTGTTCACTTAATTCGAACAATCTGGGTGATACTCCCATGGCCTGTTCAGAAACGCGCTAGCGCCTATTTGATCTAGCCTGGGGCCGATCGTCATATAGCGTGAGGAAATGTCTTATGTATGCCACGCTGGAGCCTATACGGAGGATGGTAAAAGAGGATGATCGTGGCAAGCCCACCAACCCAGGCCCACCCTAGTTGGGGGCACCACCGGATAGCCAATTTTGGGCAAATTTTCACCGACCAAGTTGTAGTCTCCTTTGTGTGTGGGTTTGCCACGATACTTAGCCCTGCCATTACTCCAGTTGCCTCCATCCCATTACTTTGCCCTAGGCATTGACCTATGAGCAAACTCGGATATCCGAAGTTCCCCCATTGTTCGGTTCGCGGGCTTAAGTCGGCCGTTCCGACAACCTGATTTCAAAAACGCATTTCGGTGAACTGGGGCCCGAGGGGTATCCCGTATTGTGCCGGGGTTTGGAGGGATTTGGCCAGGTGAGGCTGACAACAGGCGTGAATGGCTTATTTACCATTGGCTGATATTGCCTTTCGCCTGACTCTCCGCCTTCCTAATTTATACACACGATAGATCTGGGTACCCAATCTCCGATTCACGACAACTATACCCCACATAACCAGATCTTCTTCGTTCGCACGTACATCTTTCTTTGCTCATGTATCTTTATAATATAGATGCCCCTTACTTGAACTTGACGCATTTCAAAGACGAGGTTACCTCTCGCTTTGATTTAAGACCACACACAATACTAATTTTTGGGCACTTGAAAAATCTTTCATAAAGGATATTACCATGGAACAATACAAGGCCTAGACACAGTCCACTGGGTCAATTGTTGCCTTACTGCCGGTACCTGGGCCTGGGGTTAAAGACCAAACCCCAAGTCGCCCGGGCTATTCCGTACTCGGATCAAAACACCCTTCGCGGCTAGCGCGGAGTACAACTTTCGAAAGCATGGCGCATGAGAAGCTCTATGTAGTTACACAGGATTCTTGACCAGCCTATAGGATCGTGCTTGTGGACAGTCATAATGCGAAAACCGCTTCCCAGAACGGCGAGGTGCATAACCGATTGCATACAAGGCATGATATATATTGCGAGAATCCACAAATATCTCAACAATCTATGAAAATCAGATCGTGGGGTCTACGGACATATCCAAATTCGATTAGTCCATGGCATACACAATATGCTTCATATGCGCCCCCTCCAGGGCTAATGCCGTACAACATGATTGGAATAATATAAAGTCGAGACATCTTCTTGGAAATCATCATGTTCAGATCAAAATTCAGATTAATTCACGCGGAAGATGGTGTCTCCCACATCCAACATATCCGAGCACCTGCTCTTGCTGGTGTACGTCGTACTTGCCTACACAGGCATCAAGATAATCTACCGCTTGTATTTCTCTCCACTGGCCGGATTCCCGGGTCCACGCTTGGCAGCAGCAACCAGTCTCTATGAGTTTTATTTCGACGTTGTGAGAGGAGGCCAGTTCATGTTCGAGCTGGACCGTTTACATGACAAATACGGTCCTGTCCTCCGCATCAATCCCTACGAGATCCACATCAAAGACCCCAGCTTCTACGACACTGTCTATGGCGGGCCGCTAAATAAAAGAGACAGAGTGCCTGCGTTTATTCACTCGGGAATGCCCCGGGCAACCTTCGAGGCTGCGCCACATAATCTCCATCGCGAGCGGAGGAAGTTATTGAGCCCGTTCCTTTCGACGCAATCGGTGACAGATCTCCAGCCTGTCATCCAGGAGAAGGTGGATTTGATCTGCAGCCACCTGTCGAGAAGGGTCGGTACGGGGGAGTTCCTGGACTTGCACTCTATCTTTGCTTCTTTCGCCGTAGACGTGACGTCTACGTATGTGCTTGGCCCTACGAATTGCTATAACTACTTGAAGAACACAGAGATCACAGACGAATGGAAGCAATATATCACCAGCATCTTCGAGGGCCTGATTCTTCTCAGACATCTTCCATTCCTGGTCAACCCGGCACGTGCTTTTCCTAAGATTGCCACCTTCTTCTTTCCTACCTTCTTCTGGGCTCAAAGATGCGAAACGGTATGTATGGTTATTATCTGGAATGCAAATATACTGATAGAGGATTAGAAAATAGATAGAACTGTTAGGGCTGCGTACGAAAAACCAGACGAGAAGTCGATGTTATCGACTATTCTCTCCAATAAGAAACTGCCCGACGAGGAAAAAGAACTCGAACGCCTAGAACAGGAACTGAAGTTTCTGATCATTGCCGGGACTGACGCGCCTTCCCAAGTGATGGCACTCACTATGTTCCATCTCCTTTGGAATCCAGAGATATGCCAAAAACTCAAAGACGAGTTAGATGAGGCTTTCCCGGTTCTGTCCGACGCGGACTGGACTAAGTTGAAATATCTTCCATATCTGGTAAGCAGCATTGATCCGTATTTTTTTCATGGACTTTATTAACAACGTGCAAGTCTGCTGTATTGAAAGAGGGTCTACGAATTTCTGCCGTTGTGACATCAAGGCTTCCGCGTAGTGCACCAGATGAGGCTTTGCAATACGGAAAATGGACCATTCCACCTGGGGTATCTTGTACTCAGTCTACCAATCTTGTTCCTGGCTAACACATTGCTCTAGACACCTATCAGCATGACCACCCACTCCATTCTACGAAGTCCCGAAGTCTACACCGAGCCGATGAAATTCATCCCAGAACGCTGGATGGGTCCTCCCGAGGAAGTTCGCGTACTGGATAGATATCTCGTTCCGTTCGCGAAAGGCAATTCAAGTTGCATGGGTCAGAGGTAAGTACCTTCCAGTCTCTTAACCAGTTCCAGACCAGCGGCACTGATATATACTAGCATGGCCTACTCGTGGCTGTACGCAGTGATAGGTACCGTTGTCCGCAAGTTCCAATTGGAGCTTCACGAAACCGACGAGAAGAATATTCGCATTGTTCGGGACTGTTTCAATGGACAGACGGTCCCTGGCCTCAATTTGATTAATGTGACAGTCGCTAAAGAGTTCAACTAGAAGGGTCTGCATGTGAATTATCGGTCTGTTTTGCATCTTGATTAGATTTCATTCTGTCATCTCTCGGTTCAACTTTCCCCCCTGGCACTTGGAATTACCTGCTTATGCTTTGTCTCATAGAAGAATAGAAGGGCCAGGAAACAGACACAAGACTATTATAACACGCATTAGAAAAAAGCCCAAATCAATATATAAAACCCACCTGACATCCCCAACTCACATTCACCAGTCCCTAGACTATCTATCCCCTAGTCCCAAAAACATAATCCCGATCAACAGCCAGCCGCCCAGCCCCAATCTCCCTCTGATAATGCTCGACAAGCCCAATAACGATAAAAACCCAGCCGCGCTGCCCAAGGTCCTTATCACAATTCATGACGGGAAACGAGACATACAGCTCGCGCCGGTGATGCATGGCCTCGTAGTGGGTGATCTCACAGTCTCCAGCGCGGCACCGGTCAGCCACTACGTCCATCAACTCTTCGTCGGAGAAGAGGTAGTCTGTGATGGATAGCTTGACTGATACCCACCACAGGTCCGTCATTGGGCTGAGGTTTTCGTAGTGGGGCTGTCCGTTTGAGAGGAAGATTGTGCGTGTGTGCCTTAGGGCTGCTCGGCGTCTTGGGCCTATGGGGTTCCAGGATTGGGGTAGTTTTGATCTGAACATGGCTTGATGGTGGTGGGGTGGAGTTGGGGTTTGGGTTGGTTTGGATGGACCGTCGCCGTGGACGTGATGGAACTGCTTCTTGTCTGATGGTGTGTAGACTTGACGAGGGATTCCGAGGTTATTTAAATGCGATGTAGTGAGACAGTGGACAGTTCTATCGAGAGACTGTCTTTGACATGGTTGGGAGAGAACAAAGTCTTTTATGTGAGGTTGTTAACAATGGCTTTGTTGGTCTCTGACTAGTTAGGCAGGTACTATGACAATGTGAAACGAACAAAGCCTCGAAGCCTTTCGCTGCTTATGATTCGAAATCAAGGATTTAAGAACAATGTCGATCAGCGCTTTCCCTTAAGGAGCTTGACATTCGTTGGTCTGATATTCAGTTCTTCTAATCAGAGAACAATGAGATTTCTCTGATGGTATCGATCATATCACACTAGACTTAGATAGTATATTGACGTCAAACCTAGTAAATCATCCATTCTCCATCGTTGAAAGTGAAAATTTTATGACTTTTAAAAACGTCTGATCTTGCTGGGATGGAAGTATCCAGTATGCAGCTATGTAAGACTCGACAAGATTACGCAGTTTCAAAGGTCATACGTAGAAATTCGTCAAATCTATGCTTTTTACTTGCCGTTTATGAAACTTAGGAAGAAGATATCAAAAGAAAAAAAAAAATCTAACAGACTAATCACGTCGTTCTCAAAATAGAACGCGGCCGAGTATTCTTACAATGAAGAGGTCGTGCAAGAAGAATTGCCGATTGGACATTGTTTTCCACGTTGCCCCAGGAAAAAAAGAGAGAACAGATGCCAAAAGGCTAGCCACAAATACAAAGGAACATAACCAGCATGAACAGAGTTCATTAATCGTACCTGGATACCGCGTAGGGGTTGATCCAAATAAACTTCGATGCGTCATTTTAATGCATGTTAATAAGCCGAAACCTCTGCCGAGGTCCAGAGCAGAGCCTCCAATACCACTACTCAACGTAGTTGGCAGGGAAAGGTCCCTTCTGTCCTCTCAGCTCGCCTTCCCACCAGTCATCCGTGCTATCGGTCTTCCGCACGACGCGGATGCGGTCACCTTCCCGGAAACTCAGATCGCCATTCCCCTGTCCGTCAAAGTCATACAGCGCCGTGACAAACACTGGACGGGATGACGGCGGTGGTGGCGGGGGTTTTTTCTTCCCTATGGCGGCAGCCATGGGTGATACCTTGGCCTGGAAAGAGTCTACATTGGGGCCGGCAGGTGATCTGACCACTCCTGATGAAATGGGAGTGGCTTGTGGGGTTGGCATGAATGTAGGACGAGGGGGCTCGAAGTAGTCACCGCCCGTTGCGAGGGGCTTAGATCCTGCGGCGTTTCCAACGGGAATTGCGCTGCTCTTGTGACTGAGCGTTGACAGGGGCGGAGAGGGAGGATATTCTGGTACACAGGGTGTCTGGGCCGACGATCCTGGTGTTTGTGAGCCTCGGCGGTAAGACGGGAGCGAGGTCGATGAGGCATTGCTAGGAGCGCGGCTTCCAATTGAAGGGCGTTTCTTATTGTCGTGCTCGGCTGCAGCTCGACGCATGGCCTTGCCAATGGTCAGGGAGCCGAAGTTTTCTATTTCAGTTTGCACAGGTTTGAAGGCAAACTCCCAATCTTGGACAACTTGTTCCATGTCTGGTGGCGGGGAGGGGAATCCCTCTTCTGCACAATAAGTGTGAAGGACTGTGTAATAGTTTGCAAGCATGCGGTTTTGGATCTCGACCTGTGCTTCGAGGAAATATGGCGTCAGGGAGAATATGAGAGCGATTAATGTTGGGAGTCGCTGTCGTAGGTCCTCGTCGGCAGCTTGGTAAGCCTGGATGGCGATTAGTGCTTCTTGGTCTATGAATAGTATTGAGCATTGGGATTGTACCTCTTTCGTATCGGCAAGTTCTGCCTCCGCTTTGGCCAGGTTCGCATTGTCGCGGTCGGTGCGCTTTGGCTTTTTCATGAGGCTATCAACACGTCCTTGGGAGATTTCAAAGTCGGTCTAGAATTGAGATATTAGAACTAATCCACCAAGAACGTCGGTATTTATTGTGTACCTTCTTGTCGTTTCGCTTTTTGATCGTCTTTTTCATCGGCGCAAGGGATTCCTTTGCCTGCGAAGCCGGCTTGGTCATGCGAGTATCGACAGCACCGAGTTCCTCTATGAGGTCGTTACGTAGTTCATCATATTCCTTGCGCAGTCGGTTTGTCCGAGCTAATCTGACGGGGTCGGTATCCACGGCGTTGTGGTTGGACGGGGTTTCTGAGGAACCAATGATAGGACCGTAGAGGCCGTCGAATTCATCAATAAGGCGACTCTGGTAAGTTGCGATAGAGATCCAAGCATCACGCCAGGATTGGGTAGATTCCACGATCTGATCAAATAACACGTATCAGGAAATGCGACAGAACGCGCGTCATCGGGGTAACATTGTCTACCTTGCCTAGGAGCATATCTGCATCGTCGAAGTCTTTTAAAAGCACAGCAATTTGACTGTCATCTGCAGACGACTTCGTCGTCATGCGACCAAAGCGTCTCGTCATGTTCTGCATGTTGGGCGATGAGCTCTCAGAAGCTGGGGAACGCGGAACGGGAAGAGAGGGGATGACAGAAGCGTGTTTGAAACAAGAGTGAACTTTAATTCAAGTCAATATTAATCAATGTATTCAATTCGTCCACATCCAATGCAAATGCAAAATGTAGATGATGGGGAAGAAACATTGAAAGAAAGGAAGGGGAACGTCCCATCCCCTCATGACACATAACTCAGCCCCAATGCGTTTCAGCCTTTCATGCGGCTCGTGCCACGACCCCTCCAACGTATTTGACCTTTCGGGAAGGAGACAATGTCAATCTCCTGAACCCTTCTCCACTCTGGATAGATCATATTAAATCCGGTTATCCATCTTATCTCGTCAATGCGGAATACTAGTATATGCCCTACAGAGTACGGAGTACGGTGAGGCATTATAGTACTTACTACTTGCTCATAAAATACAGTATAACATACACATACTCCGTACAAGAGGCGCAGATATAAACATTGAACTCTGGGAATCGACGAATCCATCCGTGGACGGACAAACTTAACCTGCTGAGCTCAGAACTCTATATCTTTCACGTGATCCGGATCTTCATTTATAGTTGCCAACGTCAATAACCAGTTAATGTAACAATGTCGTATTCGTGTTCTCTTCGGTCATAATCCAATATAAAATACGGAGTAGTATCCCCGATATTAGGCAACGATCAATAGCTCTTTCTATTCCGGGTATGGCGCCCTCACTCCCACCCCCATTTGGTCCTAGCCTCACCCGTTTTAACAGCTAACCGTGCCAAGCGCCCAACACGCACTTGGCACGGCTAGGCCGCTCGCCCTACGGGGTACCTTTAACGGACCGAGAGAATGAAATCCCACCTGTGCTACATAGAATTGGGGTTGTTTAACGTGCAAGGTGAATCCAGTCGAGAATACCTTATCTCGTTGTGGCATCGTATAACGCCCAAGTCTGGTTTCCAATAAGGAAAATATCACCTATTCCAATCTAAGAAATACAAGGTTGTATAGTAATCCACACCAAACAATTAATTTCCACAAGTGAGAGTTTTTCCTATTCATCCAATGAGAATCAAACTCCAAGGGAAACCACATTAATCACGCATTGTTCAAGCCTTCATACGGTACCTATACAATTGGCACTCGAAGCCAATCTTCTTAGGCTCACCCGAAGAAAGCAAGTCAAGAAGTCCGCGTTTCTCCAGGTCTTGGCAGAGTTCCTTTTTCAACAGAAATTCCTTTCTATTCCCTTCCTCCCTGTGTCCCACTCTGCTACTTCCTTCCGCTTCAGTTCCTTCGTTCAAGAAACGATTCGTGTCCAAAGCTAGATCAGAGACTTTGCCATATTTGTTATGCCAACATTTGTCGATGATATCGTCAATCCGTGGATTGCCATTCAATTCCGGAAACTCCATGTTCTGTAGCAAATCCACGGTCTTAGGACCATGTTCGTAGGGGTCCTCGGTAAGACAGCGATCTCTGTAAACCTCAAATCCGTAGTTGATATAATAGTATAAAGAACCGAGGGCGAACTGCTCTGTCCGCGAGCCAAGGGAGCCGGAACTTCCACAAATGCCTTCATCCGGTTCGTTGCTATTAAGGAATCTGCCATATGGACCTATACAAGCTTCGTGATCCATTCCGATTTTCGCCGTGTAATCAAAGTCGGATAATTTGAGTCGGTCTCGATTAAGTAGAATATTTTCAGGCCGTAGATCACCGTGAGCGAGGTTGAGAGATTCCAGGAAAGCGACGGCTTGAGCGAGATCGTTTATCCATTCCTTTCGTAGGGATAGCGGTTCCAACTTTTCCACTTTAGTAACCACCATATTTTGTCGGTTCCAAGTATGGTTATCCTGTATTCTAGAAAATAGCGACCTGTCTATTATAAGTGGTTAGAAGATAAACCTATCAGCTAGTGATAAAGGTCACACCTCTCATGTACTCGAGGAAGATGCCTTTGTCTGAAATATGAAAACATTGCACGATAAAGGGGCAAGGCGGATTTTGTGAGAATATGCGGTATATCTCGACCTCTTTGCTGAATTGTTCCCTTTCCTCTTCTCCTGACTGCGGGACCTTGACCGCAATGCGAGGGTCAACCTCGTAAACGAAAGAGATGCCTCCTTTCCAGATCCAGTGGACACTAGGGAATTGGTCTTTTATATTCATGACGAAAATATAATGTGTAATTTGACTGTTTGGAGAGCAGGACAGAAGCAAGTGTTTCCTGTGATTCAAGGGGAGGTGAGCAGAGGGGAAAAGCAGGGCCAGGCACAGCTGAATCATGAACCAATGATGATGACTCCCGCTTTCCATAGGCCCAGCCCTGTCTAATTGTAATTGAGGCGGATGCGCTGGCTAGTGTTATCGTTACGAATCAGAAGTCTGGAACATCCCTGAGCTCCTGCCCTAAATGGCGTAGCAGCGGTCATGCCCCTGTAAATTGTTGGGATTCTATCAACACGAACTACCGGCATTTAGGCTTAGTACTTTTGATACAACTTTGCTTTCTCTGCGCTCATGTTTGCACTCAGCATGACTGCATAGATCACTTATTTCCTTTCGCCCGAGAGAAACAGTTTATTTAACTATTGAAATGGAAAGCGAGTACAACATACGAAGTATACGGATATAGGCTCAGTTTCCAGGGGTTTGCAATATCAAGTTTTATACATACTATTCAATTTACAACAATCCCACCAAAACATATACTATGTAGACTTAGACTTTATATCTACAGATTCCAAAAGAGTATAACAACAGAATTACAGTATGAGTTCTAGGACGACTGAATTCTGGGCATATACAAACGTCTTGTCGTGATGCTCTCAAAGTTCCGCTTCATCCATCTTCAACAAACCTTTCTGCCACCACTTCTCCTCCTCTTCCACGGCCGCTATCCGACTCTTTGCCTGCCGAAATCCATGTCCCTCTCCATGGAAAATCACCAACTTAGGATGACGACCAGCCTTTTTCATCATTTCGACCATTTCCTCTGCTTGGTTCATAGGAACGACCGTATCCTGGTCTCCTTGAAGCAATAACAGTGGCGCAGTAATCTTATCCGCTTTGTAACAGGGACTGCGTTCGCGGAAAATGCGGTTTTTCTCGGCTTCATCCGCATCAGGATCGAACAACAGGGCGAATGCGTAATGGCTCTCGAACTTGTGAGTATCCTCACAGAGCGCCTTGACATTGCCGATTCCGTACAGAGAATTGCCACCGGCAAACAGGTTAGGGTAGTCACAAAGAGCTTGGAGTACGATGTATCCGCCCGCACTTTGGCCGCGAACACCGACTCCGTTGGGGTCAATTCGGCCAGACGATGCCAGGTATGACACACAACTAGCAGCATCTGCTGTGTCGAGGATTCCTAATAACTTAAGTCAGCATTGGAGGGATTGAATGAATCCATGAGAAGAGTGAATTCTCACCCCATTGTCCATTCAGGATATCCCGGTATGCTCTGCCATATCCGGAGCTACCTCCGTAATTTACCCAGACAACAGCATAGCCTCGGGAAGTCCAGTATTGGTCCGTGATATTTAGGCCAGTTCCGGTTTGCGATGTTGGTCCGCCATGGACGCAGACGATCAAAGGCGGCAGCGCTCCAGAAGGTGCTTGATAATCTGGGTTCTGAGGTGGGTAGAAGATGGCATGTGCCACTCCTTCCAAGCTCTTACCGTGGACTCTTGGAAAAGATAGATGCTCTGGCTTGGAAACAAGAGAACTTGGCATGGGGAGCTCGGAAGCTACCCTGAGTGGAGTGAGCTTGACGGTATCGGCGATGTCCAATGTGAAGACAGTGCTGAAGCTTGTTTCACTGGAACCAAGAAGGGCGATTTTTGTGTCTGAGAGGGGGTTATCTGCCAAAATAACCGTGTCCGTCACTGGCACATTCAGGTCTTGCCAGGTATCATTCGACAGATCTATCAGAATGAAGCTCCATCGAGCATTCTTGTTGTACGACGCGATCATTAGAGTTGGAGTCAAACACACGTATGTGCAGCTGTCAAAATGTAGGTCAGTCATCAAACCAGCTGCCTCCTGGGGTCAAGACTCAACGTACTTTCCTAGACGCCAGTCTGGCTGCGAAAATTCTACCTCTTCCAGGCCATGCAGGGCCACACGCTGGCTTTCCAGAGTGTCAAAGTTGAACCGATAGAACTGCCAATACCCCGAAACATCGCTCGTGAAGTACAACGTGTTATCAAGGCCCCATCGTGGCTGGCTGACACTTTCTTTCTTAGGCACACCATGCACATGGTGAACGTCTGTGACCTCACCATTGTTCCACTTAGCAACATACAGGCGAGCTCCTGTCCAAGGCATATCTGGATGAGACCACTGGGTCCAGCATATCTTGCTGCCATCGGGGGAAAACTGAGCAGCACTGTAGAAGTCGTCGCCGGAGGCGACATTGACTATCTTTTTGGACTGCACGTGTACCGCGACGAGTCGGTTCCGAACTTCCGCCGGCAAGGGCTTGGAGTGGTCCTCTTCGATCGCCAAGAGCCATCCCGAGTCCGCCTGACTATCTGACAAAGAGCCTATAGCAGAGGTGCATGCATAGCGGAGATCAGTGCCTGTCGTGGTAAGCTGTTCAACAAGACCGGTGGAGGGATCGAGTTTGTGCAAATCCTGTGTCTCCCGATCAGAAAAGACGACCTGTCCGTTGAAGGCGATCATCGATGCGCCGCCATATTCATGAACTTTGGTGCGAGCGTCATATCTATTGGACTTTCATTAGAGCTGGGTTCATACATGGCTAGATCTAGTATGTACTTGGCCGGTAAGATATCGCGTCCTTCAAGGCCAGAGTATTCAACGACGCAGCCTCGTCCCTGCTCTCCGGGTCGACCCTCGATGACAAAAACCTTTCCGTTAGATGTCTAAAGGCGCCGTTAAAATTTTGGGCATGAGCGAAATTGAGGTTTATTGAACATACCGCGATGGATTCAAACTGAACACCGCTAGCGCCAAGCAATGCAGAGCTGATTGGGCTCTTCCATTGGCCGAACGGAGCTGTGACTGGAGTAGCCATGGATATTCTAGCAATAGATAACTTATTCGTCGGATTGATCGAGTTGATAGTCCTGTTGGGAAAGTATAATGGTATAGGTGTTGTCAGCGTTGTGAGGCGATGGTGGAAAACAGACAGTCTACCCCGCATAGCCTGCAACATAGTGAGGCTGGCTGAAAGTTCAGCTGAGATTCAATTGAAAACGACCAGTAATCAATAATGCAGGTCTCTAGTTCAAATCTTCTTTTAGGCATTCACAAATAACTCTCGAATACATGTCTTTATACCTACAACATATATTTTCCAATATTGTTGCCTGAGGCCTCTAAACCCTGCCTTATCAGCTTATCGTTTCCACTTTCAACGCGAAACAACGCGACTGAAACCACATTTCGCGACTCCATGCGATGCGGGCATGATCAAATTAGTTATTCCACAATGCCACAATGATTTCCACACCGTCTTCCTCCACGCGTCCTCCTCCGACCTCTCCGCAGGTCACTGCCTCGGTCGTGAAATTTCGCTGCCTGTACACTCACGACTTACGCCGCAAGTCCAAACGATGGCACGACGGACACTTACGATACCATAAACACAACAAACGTGTTATGGTATACGATGACCAGGGTAATTTTATCGGTGACCACCACTGGCGATCCACCGATGAAGTACAAGATGGCGACGAAATGGAGCTGGACAAGGGCGTCCTGATTGAGGTGACCGAGAACATGGGCACGACTGAGACTGATATCACAACACTGTACGAAAAAAAGAAATCAAGCCAGGGCTCGCCGCCGGCCAGAGACCCGCGTTCCCCCTCTACCTACACGCCTTCCGCCTCCGTACCTCTTCGCGGTTCCCAGTCATTTCGCTCACTTTACGATTTGCTGGGCATTAAAAAGACTCCGATTGGGCATTTGATCTCCCCGCACGAGGAAAGGAATCCTCCGCAACCAGCCTCCAGCATTCAGGAACCCGAAAGAGCACCGAAGCGACGGAAGACATCCTCGGTGGTGAATCGAGGCGAGCAACGCTCGCGTGTGGGTGAGGTGATCGATTTAACCGATTCAACCGATTCAGTTCAGGGACTCTCTGAGAGGGAAAGGCCGAAACAACCGAAAAAGCCACATAGAGCTGGGGGTGATTCTACGGCTGATGCAGCACTCCCGGTAAATCGTGAGCAGAGGTCGAAACCAACTCGGCCACAGAGACCCAATCCTCCTTCGTTCTCAAGCGCCTCCGCTTCAACTGCATCTGAACCGATCTCCAGTCTACCAACAACCGAAGAATTATTCCGTACACCCGCCAAGGGTTTCCAACCTGCAAGGTCACTAGGCAATAAATCGAAAGATGACCCGCCACCTATTCAACCGCCAAGGCCCCGAGGCCCCTCCACAAGTTCCCTTCCCACTGTAACCCCAGAAACTGAAATACCGAGGCCACGGGAGACCTTGCGCGTGGAGCAGCCATCAATCAGCCGCGAAAATCGATCAAGAGCTCTGTCACGTCCCATCCCACCACAGAGGTCTGACCCTCCGGCGGCTTCGAGGAGCTCTCTCACAAGCGCACCCAAACCGTCGTCTGCTAGATCTACACCACAGACGCCGGTGCGTGCAGTCAGCAATTATGTGAACCCTATCGAACCTGTGTGTAATCAAGCTTCAATCAACGTTCCAGCATCAGTCAACATTCCACCTCCAGCCAATGTTCCACCTACAGTCAACATACCATCTCCAGCAAATATTTCATCTTCAGCCAACATTCCACTTCCAGCCAATGTTTTACCCACAGTCAACGTACCATCTCCAGTCAACATCTCATCTTCAACGAGCATGCCGCCTCCATCACGTCCATCATCGACACTACGCTCTGGGGCACCTACATCCTCCCTACGCATGGGAGTCGGGAAGCCACGCAGGAAACTGATGTACAGTGCTCTATTGCCGGGCGCTTCACGAACTCCATCGCCAGCGACCTCAGATACATCTCCTGGTAGTGCAAGTGAGCCCGCTACAAATACCCCAGAGCAACAGTTAGTACGGTACCCACCCATTAACCAAAATTGTGATACTGATTCTGTGCAGACTGGCCGCCGTTCCAGGTGATTCTTCGATATCAAACGAAGAGTTTATGCCCTCAAGCTCGACACAATTTATCTTCGACGAGATGATAGATGGATCAGGGTTCAAATCGCCCTCCACAATCAAAAGCCTAACCGGGAAAAGATCTCTGAATTCACCCTTGCGCAAGTCGATGTCCGACCCGATTGAATCGACTACCCGCCAGGTTCGAGCAGGAGGACCATTACACGCGGCTAACAAGGAAAACGAGCCCAGAGAGCAAGGCCCTTGGACATCCGAGGCCTTGGATTTGTTTGACTTCTGGCCTGCTGGACGACCAAAACCAAACGAATGAATTACGTACTGTGGCTCGGTTTGAGAGCTGGGCATGAGGTTCTAAGCAACAATGAGTAGGGTTCAAACCAGATTGACAACACAAAGACAAGAGCCTTCCAAGGTTCTTGTGCCTCACGATGTCTACCGTCTTATGGGAAGCAATCACCAAGTCGCCGAAACCGTTGTTCTCGAAAACTCAGTGAGTTTTCCGTAGTGTTCCTGCGAGGGATAACTACTTTTCAAGATGCCAATCACAAGTGCACACCTTGCGAAAACAGTGCTTGCAATTCGTGTCGGGGAAACCCATGCATTCATATCCACAGACTTCCTTCCCCGCCTCTCTCCCCAATCCGTCAGGGCTTATGATTTAGAATGCTTCTCTTCATGAAGCTTTATGTTATCTGTTTGTCCGAAACAAGCCTTCGAGACCCAGAACGACCTCGATGCTCTTATTGAAACAAGAGAAATATGATAGAACAAAGATACCCATTTAACATTGATGAAAAATAAATCTATACCTAACGCACACCAACTCATCGAACTTAAATCCCCTTCTTAACCAAAACCCCAGAAATATAAGGCATAGCCGACCACTCAAAGCTCCTCTCCAACTCCACCCTCTCCCACCCCCCATCCCCATCAGCCGCAGCCCTCAAAACGGCTTCAGTATCCCTATCCAGACAACAATCCCCAATAAACCAACTCCACCCAAGAACCCCATACAAACCCTGCACAACCCGCCCAACAACCGACCCCTTCGCTCGGCGCCACGGGTTAACAACATGCTCGGTCACAAGCAACCGCCCACCAGGCCTAAGCAATCCATACAACTCCCGCACAGTCCTCTCCATCTCCGGCACGGAGCACAGCACACGCACGCACAGGATCGTGTCGAAGATTCCCGCGCGCGCGTCGGCGTCGTACGCGTCCACGACGCCCGTGCCTGTCGCTCGCAGGGCGGGGATCAGTTCGCGCGCTGCTACGCCTGTCGGCACGATGTGGTACTTGGCGGAGATGTTCTCTGCTAATGCTTTTGCGCGGATCGAGGAGTGCAGGCTTTTGCAGGGCTCGGCGCCGTAGAGCGCTGTTATTGAGGGTGAGGTTAGTAGGGGCATTTGGGTGCCGGTGCCTGGGCCGATGTCAAGCACTATCCCTGAGGCGGTGCGGAGGATTGGGGGGATTAGGGCTGAGGAGCCGACTGGCTCGGGGATTTCTTGGTTGTTTGGGTCGGAGCTCATTTGGCGGGAGGCTGTTGATGGTGGTTTGGTTAGGAGTTGTGTTTTATGTGTCTTTATGTATTCTTTATAGGACGTTACGTCTTGCGGTTTTTCTCGTTCATCTTGTAGAGATTTCTAAGAGCAAGAAGCTCCCCTCTGGGTTTGTTGATGTGTGGCTGGGACTCACTGGTGAACTCGATCCAGAATCTTCCGAATGCTTCATCGCGAAGTCTCTGGGTCTGGGTAATTGGGGCGAAGAGCTGGCCGTTTTTGAAGACTGCTTCGGCGCAGACTCGAATGTAGTCTGTATTGCAGTTAGTAATGTGTAAGTTTATATCAGATGAGATATTGGTGCTGATGTGCGGAGAATGTCCAACAATATACCAGACAAATACAGGGAGATTCCCAAAAGAAGAAAAGACGATACGAAAAGGAATACAGCATAAAGTAAATACAAGCAGAGTGCGGATTGAGAGCACATCGATCGGCGTCCAATTCCATAATTGATATCATAGCCATTCGGCATCAGTTCGACGGCTGTACTTACGCGACATCGCCCAAGTAAGGATATATGCTGGCTCGAACATTCCGAGCATTCGCCCGACGAACGGTGGGGGGCTTTCGGTTGACATTGTAGTCAGAGATGTTCGAAACCCGATTTCGCCAACTGCAATGGATGCTAAGAGGAGAAATTACAAGAAAAGGTTTATATAGTTAGCGGAAATGCCCCACGTGACTGGGGAGCTTTGTGGGGTCGGCGATAAAGTCACATACTTAGCTGACTAGGGCTGTGGTCTGAAGATGACCAATGAATGAATGACAATGGCGTGATTATTCCGATAGATAATTATAATCTCACGATCATACATCTTACGAGATGAAAAGTAATCAGGCTTAATCCAACAAAATTGAACATAGACTAGTATCTAGCATCCTGGATTGGTGCAAATTGCACAAGTACTCAACAGATGCTCCGGAAGAAAGAGCGGTGCCTATCAGTACAAAGACGACGGCATGTAGTGGTCACAAGGATTATCACATAAAAGGAGATTATAAGGAAATAGCAGACTCAGATTGGGAGAAACGTTCCAGAACGGAATGATTGAACGAAGGACAGAGACAGAACAGACACAGTAGGAGAATTGAGATCTGTAGAGAGCAAAAAAAGAAAAAGATCGTATGTGAGAGAAAGCGGAGGAAGTTAGGTGAACCTATTCAGGGGGTCGGAGCGAAGAGTCCAGAATCACCAATGAGTACATGAGTCTCGGTTTGAGGTATGAGGGATTCCACGCTCGTGTGAAAGAAGTTAGGTTGGAGACACTATTAGAAGGGTTGCTGGTTGGACAAGAGACAAAATAAAAGGAGACTCGTCGTCATTATCTTTATAAGTGACTCGAGTCCGGGTTGAGGACCTGCCCACAAACCCTACGAACAAATGCCAATCTCATTGGATGTTCAGCGATGGTGGGGTGAGTGCATGCGGTTGACCCTCGGGCTGTACCGACTGGTGCGAGCAAGGGAGCCAACGTCGTGTTTTCCGTCGCAACAGGCACGGACATTTTCAAGCCGGTCTTGCTCCTGGGTTTCGATCACTTGTCTCAGATCATCGGCACTTTCTTGGCCATGAAGAATTTCATCGTTGATACTGGGAGATTGACCGTGCCGTACCTTCAGACTTGCGATGGATCCCCGAATCGAACTTGAGATGGTGCTGAGTCTTGACGAAGAGCGTTGGCGATCATCGGGAACTTGCAACGACGAGTTTGGCACGGGTGAGCTGAGCGCCGGTGATGCACGGCCACCGAGAGTCCCGGAAGATCGCATGGACATCGCCGAGGCCGCTCTCCGCTGTTGCTTGGATGCATGACGAGCGGTGCGGCTATTGTAAGATGAGAACGACAGTCGTGCGTTCTGACGAGAGCTAGACCGGAAGCTTGGGGGGTTGAACTCGTTGATGTCGTCAAGGGATACGCTGTTATTGTCCTCACAGGTGTCGTTGGTCTCCCTTAGAAGGAGGTAAGACAACGCATTGAACCACGTCTCATGCCTCTGGCTCGTTGTAGCCGTAAAGCGAACTCGTCGGCCAGGACTGACAACCTCCAAGCTCCTGCAGTGAAGACCCGGAGGATAGGGGTTGTCGTCGGCAACCACTCGAACAGCCTCAATGGGCACACTCTTGGTACGGAGCTCAGTCTTTCCGGCAGTTTGTGGGTCCTGCGTACTCCAATACAGAGTTCGGGTATACGGGTGAACCCAGAAGTATCGTCGGTGCCGTGTTGTGGACATATCCGACGAGCCGGTCTTGCGAGTGTATTTCCAAAGGAATTCACCAATCATGGTCTGAGTAATCGCCTGGATCATGCGCGGATCCGTATTAGGTCCATAGCCCTGAGGCATGGGGCCAACCTGAGGGGCCATATTGAAACGCTCCTCGAGCTCAGACGCAAAAGACGAGACTGAGGATCGTCGAGACATCTGGCTTTGACTTCCTCTCCTCATTCTGGCCTGGGATGAACCGGTTCTTGAAGAGCTTGCCCGCGCAGCGTGTTCGCTTGGCGTAAGTGGGCGCTGGGAGTTCATGCGGTAGGCAGAGGCAGGTGCCAAAGGAGGCCCCATGACAGACGTAGGGGATGGCGGAGCCACGTCGATGGACTTCTTCTCGGCTGCTGTGATAGCTTCCCGGTGATCGAAGGGTAGTGGAGGATGGCTGGCACCAGATGTCTGACTGGCTGAACTGTGGGGCCGGCGGTAACTTGGCGTTGTTGGTTTCGCAGCCTGAATTTGCGAAAGGCGAGGTCGCGTCGGAGCCTTGGGTGGTACATGTGGAGTTGTGATACTTGCAGTGACTGAGGCAATCTCCCGTGAGCTGTCCGTCACCTGACTGTCGGAAGACAGCGGGCGTGCGGACACGCGATCCATCAGGATTTGATCTATCTGTTTAGAGGACAGGATAGTCTGGGATCCTTGGTCCATGCTCACTGAACTAGGTTGCTGTCTAACAGAGCGAGGTAGGGCGTTGCCAGAGATATCGTTCAAGGCCAGTCCAGCACCAGCGAGCTGATCACTATTAGCTGTGCTAGGGCGGCTACGAGTAGCGCCAACAGGCTGCTCTCCGGGGACCATGATAGCGGCCCCAGCCTTTGACTCTGTCGGCTCTGTTTGAGTAGATAAATCTGCCACCGCAGGGATGACAAATGGCATAGACTTCGCTGGATGAGTTTCCACAGAGCGCACGGAGGAGAATGAGAATTCCGGCGTAGGGACAAGGCGGGGCTTTGGAACAATAGGCTTCGTATATGCTGGATCGAGGCAAGAGATCGTCAAGTTCGGTACTTCGCGCTCACGTTCAACGTGTTTGATAACATCGACGTATTGAATGACAGGTGGCTCGGGTTCAGGAACAGTTGCTTCGACTGGCGTAGTAGATTGAGTGGTGATCGAAGAGAAAGTCAATTCGGGCACCTCACGCTCACGCTCGACGTGCTTGATAACATCAACGTATTCAATTACAGGCTCTGCTTTGGCGATAGTTGCCTGCACAGGGGCAGTGGACTGGTTGTTGATGGAAGAGAACGTCAACTCAGGCACTTCGCGCTCGCGCTCAACGTGCTTTATAACGTCGACGTATTCGATAATCGGCTCCGCCTTGGCAAGTGTTGCGTGTACAGGCGCAGTGGACTGAGTGGTGATAGAAGAGAAGCTTGCCTCTGGCACTTCGCGCTCACGTTCAACGTGCTTAATGACATCAACGTATTGAATGACTGGCGGCTGCGGTTCGGGAACAGTTGCTTGGACTGGCTCGGTGGTTTGAGCAGTGATAGAGGAGAAGGTCAATTCAGGCACCTCAGGCTCACGTTCGACGTACGTGACGATAGGCTCCGGCACAGCAAGAGTTGCCTGGACAGGGACAGTCGTTTGATTATTAATGGAAGAGAAGCCCAACTCGGGGATCTCGCGCTCGCGCTCGACGTGCTTGATTACGTCGACGTATTTTATGACGGGTTCAGGCTCAGGAACAGTTGCCTGGATTGCCTGGACAGGTATCGTTGACTCAGCGGCGACAGAAGAGAAGCTCAACTCTGGTACTTCACGCTCGCGTTCAACGTGCTTGATCACATCAACGTACTTGACAACAGGCTCCGGCACAGCAAGAGTTGCCTGAACAGGGACAGTGGAATGATTATTAATGGAAGATAATGTCAACTCGGGGATCTCGCGCTCGCGCTCGACGTATTTGATGACGGGTTCTGGTTCCGCAACGGTTGCTTGGATAGGTACTGTCGACTGAGCGGCGACAGACGACAAGCTCAATTCTGGAACTTCACGCTCGCGTTCAACCTCTTTAATTACATCGACGTACTTGATGATAGGCTCTGGCACAGCAACTGTTGCTTGGACAGGGGAGGTTGATTGAGTGGTGATGGAGGAGAATGTCAGCTCGGGCACCTCCGGCTCGCGTTCCACGTATTTGATAACCTCGACATGCTTGATGATTGGCTCAGGCACGAGAACCGTTGGTTGAATGGGATGAGATGTTTGTGATGAAATTGAAGATATCGTCATCTCCGACACTTCCGGTGCGGGCAGGACATGCTTCACCGGTGCGGTGGTGCCCCCGGTGATGTATGCGACACTCAGATCAGGCCGTTTAGGTGCGGAAGGCGTGGTCTCTTGGGAAGAAACGTGCGCTATGCCCATTTCGGGTAGATCGGGTTGAGCGTTGACATCGTCCTGCTGGTCTTGAACCGAACGATCGCCCACAAGCATGTTTTGCGGGGTAGAAACATTCGATGGGTCATCGGATGAGGGCTTGAGTGGAGTCGCCTTTGTTTCCTCGCCGATCTCCCGGTCTGTTTGAGTTGCGTCGGGTGCAAGAGCATGCGGCAGAGCAGCTCCTGCAGCAATACCGACAGCTCCAGCAACAATGCTAGTACTGATAGACGTGGGCTCCCAAGGTTCAGTCATAACACCAGAATCCACCATTGCGGGCTTAGGTAGTGCATCCAGCATTGCATCTGAGGGTCTGCGTGAGCCCGATGCAGGCTCCATGCGGGGTGTCGAAGCCTGGGAGTTTACTTCGTCATCATCAATGTCCTCGAGCTCTCCAAGTTCGGCAAAGAGGCTCTGGCCCTCTTGAGCTAATGGCAGTGGCGCAAAGCTGGGTGCTGCGGATTCGCGTGAACTCGAAGGTCGACTGGTTGATGCGAATGTGGCCTCTCCAGATGGACGAATACGTCTCACGCTACGTTTAGACTTAACACGGGGTCTGGAGGCATTCCTCTGGCTCGGAGAGTCGAACACTTTATCATACTCTTCCTCATCGGAAGATGCGGAAGCAGTGCTGTTATATGAGTTGCGGTTGCGAGCTTTGGCCAGGAGCAGGGGAGAAGGCACTCGGCGGCGAGGAGTGGTCTGTACGTTTTCTGTCTCGGTAAGATCTGCCGAATCGCTGCTGTCATCCGCCATGCTTTCGACACCAGTCTGGAATGCTTCGCTCTCAGTTGCGGTTGCCACCTCATTCGCTGTTTCAAATCCATCTTCCGCCTCGGTGGCTGTATGGTAGACGTCGCTAGGTTCATCAGGAGACTGCGAGCGAGAGCGGCCCCTAGTGGATAACGCCTTGGTGTGGGTCTCGGTAGGACTGATTTGGCCCGCATTGTCTTCCCAATCGGTGTCATTAAGCTCAACAACTGATTTCTCTTTGCGGCCTGCGCCCAAAAGATCTGGGCGGGGAGGCTTTCGGGACGGCTCCGTCTTCGTCTTCTGGCGTTTGCTGGTTGCGTTTACCGTAGTGCTCTCACGGCGGCGTTGCTCAACTTCATCCCGAGCCTCTTGCAGCATGCGCTTGAGCTCAATCTTTTCGGTCTTCTCGCGATGAATTGTGCTCTTAAGACTCTGGATCATGCGATGAGCATGGCCGAGCGAGCTCTTCAATGTTTCCGATTCAAGATGGCCATGGCGAGGGGTGAACTTGTTGGGGGACGGTGGCGGAGAGCTTTCAGGTGTGATCTGCTCGGGCTCATTGTCCTCGTCGTCATATGCAATATCCCTCGAGTTCTGGTTTTCATAGTCTCGGAGCCTCATGGCAACGGCCTTGGCGAGTTCTTGATTTTGAGAAGTCATTTCTAAGAGCTTCTTTTGGAGCGCGGCCTTTTCCGCATCGCCAGAAGTCAGGTTCCTCCGCAAGAGGTGGATTTCCGCATCATTTGCCTTCTGCGTGAGGATTTGATCCTCAAGCAGCCTCGCATTGGTCTGCCTTAGCTCCTCCAGCTCTCGTTCCGCGGCGTTCTTTTCCGAATTCGACAATGTGATGGTAGTGTTGAGCCGTTGTTCACGTTCCGCGGCCTCCCTTGCAGCTGCCATAAACTCATGTGCTTGAGTCTCCAGCGCCCAGTTCTCGTCCTTGTAGCGTTGCTCACTGTCGTCGAGCGCCCGGATCCTTTGTTCATAACCCTCTGCCTCCAACTCAAGTCTGGACTTTTCCAAATTGACAAACTTGAGTGTCTCATCTCGTTCTGCGAGAAGAGCTTGCAGTTGGCGGACCTGGGCCAAAAGTGAAGTGGAGATCTCAGTCGCAAATTCGATATCGTGGACACGGTTCGACGGTTGATTGCGCTGCTTGCGGGATGGAACGCTGACTTTGCTAGGGGAGTTTGTGGCTTGACTGGCGAACAAAGCGGAATTTAAGGGTGACTATCAGAACTCGATGTTAGTTCGGTTAGAGTTAGATGTAAACCCAGGCAGTACCTTTTGATCGAAAGATAGCGTTCCAAGTTGAGCATCCTCCGGGCCTCCGGCAAGACGTTTGGGTCCTAAAAACGCTCGTGCTGACTCCAAGCCGATCTCATTGTACTCCTTTTCCAAATCTGCCAGTTTGCGTCGCAGTTCCGGGCCCATCTCTCCCTCATTCTGCTCCTGCTCAACCTCCTTCAACTGCTCCGAGAGCTGCCGTTGCTGATCGATAAGGGCCGTTCCTAGCCTTGAGGCCTCCTCCAGACGGCGCTCCGTCTCCGCCAAGTGGGCCTCGAGGGCCCGTTTAGCTTGTGCTGGTGAAGACGCATTCAGGCTGTATAACTGACTGTCAAAGGGCGAGTATCGATTGGAGTCGCGACGAGCAGTTGGCCTTCCGGAATTCGCAACGAAGGGGTCGTCCATGGACGCAAATGGCCCGATGGCCTCAGCGTTGGATGTGGTCATTATGTGGGAATCAGGGGCCTCGAACGGCATCTGAATCCTCTTAATGCCGAGGACACAGTTGCCGTTGAGATATCAGGGACTCGCGGCTTGATCGTTGTTATGATTCTAGGCCGCGGGCATTATCCGAATCGCCGCACTCTGTCAAAGTTGTCGCAAGACGCTTTCCGTGGAGGTCTCTGCCGAGCCGACCAGCGACCAAAGGTTGTTCAGGGATTCGGGATTAACACGCTGATGTTGATGCGATAGTCGTCGAACGGTACGCTGTTGAAAGATGTGGAAGGGAAGAGGGGGGAAGCCCACACGATTAAAAATAACAAACACCGACCTTCGGACGAATCAGTGAGCTCCCAGTGAGATTGGCCAGATACACGCGCGCAGAGATGCAACTAACCACAACAAAGTGCTCGGGATCTGCAGGACCTTTGGAATGGGCCCCGGTCTGAATAAACGAAAGACTAAGAGACAAAGGGAAAACAGAAGGATAGCTATCTAAAAAATGAAGGGAAAAGAAGGAAAGGGAGCGTAGGGAGTGATTTGACAGGTCGAGTTTGGATGACTCGGCGGGGGAGAAAAGGGAAGAGAGTACGGAGTAGAGTGAACGTGGTATTGTTATTTGCCAATTATTGGCGCCGGCGTTTGAGATTCACGATCGATGATCACCCCATACGGAGAGATCAATCTACGATACTAGGCTATCTTGTTTTCCCTGAAGGGACCTTTGGAATTTACTATGAAACTGTAAAAACATATGAAACGCTGATTCGACAGGTTCCTGCGTGTGTTTGGCTGCCATTTTGCTATCAAACGCGTCCCAAAGTAAGGGGGGTGTTTGTCTTGTTTGCATCGGTGTGCTTAGTCATTTCATCGCCTCGACTTTGGAAATGCGCCGCATCTTTACAACCTTTGCATCTGACACGATTGCTTGATATACTCGACTGACCTTCACCAATATACAACACACGATGAGCGAAGAAACAGAAGTCGCAGACGCTGTCCCCCAAGTCGCTTTCAAGAAACGCTCCAAGGGCAAAGCCAACTTTCGCAAGAAGCCCGCGACGCCACCTCCAGCTTCCGACTCCGATTCCGACTTTATATCATCAGATGACGAAGAAGGGCGGCGAATCAAGAGGCGACGCAAGAATGCAGCTGTCACCGCATCATCGACAAATGCGACAAGGAAACAGCACACAGACGGACCTACAGCAGCGGTTCCGGCTCCATTAACCTCGAGCAACGATGCCACCAAAGCTTCCGACTGGTACGATGAGAACTTGAGCGAGAAGAACCTATTGGGCACAACCCGGGCAAAACCAGCCCCCTCTACCTCACAGCTAGACGGAAGCTACAAGGGCGCCGCCAACTATCAATCTTTCATCCAGAAGAACCCCGATGCACCGGGGAAATTCGGTCCTGTCAAAGCTGCGACCAATGTTAGGACTATTACAGTCACGGATTATGCCCCCGATGTGTGCAAGGATTGGAAACAAACTGGCTACGTGAGTCACCCTCGCCTGTATCTATATGAATCGAGACTAACCATTTGAATTCAGTGTGGCTTTGGAGACAGTTGTAAATATCTCCATTCTCGCGAGGCATACAAGGCAGGATGGGAACTGGATCGAGACTGGGAAGTCAACACCAAGGGCAAGCAATTAACCGGGCGAGTGATTTCCCAGCGAAAAGGTGCGGGCAAAATCGACGCAGAAGATGATGAAGATGATGAGGATGAATTGCTAGAGAGCATCCCATTCGCCTGTCTCATCTGCGTGAAGCCTTATCAAGAACCTATCATCACCAAATGTGGGCACTACTTCTGTGAAGCCTGTGCCCTACAGCGGTACCGGAAGACTCCCTCGTGTGCTGCGTGCGGCGAGGGGACTGGAGGTGTCTTTAACGTTGCAAAAAAGTTGAATACTCTGCTGAACAAAAAGCGAGAACGTGCGCGCAGGATTCGAGAAGAGGCGATTGCAAAGGGGGAGGAGGTCAGCGATGAAGAGGGTGATGATAGTGATTAGTCTCTGTATAGCATAATATTAACACAAAAGCAGCTGGACTGCCACCTTCTCATTGCATATTCTATTACAACGCAACTGGAAAACCAGTTGATCGTAATAATGCGTCGTAACATCTCTCCGTCCATGCATATCATTTCTGGGGCTAATGTGGCAAAAGTGGAGGTCAAGGTATATAGTGTATGTTGTACCATGTACAGTACTGTGTGCCAAGGCTTCACCATTCATCATAGAGACAGTACGACAATACGCTGGTCAACGTAATCAAGGAATAATGCCGACCACGCGGCATGCGACGCAACCCTAACGCGGACATATTCCGTAGTTCCACGGCAATAAAACCGCGGGCCTTTTGAATGGCTCACGTTCCCCGCTAAGTTGAGACTTGTCAGTGCCAAGTGCAGTCTAGTTATGGTGCGATACAATACTCCGTACATACAATCACTTGCATTCCATCAGATGCCCCTCGGGATATTCCTTCCCATTTTACATGATCTCACTACATTGCGGAGTATCCATCTCTGATCTCAGAGGTCTTACAAGCCATATTGCAATCCACTTGATCAAGATGTGGGCCGTCACAGCCACAGAAATAAGAACCCGCATATTAGGGCCCTGAATCTTTCAGGGTCCATTAATATATGACGGTATTATTCAAGATTAATATTATTCGACTATATTCGACTAATTCGACTATGCTTCCATGTTCCCCAAGTAGGCTGTGCATCGACAAAAAGGATCAATGGAGCCGACCACTAAAGGTTATTCCGGCCAATTTAAAATCGACTGCAACCGAGCCCCACTGTCTTAGTCTGTAAGTAATAATAGTCTGGGCGCCTTAGTTCCTTAGTATACGGTCTATGCCCAAACTGGAAAAAGCCTGCTAAATCGTCGACGCCACGTGCTCTTCCGGACAGAAAAACGCGTTATCAGGGTGGATGCAGAGGGTGCAATAATACCGAGAATGGAAATGTGTACGGAGATTCGTAAGATCAACTGTTAAGCCTTTCGTTCCGTCCATGGCTCAAGCGTAAACTCGTCAAAAAGGGGTTAAGCGTAGGTCCAAGCCAAGCTTTTTGGTTTCTCCCCAAACGACCAAAAACCGAAACCAAAAACCCAAACGCCCCTTGGCATCAGACTAAAGGCGGCTCAGGGGAGTCAAACGCCCCCCGGTGGCCAATGATATGGCCATGACATCTAAACGGGGTAAGTCCAAGGAGAAGCTCCCCTCTTCGGTTCTATTTGACTTTAAATCTTTTCCTTTTTGTACGGGGTAATCTTTCGTTTCCATTTCATCTGCCTTGACTAGTCCCCTTCTCTTTCCTTTATTATTCCGCGCCTTCATTTTGGATCATTTTTGCCTTCAGGGGTGGTATTTCGGAATAATCACTCCTTCTACTCCTTCTACTCCTTCTACTCCTATTTCGCATCATTATCATACATCGGGTACATATCAATGGCTTAGTAGTGAATCCTCTACCTCAAGTCACACTTACTACCTCTCCACAGAGGGACTTTTAATATCTTCATTCATTATGAAAGGCGGATTCCGTATCGCGGGGTTTTGCGTTACCTGCCTCATTCTATTCTCAATATATCTACTCGAAGCGCATCTACAAGACATCTGCAATCAATATCGCGCTGGCGCATATGTGATTCGTTGGCTAGATCGCCATGGCACTGCCCCAAGCCCACATGGCGAGATCACACCGGGTGATAAAGTGATTGTGATGGCCAAGCTGGAAGAAGAGAACACCGATTGGGTGAAAGACGAGCTTCCTGAGTGAGTGCTTCGATTTCGCACTTCGAAGACCCAACTAATTGGCTTGCTTTCCAAACAGCTGGCAACGGGCAATCTACACTGTCAACCCCTCACACGAGACACGGCTAAATCCTGATGTTCTGACAACTCCATTCAACAAAGGCCATGAAGCCATGGCCTACTTCACGTACATAATCGACTCCTACCACAATCTCCCCTCGACCATCGCCTTTCTCCACGCTCATCGCGCAGGCTTCCTCATGGCATGGCACGTCGATGCGCCACTCCACGATAACGTCATAGCCATGCGCAGTCTCCGGTCCGATTTCGTCCAGCAAAACGGCTATGTCAACCTTCGCTGCAATTGGAATCCCGGCTGCAGGGACGCCCATCGCTTCAATAGTCATGTCACCGACCAGGTCTGGTTGGATGTCTTCGACGGCACGAGTACGCCGCCCTTGAATACTTCCTCGTCCACGCAGCAGGAGTTCGCCGGCCAGATGTATCTTCGCAAGCCGGCCAAGATCGGTGCCGCATGCTGCGCGCAATTCGCTGTCTCGCGAAATCAGGTTCAGAGGCGTCCGATTGAGGATTATATCAAGTTCCGGCAATGGATTATCGACACGGAGCTTACTGACGCTTCGTCGGGGCGGGTTATGGAGTTCTTGTGGCATATAATTTTCGGCATGCAAGGGGTATAGTAAGTTATGGCTGGTCACATTTTGTTATAATGTTGAACTAACGTCTTTTGCAGTTGTCCCGATGAAGAATTATGTTATTGTCAAGTCTACGGACAGTGTTGATTCCGGTCTTGGCTTGAGCATTGACACCTCCCGGAATGGGATCTACATATCGTGGACCACGTGGCGTTGCACGTGGCATTACCTTCTCCCTACCACATCCCTTTTACGACAGTACAAACACCCGCTCACTTGAATTCGGTCACACATTTTGTCGCATAGAACTTGGAGTTTTCAGAAGTGCTTTTCTTATATATTAATTGCGTTCAAGCGTGGAGGATAAGGTTCCTTATGCACATACTCTATCACTTTTAATGATGGACTTGAAAATCAGAGTACATAAAATATATATTCTTACCATTGTCTTCTTCATTTCCTTGCATACATCTCATCCATCCAGACTTTATGGCCTTTACTACCAAAGTGACTCCATGCTCTAATATCATTGCAAACAACAAGACACTAATTACCAGAGACAGTCCGAATACACTGCTTTAGATATCCACCCACCCTCTGCACGTCATCAAGACAAGCAACAACACCAACATAACCATCAGGTCTAACCACCACCAATGCACCGTGTGCCGGATCCACACCATAGATACTATACGCATTATCCAAAGCCGACCCATCATAGAAACGCATCTCAGCCTGCTGCTTTACACACGCCGGCACATCCTTCCACTCAAAAGACCGATGCAGCCGGGGATGCAAAATAATCAGCTCAACAGTCGATTTCGGAAACTGCGCTTCAAGCAGAGCGACTTCTTCCAATGTCTGTACAGAAACACTTCTCCGATCAAGAAGGTCCGTTGATGTAAGACATAGAATGCGGAATCGGCCAGTAGAGGGGATATCTGCGGTGCTATCTGTTAGATATCATATAATATCAAATTCTGACCAAAAACTCCGAGTCCCATCGCATTGGCATACCATCATGGATATCCCGCTGCCACCCATCAGCATGCCGCAGCAATCGGACATTAAGCAATCTCCGGCCCGGTCTCAGGATGCCGGATATGTATTCCGTTCCTTGGATGGGGTTTGAACGCCTGCCCTCAACACCATTGTCTAGCTCGTCTCGGATAACTAGCATATTCTCCGGGTATTCCACGCCACACCCACTCGTAAAGCCATTTCCGAGCTTGAAAGCCTGTTGGAATTCTTCTTGTGTCAGTCCTTCGGTTGCGCCCATTTGCCCTGAGAACATGGTGGAGAACTTCCGGTCGAAGTCGATGAGCTGTTGGGCTATTTCGTGCCGTTCTGTCTGGTATGTCTCGAGTAACGGGGTTGGGCTGGGACCGCTTGGTTCTGGTGCAAGCCCGTTAATGTGGTATATAAGCTTCCAGGCTAGGTTGTAGGAGTCCATCATTGAGACGTTCATGCCTTGGCCAGCCTGGTGGATGGAAGTTAGTGATTTTGATGTGCTCGAGGAAGAGTTGCTGGGAGACTTACTTTCGGACTATGTGTATGGCAGGCTATACATGTGCTTCTGTTAGTTCGATGCTATGCACTCTCTTCGGGGCAAACTTACCGTCTCCAACAATGAAAACCCGTGCAACCCCCTTCGAATCATTGACGATAAACTCGGGCGAGACACGCTGGCCAATTTGATACGCAGCCCACCAGTCGACAGCATCCTCCTTAGCACAGAGAGAGTACGGCTTGATCGCATCAGCAGCTTGTTTCAGAATCCCCTCGAGGGTAATCTTACTTCTCCGCTGTCGAGCATCCCCAGACTTACCATCCTCTCCTCCATCCAGCATCTGATCCCCCTCTTCCACAACCCCCGGAACCTGAACATACAACCTCGTGAGATATTCACCGGTCGAAATTCTCTCTCTAGGAATAACCATAACAGAACCAGCTGGAGAATGAATCGCACACCGACGGCGAATATCCGGGAAATCCGTCTCAACAACCACATCAACCACACCCCAGATATGATCCAACGACTCCCCCTCCAGCGACAGCCCCATACACCGCCGCACAACCGAATGCGCCCCATCCGCACCAACAACATGCTTCGCGCGCACCGTCTTCCCAACCCGAACACCATTTACGATCGTCACCATACTAACCCGCACAGGGAACTCCGCGTCCCCATCCTCATCAATCCCAACATCCACAACCTCCGTATTCCTTAAAATCCCACGCTCAGAATACCTCATCAAATCCGTTTCCATGATACGCTCGACACGTCCCTGGTGGATGGTAGCCTCGTAGCGGAACCGCGCTGGCGGGATAATCTCCGGCACGACGGATGTGCGCTCGATCACTTTCTCTGGATCGGATGACGGGTTCCAGAATGCGAATTGCCACATTTGGCACGCTTCGTTCTCGATTTCGGTGGAGAGACCGAGGGTTTTGAGGACTTCTAGTGTGCGTGGCTGTAGGCCGTCTGCCTGGCCGGTTTTTTGAGTGCTTGGTTTTGTGTCTATGCTGAGGAGGGAGGTGGAGGTTAGGCCGTAGCGGGAGAGGAGGAGTGTTAGCATTAGGCCTGCTGGTCCGGCCTGTGTTTCTATATTAGGGATTTGTTTTTGTTTGGATGCTGGATGTTGGATGCTGTGTTGGTATCTGGGGTATTGTATTGGAGAGCACATACGCCAACCACGACTACTTCATATTTCTCTTCGTCTTTATCATCGCGCTTGAATGGGGGTGCTAGTCGGGGTAGTGGTGGTGCAAATGATGGTAGGACTCTCAAGTCCCGAGATGAGGAGGAATGCTCAGTAAAGACCGGCATTGCTTTTTGGGTGCTAGAAGCAGATCGTTCGAGAATCTTTAGTTATTGGAAGGGAGAAAATAGATAGTTATACTCATAAATCGGGTTTGATTTAGTTGGCCTGTTTTGCCTGTTCTTATGGGGTAGCCCCGCGATTCTCTTCGAGTGGGGGATCTTTATATCCGCGATTTGCGCAACAACTACTCCATACGCTTGTTTTGATTGGATCAAGCTGGCAGATAGTTTATTTTGAGAATTCGTCGGTAGGAGAGGGTGGCAGTTTGGATATATGTACAGCAGTAGCCATTTGGTTACATAGGTATACCATTCGGAATATCTCATACGTCCGCGAATAAGAGCATATAAACGGCCTTTCTTTCGTGGGACCATGTATGTGTCTAGTGAGATGCTCTTTTTTGGAGAATGTCTTGTTGCATGTATGGCATCTTTGGTCATTTAACGAAGACCTGGATATAACGAATATTTACTCGTGTCTCAATTGATTCATTTTAAATAAGTTTTACTGTAGTATGTACTCCGTAGGTGTTGATCATCAAGTCCGGAATTCCCCCATTTCCCCACAGTACGTACCCCACATCCATTTCGGGCATCAAATCTATGGTTCTTGGTGAAAGGCTATGCTTTCATTAGTTAATTACTAGAAGTATTTTGCAGCACCTTGGATAAAAATATTGATCTTTCGAAATGGCTCTGGCCATAAGTAAACAGGAAGTAAGATCATAACTCATTAATCGCGCCCAAATCGCAGCAACCCTGGATCCCACCAAGATGATCCTAAGCAAATCTGATCAGTGTTTAAAGCTTTTGCTCAAAATACTGCTCAACTCGCTCTACAAGATCTGCTTTCTTCCCTGCTGTGGCACGCCCATGCGAATGCAAGAACTCCTTCAGCACGACCATCGTAAGCTGAACGAGGTATTAGTTTGGTCAATTACCCGAGAGGATTCGAATGCTCACCTTGGAAACAGTGCCTTTGTCAAAGCACTTTTTTACTTCATCTTCCACTCCAGGGGCGCTGTCTTCAATCTTAACTCGCTTTGGTGGGTGGTCGCTAGCAGGCTCGGTCTTCGCACCTCGCTTTACCAGCGTGGAGGTGGCTGCTGAGCCGTCAAACATCTCGGAGGCCTGCAAGTTAAGTTCCTCCGCCCATTTAAGAATATAGTCGCCAGCGCGCTGTGGTGAAGCATACATTCGGTCAGTGCATTTCCGCAATTTCTAAGAGCATGGAAGCAGCAACCTTATGAACCTGTCGGTACTTGGGCACAGTCTTATCATCTGGTGATTCTGGGAAATCTTCGTCCAAGGCGATAGCCTGTAAGATACGATAGTGCCATTGAAGCGCTGCAACTTGGTCAGATCATTTCCAACAAATCACAGTAATGAGGCTCACAAGGGTTCGGATATTTTGAAGGGTCGTATATAGCCTTGGGAAGCTGCAATTGGCGAATAACATCCCGCATGGCATTATTCAATGCGTCCCCTGCTCGGTTAATCTTACTATCTGGATTTTGGCGCACATCATCTGCGAAAGGAAGCGCGATAATCCACATCCCAGGTGGAATTTTCTGCACGCCATTCTCGTCGATCTTTTCAGCTCCAGCAATCATAGCAGCTAAGACCGGTGAGGCATTTCTGCGGGGGATAAACCAAACCAAAGCCAGTTTCTCGGAATCGAGAAGTTTCTGGTGCAATGCAGAAAAGACCCGTGTGGAGCCAATGTAACCCTCTTCGGAGGGATAGATAAATGAGGGGTGTTTGACATTGGCCCAGAACGGCAGGGCTGACAAGGGCTTGAACCCAATAATACGGATCACAGGGTCACCGAAGTTCCTTAGCGCCTGTTGTTCTTCAATGCTGAATGAAACCTGCTCACCGCCGAACTTGTATGCCTTTCGAATGCTAGACTTATCGATCTCCTGTCCGGTCTCGTCGGACATTAGAGTTGTGACACCTTGAGCAATCTGAGCAGTCTCGCCCCCTTGCCATATGAAGCAACTCCTGGCAGGCTCTTGCTTTTTGAGCAGCAAATATCCATTGACGGATATCTTGAAATCAGGTCCGATCTCAAGTGGCACATTTGAGAACAGCGATCGGCGGGGTACGGATCTCGAGTTGATGCTAGACAATAGAGAATTAAGCAATGTGAGTCCGTCACCTTTACCAGTCGATGCGTTGGTGTCCGGCTGTAGGTATGCCGGGGCATCACCATCACTGGGCGATGTTTTGTAGATGATGTCCTGCTGATTGTGAGTATACCGCTATACAATTAGGCTAATAACCTACATCGTAGAATTTAGAGGTGTCGAATTCGTGATCTGATTGAGAGATGGGAAACAACTCGATATTGACACCAAGATCGTACAAGTCCCTTGCGCGAACTGTTGCGGCGGACCGCATTGCCTTATTGTCTGCGTGGGGATTATCGTTGTCAGTCACGACAAACAGTCGTCGAGATGAGAAGTTTGGAGCCTTCGAGGTAAAGATCTGGTTTGCGCAGAACAGCATATTGGCCATTGAAACTGGCTCCTTCGATGGTTCCAAGATCTGCCGTACGTCATCGTCACCATCTGCTGGAGATGTGAGGGACCGTAAGTGCTTGACTTCCTGGGCTGATGGAACATCAAGATCCGTGTACAGATAACAGTGGGGATATGACAGATCTTCTTGGTCGTCCTCATTTTCATCATAGAACTTGGATAATTTCGTTCCGTAGAGCAGAACGCCAATCATATCATGAGGGTTGGAGACGATGCGCTGTTGCATCAGATGGTATGCACACTTCAAGGCTGCAGACGCGGGTGATTCGTCGCCATGTTTCTTAGGATCAGGTGATGGACGAGGCGTGAGCATCGAGCTGCTGATGTCTATGGCAAACAACACCGCATCTTTGACTGATTTGAAGCTCTATGTAGGCAACAGTCAACATCGGTAACTATATCTCCGGCTTTTGATACTCACGGTCTGGTCGAGCTCTTCGTCCTCGTAATTATCCTCCTCGCGCGTGTAGTAATCTTCAGCCATGGTTGTTACAAATATGAGCTTGACAGATTGGAAAGATCAAAAGGTGTAAATTAATCAAATCTAAAATATCATCGAGACGCGCTCTCTGACGCGGACAACACGAAAGTCAGGTGACGCTGATGCCTGAAGCTGGTGACATTCTCCGACGGTGATTGGCCACGGCCGGTGGGCGGCGAAAGCTACATAACCAAAACCGGATTCAACAAATCCGAGGTCCAACATAAGCTGGAATTGTCAATTCCTCCTCAATTAATACCTTCAGACTACTTTCTTTTGTCTATTCCAAAATATAATTCATCCCCCCAAAACCATGGCATTCCGCAGCCTTTTCGCGATCCCCCGACAGTTATTGACTGAGACCACATCTCTCGGAGGTCGGTCGGCATTTAGCAGTCAGCTCAGATGCAATCAACGAGGTCTCGCAACGGTGGTACCGCCAGTCACACAAAATGCGACAGGTTCCAAGGGCCCGACAGCTATTGTTTTTATGAACATGGGTGGACCTTCTACAACGGACGAGGTGGAGGACTTTTTGAGCAGACTATTTGTACGAGTCATAAATGGCTACATTGGCCACGTTGAATTGATATGCTAACACATGAACTACAGGCTGACGGTGATTTGATTCCCCTGGGACGACTCCAATCGTATATCGGCCCCCTCATCGCACGTCGGAGAACCTCGAAGATTCAAAAGCAGTACGCAAGTATCGGCGGCGGATCGCCCATTCGGAAATGGTCCGAGTATCAATGCGCAGAAATGTGCAAGTTATTGGATAAGATCTCCCCGGAGACCGCGCCGCATAAACCTTATGTCGCCTTCCGCTACGCTGCCCCATTGACCGAGACCATGTATAAGCAGCTTTTCGCCGATGGGTTTGGCAATGGCAAGGGAGGACGTGCTGTCGCGTTTACACAGTACCCGCAGTACTCCTGCTCAACGACCGGCAGTTCCCTTAACGAGCTGTGGAAGTGGCGTAATCGTCTCGAGGGAAAGCGCCCTAATGGAGGGTCCGAGCCAGCTGGCGCAATCCAGTGGAGTGTCATTGACCGTTGGCCTTCTCACTCTGGTCTTGTGGAGGCGTTCGCACAAAATATCGAGGCTCAACTCAAGACATACCCAGAGGAGAAGCGAGACCAGGTCGTGTTGCTGTTCTCGGCCCACAGCTTGCCTATGAGCGTTGTCAACCGAGGTAGGCTATGTCCCCGATTACTCTCTAGAATTACACTAATTATTCTCTCACACAGGTGATACCTACCCGGCCGAAGTTGCAGCGACAGTTCATGCCGTTATGCAACGACTCAAGTTCAAGAACCCATACCGCCTGTGCTGGCAATCACAGGTCGGACCTAGTGCGTGGCTCGGGGCTCAGACAGCTGATACCGTTCAAGAGTATGTGAAACGAGGACAGACGGACTTGATCCTGATTCCCATTGCGTTTACAAGCGACCACATCGAGACACTGTTTGAGCTGGATCAGGAAGTCATCCATGATGCCAACAACCCGGGTGTCAAGCGCGCGGAGAGCTTGAATGGAAACCCGGTTTTCATCCAGGCACTTGCCGATATTGCCCGCGACCACTTGCAAAAGGGAGAATTGTGTTCTACCCAGATGACACTGCGTTGCCAGGGCTGCACCAGCGAGCGGTGCTTGGGTCAGAAGAAATTCTTTGCCGGCCAGGAACATGCTTCTATGGTGGTCTAACCTTGGAAGCAACTAAGCTTACATGAGTTTTTGTTTGGACTAGGGAAGTCCAACCTTGTATGTATACGGACTACGAGGCGTTGGAGGCGTTGTAAGAGTATAAAATTTCGGGGATAATGTACTGTACGATATATATTTTCAATTCTTGCAGGGCATCTTACGATATACAAAGGCCGTCAGAATGACACCTTAATATGACTACATGTGCAAGCCCAATTGCGGAGATTCCGGAGCTAAGAGCTGCCAATGATGAAATCCCGATAAGAATTCAAGGAATCCAACTAACATTCCCCCCTCTTTCGTATGAGGGTGATGATGTGTCGTGTCTCTAAATCTTACAAATCAATTTGTTAGCGGTAATCTTACAAAGTTGGAATCCTGCGAAATCCCGAAATCACCGCCAATGTCCCAACTTCATCATGGAGAACGAAGAACTCTTTGTGGGGGATCCCGATATTGCGGAGCTGCACACAGCTCGAGAGACTCGTCCGATTGAACATGTAACCGAAAACACGCCTCTAATTGATGAAGCCGATGGGCTGCATCGACGGTCTTTTGACCTTACGAATAATCGGCCGAAAGGGAGGAGAGCGAGTGTGAGTGACTGATTTACGACCAAAGCGTCGGAAACAACTGTCTAATCTGCAAACATGACAGATTTGGTGGCTGCTCCCATTTGGTGTCCTTTTTACCCTGGGTTTTGGTGGAATGGCTGTGCCCAAGATCAATTTGGTCATGTCGCTCATCTGCCGAGATTATCTCGCCGAGAAGACCACCCAAGACCCCGGATTCACCTATCTCCCTGTTATATTTGGGGATAATAATCCACAGTGCCAGATACCGCAAGTTCAGTCGTTGGTTGCTCAGTTCCAGCTCTATCTCAATCTTATTGCGGGTATTCTATCAGCCTTAGTGAGTCCCCGGTTCGGGCACTTATCCGATCGCTACGGGAGAACCAAAATGATCGCGCTGGGCGCGATGGGCGCGGTACTCAATGAGGTTATCACTGTCATTGTGGCTAAATGGCCAGAGCGGGTCTCGGTCAATATGCTTCTAGTTGGAGCAGTCATGGATGGACTGGGTGGATCATTTACAACCGCACAGGCTTTGATCCATTCCTATGCCTCTGACTGCACGCCCACTGAAAAACGAAGCGTGGCATTCGGTCTCTTCCACGGTGCTTTGTTCTTTGGAATTGCAGCTGGACCAGGCGGTGCCGCATTTTTGATCAAGCATGGAGGCACGCTACCCGTCTTCTACATTGCGCTTGCATTCCATGCAACTTTCTGTCTATCGGTCTTCTTCATCGTGCCTGAATCTTTGTCCAAGGAACGACAGCTCGCGGCCCGCGAGAAGCATCGCTTGAAAATTGTGGATACTGACTCTCCTAAATGGTACTCTTGGCGTGTCTGGAACCCAGTGAACTTGTTCACTCCGCTTTCAATTCTGATGCCCGCCGTTGGAAAGCCGAGTGCCTTGTTCCCCAACCGCCGCGGTGCCAGTCCGGCTCTACGCCGGAATATCATTCTGCTGGCTGCTATCGATACTGCTGTCTTTGGAGTCGCCCTGGGCACGGTACAGGTTATCATCATCTACGCCGAATACATGTTCAACTGGGGCAGCGTGGAGTCCAGTCTGTTTGTAGCGACCGTTAATGTGGTGCGAGTGATCAATCTTTTCCTGGTGCTTCCGCTTATATCCATGTTCTTCCGCACCCCGTGCGTGGAAGACGGAAACATTCGCGGCTCGGACATGCTGGACATTGTTCTAATCCGCACATCTATAATATTCGATATTTTGGGCTACATTGGCTATGCTCTGTCCAAGACACCATCAATCATGGTGATTTCTGGTGTCGTCGCCTCGCTAGGTGGCATGGGTTCTGCAATTCTGCAGTCATCTCTGACCAAGCATGTGCCGCATGAACGCATTGGACAGATGCTCGGCGCCACTGGTCTTTTGCATGCTCTTGCTCGAGTTGTTGCACCTACTGTATTTAACTTAATCTATAGTCTGACGGTTGCAACATTACCTCAGGTAGTGTTTGTGGCCCTTGCGGCTGTTTTTGGTGTAGCATTCCTCATGAGTCTGCTAATCAGGTCGCATGGTATGTTTATTCTCCCGATCTCCTACAAGAAGTATACTAATTACTGTGACAGTTACCCTGGAGGCTGGTCCCCCTACTGATCTAAGATTGGAAGAAGATGCCGACGAGCATGACGGGCTTTTGCGGTAATGGATGGTTCTTTCTTTGATACAATAAGCTGTGCTTCCTTCTAAATGTTATATGTCTGCTTCGTAGCGTCTTTTTTGATGTTCTATATGATTGATTGAAATAGACCGGTCTTTCTTATTCTACTTTGCAACTCTCATGGATACATGACTATGTAACTAGCTGTTGGTTATTTCGTAATGAAGATGCTCGATGCATGCTCGGCAGACTAGAGCCATTGGAGAAACACACATATATCGATAGACCTGGAGTAGGCATAGAATATGCAGCCCAACTTTCTTTATCATATATCCCTTTCCTCCTGATTTTTATATCTTATAGGTCGACGTGAAGTCATGGAAGTTGTATGCGGTTAGATCCATGGGTCGTATGACAGGCCGGCCTCCGGTCTCCGGCAACCGGCACTGGCCTAACGCGCAAGTTGATTTGCATCGGGAAAAAAGATGTTACTCCGACCTTACCCTACGCTCTCCGCTTCAATTGCCTGTACACCTAATTTTGGACCATAGCTGGTGGTTGAAACTATTTAAATCTCCTTTGTTTCAGTCCTCTGCTCGTTTCGGAACATCGGTGCAAGGCCGCTCATGTACGACTGGTGAACCCGCGCGCAACCCGCGCTCAACATCTGCAATATGCTTGCCCGCGCCGCAAAAGGCGGCTCGATAATACCTTCTCCCAATGCCCTCCGGGTACTCCGCCAATTGGCTCTGGCCGGCTCAACAGTTGGCGGATTCTGCACCGTCGCAGCCCTCACGTACGAAGCCCATCGCCGGGTCCGCATGGCCGAGAAAATCATCGAGAATAAACGAACACTACACAGCAGTGCGCCGAATTACGATGCAACATCTGCCGCCAAACGACTAAAGGTGATGGTCGAGGCAGCAGAGGCGGGCGAATTCATGGGCATTGAATCCCTCAAGGCGAGGAATCGGAACGTACCCGATGAGCCAGGGTTCGAGACAGAAGACCTTGAGCCCAAGCCCAAGCCCAAGCCCCTGGTCAGCTTGGAAAAACACCATGCTCGCTCAAAACGTTCGCTCTTTGGGAGCCAGTCAATTGCACAATCCAATTACACAGGAAACATCGATTCTCCGGGTTTGGCCCAGAACGCTGAAATTCTGGCTCGGGAGAAACAACAGGGCGAACTTGCACGAGAATCTGGCAAGCTGCCCTTTGACGCCGAAATCCGCAGGTTGTTAACTGAGGAGCGGGAAATCACTGCTGCGAATTTGTTCTTAGCGCACACTCGGCAGACACCTAACATCTCTTGGGAACGCAGAGAGCTTGCATGTGTTATATTCACCGCCAACTGCATCAAAGGAAACCTCTTCGTTGCTCGAACTTTATTCAATCGCCTGGACAAAGTCAGTGTCGTCTCGGCGGAGATGTGGGCTACACTGATGCATCTCCTTGCGAAAGAGGGGCATATTGACTCTGTCGGCGTTATATATGATAAATTCAAAACTAGCTTTGCTGTTCCAAACCATCTGTTGGAGGTCATCCTGCGATGTCTGATCGAGTCCAAACGGTTGGACTCGGCCAAGTTCCTCTTCTTCCAGCGCTTCGAGGATGACCGTGACTGTGGCCTGTGTGGTGCTTATCTTGATGGATTATGGCGGAAGACCAGGAGCATGGAATTGCTGTCTTCCCAACTCGGCCTCATTCTCAAACGCCTCGAATCACTCGATCGAAGACCAACGGAGAAACTTTTCAACCCAATGGTCAAGGCCATGGTTGAAACTGGCCGAGCTGAAGAAGCTGAAGCTATGGTCAAGGCTATGCCAACACACTACGGGACTGAGCCTGGATGCCGGACCATTGGCTTGATTATCTACAACAGAGCACTTAACTGTGAATGGGACAGGGTCATGGATGGCATGCATGCTATGCACGAGCATGGATACACCCAATCAAAGAAGGATTTCACTATGATTTTCGACCGTGTCTTCTTGGAATACTACCCCACGCACACGGGCCAGCAAATTCTCGACTTCGTCATCTCTTGTATCAACGATTTTGACATACAACCGGACAAGGTACTCCACCGACACATTCTCGAAGCGATCATTGAAAAGGGCAACGAAGATATGATCGCACTCATTATGGAAATGGCCGAGGAACAGAATTGGAATACTGGTATTGACGAACGGTTTATCAAGTCACTCCTGAAGAGCCGAAAACTCGCAATGACCGACAACCCTGTGGGCATCTGGCGACTGAAGCAAGCCGCCAAGAATCGACAAGATTATTTAACTTCTTCCAGGCGCATCCTTGGGACTAGTTCTGACACTTGGGCCGTACGGGGTGAGAAAATTGCCCCGATTCACATTCCCGCCGAGGAAACTTTCCCTCAAACGGTCAGCGAGATGGTGGCATCCAAAAATGCTAGTCTATATGTTCCGCTCCACAAACGGATGGAGCACTTTATCAACATGGGCAGACACACCGATGCCCTGGCCATTTACCATCACGCATCCACTGGCGGTTTCGTAGTCAGGCCACTTCATCTGAAGCTGGCTGTGATCGCCGCGATTCTCAGTTGCAAAAAGACAGGCTTGGCGAACGCGCGACGTCTAATTACATCTGAATGGGATTACTGGAAGAATATGCCTTCTCTCCGGCATAGTAAGCGTTTTACTTCGTGGATTCCCATCTTCTTCCAACGGGTCATGGAGGTAGACCCAGAAGCCATTGGGTATGGAGGCTTGATCAAGATGGCCATTTTTGAATATTACGATGTTTGTGCCAACACCAAGGGTCTTTTGGTGAAGCACTTTTGCGCTACGTCTTCCAGCCGTTACCTCATTGGGGGTGGAACGCCAGACCTTGCCGTCGATCTCCTCACAACAATCTATCAATCTCGGTGGCGGATCTCTCATGGCTTCGACCAGGTACTATTGAAGATGTTGCTGCGTGGGTTTGCCAAGGTCCATAACTTTAAGGGGGTCTGGTGGTGCATAATGACAGTCCTCTCGCGGAATGAGCCTCTCAATCAAGACTTTGTCGTGGAAGCCACCTCTCAGCTGGGCCCCCTAGAAAGTGCGATCAGATCCGATGGCTCCTACGATGCTGCGGGGCAAGTTTTGGTACTCCGGCAGATCGTGGGGGCACTGGAGGCCAAACTTGAAGGTGATTCGCATTGGTCAACCATTAATGTTCACCCGGAGTTGAAAAGGTTGAAGCGTTCCAAGCCATTCAAACTCACTGAGCAACAACATCTCCTGCCCACCACAGACCTAGGGGAGCTCATCATGAACTTTGACGAAGAGTGGGAGTTGGATCTGTTGCTTAAGCGCAAGCAGTTCGACGCTCCTGATCATGCAAAGTGGTGGGCTGAGTCCAACGTCACAAACTCGAATACCGTGCCTTCAGAAGATCCCGAGTACCCGTGGAACAATCCAGCGCATTGGGGTGCGCATTACGTGCCGGAGAAGTACTCGTCCGACTATCACCTGGAGTTTTCACTTGGAGGGGAATACGATGAGTATATGGAGTATGAAGATTATCAGGGGCACCGGGCGTCCCAATGAACATGTATAATAGTGTAAATAGTATATGTACAATAGCCATCCTCAATAGATTCATAAATATATGCCTGTATACCGTCGTATATCCAAATCAGTCCACTCGGAGCGATTACTACCGTGGTGTCTCCTGCGTAGAATTGGAAAGGCGGAGAGAGGTCATCCAGTGAGGCTTTCACATGTCACGCCACCACCCACCCCTTTCTCAAACATCAGCCCATAAACACAGGCCAATCGACTTTCCTTTAAATCAATTGCCTAGGCCGATAATGGTCCTGCCTCAGTCGACTCCGTTCTGACATTATCTACTCTTCCAAACCCAAAATGGCATCCGTGCTCAAAGACGACGCTTCCCTCTCCACGGCCGCTCAACGCCGCATCGACAACCACGAAGCTGATGTTGTAATCGTTGGCGCTGGAGTCCTGGGCTGTGCGCTTGCTGTCGCACTGGGAAAACAAGGGCGCAGTGTGATCCTGCTGGAAAAATCGTTGGAGGAGCCCAACCGCATTGTCGGTGAACTACTCCAGCCGGGAGGTGTTCAGGCGCTCGAGCAACTAGGGCTACGGGACTGTCTGGACGATATTGATGGCATTGATGTGAAAGGATACTGGGTTTCATACTTTGGCGAGCCGGTGCTCCTCGAATACCCCAAGTCTAGCCCAACCTCGCCTACACCGTTAGGACGAGCTTTCCATCATGGTCGGTTCGTGATGAAACTACGGGCAGCCGCTTTGTCTTGTCCCAATGTCACAGTGGTTGAAACCAAGGTGACTGGCCTCATCATATCGCCAGATACCGAGGAAGTCCGTGGAGTTGAGTGTATGACCAAGGATGTCAAAGATAGCTACCTCGGCCAACTCACGGTGGCCGCCGACGGCTACAACTCGGATTTCCGCAAGCAACACCACCAATACACACCCACGCGGCGATCAAAGTTCTATGGTTTGGAGCTCATTGATGCGAAACTCCCCGCGCCTAACACTGGTCATGTCCTCCTCAGCGATAACCCACCCGTGCTCATGTACCAGATCGGCACTCACGAGACCCGAATCCTTATCGATATCCCCGATAACTTTCCTCTGGCCTCGCTGCAGAACGGTGGTGTCAAGGGCTACATGCGAAACAACATCCTGCCTCAGCTCCCAGAGGGTGCCCAGAAGCCGTTCGCCGACGCGCTAGAGCAGGGCCAGTTACGGTCAATGCCGAACTCCTTCCTGCCTGCCGCGGTAAACAAGACACCCGGCTTGATGATTCTAGGAGATGCGCTCAACATGCGGCACCCTCTCACGGGTGGAGGCATGACGGTGGCGCTCAACGATGTCTGTCTCATCCGCGAATTGCTCAGCCCAGAGCGCGCGCCCGACCTCTCCAATACAGGCCTTGTCCTCGAACAGCTCGCGGAATTCCACTGGAGACGAAAGTCTTCTTCTTCAGTCATCAATATCCTCGCGCAGGCTCTCTATGCGCTCTTCGCTGCAGACAGTATGTATTCTGACTCTTTGGTTAATTCCAGTAACTAATTGTTTCTATAGATCAATACCTCCGAGCTCTTCAGCGTGGCTGTTTCCGCTACTTCCAGGTTGGACCAGTAGGCGGCCCCGTTGGGCTGTTGGCCGGTCTGATCAAGAAACCTCTGGTCCTTGTCAGCCACTTCTTCTCCGTCGCCTTCCTCTCCATTTGGGTTCTCCTCTGTGATACCCCTCCGCTCAAGCTAATCCTAGCCCCCTACTACGCCTTCATGATATTGTACACAGCCTCTGTCGTGATTTTCCCATACATCTGGACCGAGATCTGGTACTGATCTGGCTTGGATTCATCAATTGGTGTTCTACTTTCCTCAAAAGCGACAATGGGGGTACTATCGTAACCTGTGGAATATATTGTCGATATTACCCGCCAAGTCTTTGTTTAATATCCCATCTTCACCCTGTGTCTTTTCTTCCACGCCTTATGTCATTTAATCTTGTCCAGCATTTTCCCACTGCATCTGATACATTGCAGGATTTGTGTTACAGATTTACTGTACTATATACTATATGTCATACCATTATTTCAATGATAGATGATACGATGTCAATATATCCGGAACATTCCAATAATCAACGCTTTCTATGCTACATAAACATACAAAGAAAAGAACCCCAACCGATTCACAAGATTCACACCCTCCATAGCCCACCTCCCTTACTTCCGATGCCCATACACCAGGAAACACCAAACCCAAACCTAACCCTCACAACAACTTCACACAAAGCGAATATGCCAAAACCCCAAAACAAAACGAAAACGAAAACGCAAAGAAGTTAGGTGCAACAGGCACAGGGGTCTGGTCCACACGCCCAAACCAAGGCAGCGCACCAACGCCAGGCAGCTGGAGACCCGACCAATTCCAATCCCAGGAAAGAAAAGACATGACGGCACTGGCTGAGCGGATGGCGCAATTATGCACGAAGGAGATGCTGGAATACACCTCGCAGATTAGGCTGTAGGCGAGAAAAAAGCAATAGTATAAATACAGCATTAAGGAAATGAATATCATCCACATCTTTTTGTTTTCTTTTACTTTTTCTTTTTCCTTTCTCTTTTTTGGGTGGGATTGCTGTTGGGTTGGGATGTGTCCTTAAGGTATGTATGTGGTGTATGGATGCGGATTCTTGGTGTTTGTGGTTTATCGTGGATTGTAGAGCGGATGGGTTGCTCTGCACGATGTTGTTCTTGTGGGTTCAGGTAGGAGAGAACGAGGATGAGCACGACGAAGGGAAGAGAGAGAGAGAGGATCTGAGAATTGAATCTAAGAGGCTAGACTTTCCATTTCCTCCCTTTGTTCTCTAGGTCTTTGTTATTCGCAGCCCGGTCTCCCATTTACAGACACTGTTGACTGACAGCAAGCCAGAAGGACAAGAAAAAGAGTTAGAAATCGGAAGAGAAGACAATGCAATCCAGGAAGTATCAAATACATGACCTGAGCAGGAAAAAGAAGACTTTTTCGAAAATTTTGGTTTGTTTCTCATTGGCAACAAGTTAATATCTTTCTCTTTTGTACAAAACCAGGACCGAAAAAGAAAAAAAAAATTGGCATAAGAAAATGAAAAGCATCAGACACAAAACCGGGTCTAACCATTGAACACAAAGAACTCCGAACAACTGGAAAGAAATCGTCTCAATGCATGGGAGGCGTTTCCTGGAAAATGAACCGGCCAACTTTCCCGATGGCAACGAATGCATGCATATATGGGCCCTAGTCCCTCGGTGACGGGGAAAGGGGTGGGAAAAAAAGAGCAAAATAATGTATTTCGGGGGAACGTAAGTTCGTTTGGGGGATACTGCGCGGAACGGAAATTTGAAAGCAATAAAATCATTTTTGAGACGTGAGTATCTGCTCATTCCTCGTGGACGTGCTGGAGATGATTACGGAGGCGCAACGACGCAAACCTAGTCAACCGCCTTTTCGCAAAGAATCATCTGCTGCAATAAGCTCATTACCGCCGTTGATCCCGTTTCGAGGCTCCATTGATGACTTGGTGTTCTTGCGGTTCTTCTTCTTGGTCGTCTGCCATCCATAAGCGATCTCGTTCGTGCCGTTAGACTGTCCGCCTGATCTTCGGGGCGAGTCTGTGTGTCGATCTTTGGTGCCCGGAGTAGAATTGTGAGAGCCATCGTGTCGGCCTTGGCCTTTGGGCTTGCTCTTGCCGTTAACACCGTTTGCCTTGTCGGAATGGTCGCCATTAGTCCGGCGCTTCGAGTTCGTCGATTGATGTCGATTCTCATTCGACCCGGATGCAGCAGGTTTCTCGCCCATCTGTCCCGAGTGCTTAGGCTGGCCGATTTCCTTTCCTGACCCTTGTGCCGCACCATTCCTTACTCGGTCCGGACTTGTCTTCGCGGGTTGCTGTACCAGGTTTTCGGAATTTGATAGGTGGTAGTTCTGCAGCCTACTGGCGAGAAGCTCAGACTGGCCATTCATGTCGGACTGGTTTTCCCCGTTCACACCATTGACCTTTTGCGTTTCCGTAGATGGCCGCGTGAAGACAGCCGAATGCTCCAAGTCAAAGGATCCGGAGTCCTGATAATCTTGAGACAAGGAATCGGAGAAACTTGCAGGTGTGTTCATGTTGTGATCATCTGACGAGGTATAATGGCTCACCGCCGAGTAAGGGTCCATCAAGTCAGACCCATACGCCGAGCGAGGCTCACTGGGACGCACCGATCCATCCACAATCAGCGGACCTGGTGCAACTGGACGTGGGGCGGATTGGGTAGCTTGCGACGGGGGCTTGGGAACTGGAATGTGCTCCGAGTGAGCAGTGTCCGACGAGAACGATCCCGGTCGATAATCTGGCTGAAGAGGAATAAACGAATATCCATTCGAGACCAGACCCATCTGTGCGGATAATGGCGGCAGCATGGAACCTTGCTGCAGGGCTTGAAGCTGTTGTGGGGTTATATAATAACCCACCACATCTGGCTGCCGGTTATCATCCACAGAGGTTGAGTGGGATCCATTGCTGGCCAGACTGTTTGAGCGCATTACATTCTCATCACCACTCCCTTCTCCGCCTTCTGACGACTCGGTGGCCGACCTTTGTTTTGACCAGTTATCCGTGGGTGGCGGCATGGTATAAAGTGGGATATAGCCGGGAAGAGAGGGTGAGCCCTGAGGCCGTGCAGGTTGTGAATGCGCACGAAGAGACTTTGGGGATCCGTTCGCAGTTGACAATCGCCGAGAATTACGACGAGTATCAGGAATAGCACTAACAGCAGACGGTGAGGGAGGGTTGGTGATAGTCGCTTGCGAGCCAGATGCACCAACTGAAGCATAGGTGGGGTTATAAATCGTTTGATGTCGTTGGGTTGGGCTGAGAGTAGCATGACTCGCGGTTCCTGTTCCTGACCTCGGGCATGAGTTTTCCTCTGGAAACTCTTGGGGTTGGGGAACTGGGAATTGGATAAATGGCTGACGGATGAAGACTGGCGGTGGTCTCCCAGTAATCAATGCCTGGCTATG